TTCCAAAATTTCCATCTCAGATATTCCAATATAATATTCTGCATATGGTAACACCAATAGTAAAATTATTATACCAAATATAGCTATTGATAGGAAAAAAAGACCAAGAAAAAAAATAAAACCTTTAGAACTGCATCTTAATATCTTCAATTTTTTAGGCTTATTATTCAAATTACTATCTTTCATTATTTTCTTATTCTCTTTTATTTCCTCTTGAGATAATGTAATATTCGAGATATTTGTCACTAGATTATCTAAAATAAAGTTCTCACTATAGATATTATCACTATTCTTATATTTATTTTTTAGTGGTGAATTAGTATTTATATTATCTTCTACATCCATGAGCACCTTTTCCACTTTCTTCTGATTAGTTTCCATGCTCATGTTCTATAGAGTTCATACTTACTTTCTTCTATTATACTATTGAACTGAGGAAAAAGTTCAGATTAAAATAGTAAAAGTTAAAAAACTGTATTGTCTGTACATGTATACATATACGTATATATTCTTTGCATGCATGCATAAATTAATTTTTATCGGCTCGTAGCTAAATTAAGGATTATGATATTTATGGAATTTGGTTTGAATCTTAATTACTAAAAAAAGTATAAATTCCAGCAAATAATATTTAATTAGCACTAAATTAATTTCAGTTCTTTATCTAGTAAAGTTAGGTTTTACATCATTTCGATATAGTCGATACCTATAAAAAGGCGGCCTAATCAAGCCGCAGGAATAATGCTGAAAAACCATGAAGTGCATCAAGTGCAATTATATAATTTTATAAATGCAGAAGTATAGCTTCATTAACAGAATTGAGAATAAAAAACTTTATATTTGGACTTTGAAGCAATATATAAGTAGTTTGGCTCTGAATTTTATATAAAGACTCATTTAAATTTGACTTAATTCTCAATATATATTTAGAAACATATAGATTTTCGAGATACTGTGGACTGAATTGCAATATAAATTGAATTTTGTTGTCTTGATTGCATTTTAAACCATTAATGGAAAAGAGAACACATAAAGAAAATGATGAACAGAAGGAGGCTAGTACTGAGATATTGGATTCAGTTTCATCTTCCTTTTCTACAAGATCAGTTACATCAACAAGATATTTTGATGCACAGTCATGGGAAGAACGAAGAGATATAGTAGCACTGAGAATCCCATCACCAGCTAGTGAATTATATATTGATGGTGAATTTAGCCCAAGTACTCAGATAAGTTCACCCGTAAGTTATGTTGATATTAGAACTCCACAAAAGGTAGATTCTACAGCTTGTTGTAGCAAAAGTATTGATGGAATATATCAAAAAGAAATTGCGGAAACTTCTGAGGATAACAACACACATTCAGTATTCTCAACTAGATTAGTATATTTATTGATATCAGTAGCTGCTGCATTTATATTGGTAATGGGAATATTAGGAACTTTATTCTTCTTTGCAACATTACCATATATTAATGGTAATTTTTTAGAAAATTTGGATATTCAATTGGAAGGTATGATTATTAAAGTAGTCCCTGAAGAAGGATTCCAAAAAGCAGAAACCAGTGAAATAGTATCTATAACTATGCCACCACTAAAGGAAAATACTTTCGAAAATACAGACGTACGCCTATTACTAGAGGGTGCAAATATTGAGTGGAATTCTCTAGTTGCTGCTGTAATAACGAAACCACAATCATTGGAAATATCACAAGCTAGTCAAATAAAAGCAATTATTGAGACAAAATCAAATGATACTCATATTGCAGGTTTAAGTGGTATAATCCATGATATATTAAGCCAAGGATATGCTAAATTGACCTTGAATGCATTTGTTCATCGTTCATCTTATTTTTTATATTCCAATAGTATAGATCCAGTCTCTAAAGAATTATTTTTATCAATGTCTCTTCGCCAATTAATTACTAATATCCAATTAACTGATTTAATTCTGGAAAAAGATGTAAATAATGATGATACCACTTTAACATTCATGTCTAATGCATCTTATGATTATAAGGGAATAGTTATAATTAACACCTTAGGAAAAATCTTCTGTGGAATTTTTCATGATGGTAATTATTTGGGAGTAGTTAGAATTGAAGATTCTTCACTTGTTCCTGGAGAAAAGACAAATCTAAAAATATTTGGTACTTTAAATACTCAGAATTTTATAAATGATGCTATATTAGTAAGTAGTATGAAACCATCCTTGGACTTTGGGATAAATAAAACTCCTTCAAGATCAGTAAAACTTTTGAATTTACATGTAGAAGGAGTTGGAAGTTCATCTATTATAATGGATTCTCCGATTAGACTTACAAGGTCAAATGTGAATCTTGCTATACTTCCTCCGCAGCCACTAAGGCAAGTACCAAACCCAATAGTCGTAATAGAATCAATAGCTATAACAGAAAATAATACTGTAACTATAAAAGGAGTATTACGTACCACATTCTATGGATATTTAAGTAGTAGTAATCAAACTCCTAATATTGAACATGCTCTAATTCAAGGTCTTTTGCATAATAATAATAAGGTATTTGGACAGTTTACAATAGTTACAGCTAATTCAGATGATAATGATATTCAATATATCAAACTACAAATGACTGATTTTGCAACAGTATCGTCATCTATTCCAACAACATCATCAGAAAATATAAATTCTGATTCTAATAGGCAAGAAGAAATAGCAAATGATGGAGTTCCATATCATGCCATCACGATTTCACCTTATATTGATTATATAGATATTAATGTAGTAGTTAAATTTTCTGGTTTAAAGCAATTAGATATTACTGATATTTTCAGTGACAAACAGAATAATAATTTAGATGTTACTGACATTAATATTTATACTAGTTGGAATTTCCTGTCACAAAAACAAAAAGATCAATATTTTATGGATAAGGCCAGTATTAGTTTTGAAATTTTTAATTTTGTACCGATACTTATGGAATATCAAATTGTAGGAAGTAGTATTCAAGCTGTTATTTCTCTACACTTAGAGTATACGGATGGATTTCAAAACTCTAGTAATATGTCTTATAGTGGTCCATTAACTATATATTGGATATGCAATAGTATACATGTAACCGATTTTGTTTTGGATAACGTTGATGTAACTGGGGAAGCTACAAAATATTTGCTAGCTTCAAATAAATTAATTCCAGATATTTGCACAATGGAAAATTCCAAGTTAATAGCTAAAATAACTAAGAAAGAATAATAATCCAGTATTTAACATTTGTAATTTTATTAAAGATTAATATTTATCACACAGAAGCAAAAATTGCCCGCCATATAATTAGGGGCTAGAAAGTAAATATATCATTAATTTTTTAGGTTTTAGATTAGGATAGATTAAAAAATAGCGCTCATGACGACATGACAAAAAATTTTGAGTACTTTATTAGTATAGTTTAAAAATAGATTTTATGGTTTTTTTAGTAAAATTTGGTGTATAAATTGTTTTAATCTAATTACTTGTAATATTAAATATTCCATAATTGATGATCTTTGGTAATATTCAATAGTCCGACTGTTACAGACTAATAAACTCTGTATTCTTTAATCTAATAAATAGGCGGCTTCTGAAGCTATTAGTGTGTAAATTCTCTTAATAATTTGATATTATTTACTGGATAGATGAAATTATGCGTAAGAAAAGATGCACTTTAAAGGATGGTAATAGTAAAAATCTAATAAATGGACTAGTAAAACAGAATAAATGCCTTGATATTAAAAAGTTATATTTAAGAAATGCACCTAAAAGGCCAGGATATCGACCAATTCCAGGAGTATCAGTGTACCCTCAAAACTTCAAATCTCCCAGAATACTTAAAGAGAGTACATATAAGGATAAAACTTTGGATATATGTCATGATTCAATAAGTGAGGAACAATCTAGCTGTCGTTGTGGTGATGTTATAACATGTCCTGGAAGTCAGGAATTCCGCTGCAATAACTCAGACAAAAGTGACCATATTAAGGAAAACTTTATAAGTTCTTGTGAACCAGTAGATTTTAGAGGTTTAAGAGGTTTATTATGGTCAAAAATAGATGTAAGGAAAGTTGAAATGTTTGAGAAAAGATTTACTGAACCTAATGCCTCGGGTACAATTCCACAAGATTTAAATGAAAACTTTGGAGCTCCAATATTTTTATCAAAGGAGAATAATAATAGTAATAATAAATTAGAAAGGAAGATTTCTAACTCTAATGAAAATAAAGATATAAACTTAGCATCAGTGATTGGACTATGGAATGACTGCAATAATCGCTTAATTGAATTAGAGCCAGAATATACAATAAACAGAGATTTACAAAATTCTATTAAAGCTGAGTTAGATCATGGAATAAGGTTGTTGGAGGTTCAATTACGTAAATTAGCAATGGCAGAACGACAGCTTATTCATTTACAACTAAATCAATTAAGCTCTCAGGTAGGGACTCCAAAGTATAATGCTGTGCATGGAATGCTACATGATAATAATAAAAAAGTACTTAAATATGATATACCAAACATTTCGTGGTTTATGGGTTTAAATGCACTAGATATAGGTAATTATTGTCACAAAATTGCTGACTTAGAAGGAAGATTCATGTTTAATTCTCAATTTAACCAGGCTTCAATATATGAAGAACTAGAAAGTGAAGACGAAGATTTAAATAAGAATTGGAATATAAATTGTGATAATAAATTGGATAGATATGGTAAAGAATTACTATCAAGACACTTGAGTAGAAGGTTAACTGAAAAAGAAAGTGAACTATTATTACAAAGAAATACATTGACTAAACTTTCTAAATTAATGAAACTTTTACAGTATTCACCTCTAGCAAATTTCCCGTGTACAAAAGGAAATCGCTATATATTCTTAAATCCTGTGGATATTGGTAATACTTGTATTGTTTGGAATGCATTTGACTTTGTTGATTTCATACCTTGCGTATTGAAATTATACAAAGTGAATTTTGAAGTTAATATGGAGTTATTATCTAAATCAATATTTGCAAAAAGTCTTTGTATTAATTCAAACTCATATAAGTTAAAGAGTCTTTTAGAACAGGGGATGAATTTTTTAAGATTTATCAAAAATATTTATAATAGAGGTATTCAAAATTTTAAGTCTAGAATAACTCTTCCAAAAACATGCTTATATACTAAACAAAAATTCAGTAATTTAAATTATTCAATTAAAAATGATTTTATATTAAAAAATAAATTTATTCAAAATGCAATTGCAAGCATATCTTTATGTAGTAACATTTTTGAGTGGCATATACCTCTAAGTTCAGCATCAATTATTGTAGAATCTCATCCTTATATTGAATACTATGATATAAGGTCATATGTTTCATCAATTGGGGTTATGGATGAATATACTGCTTTAATGTATATTAGATCACTTATTCGATTCTTGCACTTAATTAGCTTGGATGAAATGAAAAGTAACCAGTCTTTAGAATTTCAGGGGACATTTAATATTAAGCATTGCATTCTACCAATTAAAGCTAGTCATATATATGTTAAGAAAGAAGAGTGTTGCATATCTATAGGCCCTTTGGATTCAATATTATTAATTTCATCTACTAACGAACAAATGGTAGGAGATATTGATACAGATTTTTCACAGCTGAGAACAGAATATTTACAATATAATAAGTGTTATCCTCAAGATTTATTTTTATCAGAAAGTTTACTAGAATATCATAGTGGAGAAAATATCATTTATTATTTGCCAAATGAAATTATTATGCTAAATAAACGAAATTTAAATATTGGAGAAGACTTTGATTCACTATCTACATCTACAAACGTACCACCTATTTTATTTAGCCAAATGTATACAAATGAGCAAATTCATATATATATGACTGGTGTATTACTATATTATTGCTTAACTGGAAATTATTATAATAGGAATATAAAGGAAATTTTAGATTTATCTGGTGTTTCACAAGATACAAAAAATTTACTCTTGACTATGTTAGATTCAAATTGTTTTAGAAAGACAAGCCCTACTTTTGATACAATTCTAAATATTCCACTACTTTCACCTGAAAATCTAGTTGGAACATGTGGTGTACAGCTTTGCAATAATAGAATTTATTATTAGATTAAAAGCGCATGCATGTAAAAGTAGTCTTATTAGGTATGTCTCGTTTCATGATACACAACATCACTAATAGGGTGCCAATTTGCTACTCATTACAGTATATCTGGGTTTTCTTGTTGAGATATTCTGGTTTTAAACTAACTCCATCAACAATATCAGTAATCATTTTGGATAGTTTAAGTTGCTTAAACGTCTTATGACATGTGTCAAACCTATATAAGTTTTGTATCATATATGGCTCTATAATTGGGGGGCAATAGGGTGAAATTTCAATTACACAATGCCAAACTTTGTTATATTTGTTGAATGTGTAAATACCACGAATTCCCTTATGATCATCATAGTGGAATAATATCACAAAGTGTGGTATATTAATAAGTTGTTCTGAATTTATTGATTCAGATACAAATCTTCGAACTGCCTTGTTATGTTCACCAGATAAGCTTATCCAGTTTAGTGCAAGCATAATAATCCTCCGATTATTTCTATTAATTGTTGGAGTTATAGGCCGAGCTGATCTTGGTGATCTACCTTGATTTATAGAATTATTTGATTTATTTAAAATAGAATTACCTTGTAGATGACAACAATCTATATCATTATAGACATTATAATCTTTAGGAGGCGACAAACTAGTGAAGTGCCTATAAGAGGGGTGAGTCACAATACTTCTATTTAAGTGATCATTACAACATCTTTCATTAATTTCTCTATTATTCCTGCAATTCATCATATTACTATAGTAATCATCCTCAAAATGACTATTATATGGATCTGAAGATAAAGGTCTGTAAGATAAGCTATGCTCTGGGTAACTACTGTGACCAGTTTTAAATTCCCTAGATATATTACAGCATGGAAAACTGTATTCTTTATCGTATCTTTCATTAATACTATCAAAACCGCTACTTTGATTTACACTGGAGATGGTACAACTCTCTGACATTAGCTTTTGGCATGAACACATTCTTCTCTGAGCTTGTAATTCATTATATAATTCATTATAATTAGACTTTGTATGGCGATGATTATTAGTACATGAATCGTAGTGACTACAGATATTGGGAAGCCTTGATTTGCATCTTCTAGTCTCTGCTTCATGGTTTGAAGATGAGTAACAGGAGCCCTTGATACTATTGTTATCTAAACTTCTCCTTATATCCTCAAGCCTTTTGAAGTTGACCTCTGGTATTCCAACTGACATTTTACTCTATAAGGTTACCTATGATACTAATACTACTAGCTATAATATAATATTAATCTTGACTGTGTTATGCACATTTGCAAAAGTGTGGTGTCACATATTGACACGTGTGGATATTATTAAAACACTTTTTTGTAAATTATATCTGTATTTGAGTCAGATTGTGATAGTTCTACTAATTAAATAATTTCTTTGTACTTTTACTAAGAATGTGGCGTTGGTGGTCTGATGAAGGCTGGACATACTACTCACTAGAGAATTCTGCCATAATAGAAAGATCATGGAGAAACAAAGAAATCAATATTATTATAAATATTGGAGGCATCCCATTTTTGCTTAACTTGCGTCATTTCTACCAGTTTAACTTCATAACTCAACGTCATAGAAGAATTAGTAGAGATATTTCATCTGCTGTCTGGTTTTGGACTGATAACAATGGTCAATTAAACCTCTATCAACCAAATGTTTCTGCCCAAATTGAAAGATACTACTTACATATCCAGTGGAATTTGGTGAAATCTAGTAATATTCACAAAAATAATAAAAAAAATCAATCAATAACTAGTGACGACACTTATACTTTTGACAGTGCAGACAAGTTGAAAATAAATAATAGTTCTATAGTCAATTCAAACAGTAGTAATGAATATTTAGAACTTGTATCCGCAGAATCAGTCTCTAAAGAAAATGTTCGAGAAGAAAGAACCAACATGACTAGAGACTGTTCTACTATTCAGAATCACCATATACAAGGAGGTGGGTGTATTGTCTGGGGTCATTATGATATTTATCCTATTGAATGCATACAAATTAACAGAATAACTGGCAAGGAAAGGAGAATATTTAGGAAGCACCTTAAAAATATCTCAGAAGATAATGAAAATCAATTGGATCAAAATGGAATTAAAAGAATTACAAGTGAACCAGGTTGTTATTTAGAATGGCAATTTACAGATACTAAAATTGCTCGTATAAGTGATGCAATATCACTTATTGTAGAAACTGGAGAATTTTACTGTGTTGGATATCCAACTTTATTTTCCAATGAAAAAATAATGGATTTAGTTTATCAATTACCTGATGATACTCTAATAGATGATGATTGTTGTTTATGTCTCCATCCTTTAATAGAAAACCGGATTAAACTTAAAAAATGCCACCACGTTTACCACAAAGATTGTTTCTTTGAAATGGTAAGACATCTAAAACAAAAAAATGTCTTGAACTGCCCCTTATGCATGTCTATTCAGGATTATGGCAAGGGAGCTTCACCTTATGGTAGAATGAGATATATTGTATACAAAGCTGGAAATATAGAAATTGAAACGTATCCAAGTACAAATGTTATTGAAATTGAATATTTCATCCCAAGTGGAATACAAAATGAACGCCATCCTAACCCTTCTAAGCCCTTTAGTGGTACGTACAAAATCGCTTATCTACCTTATGATAAAGATGGTATAATGGTCCTAAATGGACTAATCAAAGCATTTAAATTAGGGCATACATTTAAAGTTATATCAATACCTAATATTAGTGAGAATGTAAACTCAAGACACCATAATGATCATATATGTACTGAAATAGTACAATGGAATTCAATACCACACAAGATTTCAACATGTGGTGGTCCCACATTACAAGGATTCCCTGATCCTTATTACTTTAACTTAGTTATTGAAAAACTCGCAAGTGTTGGTATTGATTGTAATGCAGAGATGTAACTCTTATAGATATAGAAATTAGTATAGAAATTAACGCAAAAGGCGCAAATGAATTCTTATATCTGAGAATGCTGCAAACTAAACTAGTAAAGCTAAGTTCTTGTGTTTACAGATTGAAATAATATCATCTATTGTGTTCTAGCTATGAGATAGCTGTCAGCAAGTTACCTCATGTTTGGGTAGTGTTGCTTATCTCCAAATCCTATTTTAGTGCAATATACAAATGCATGTATATATTACAGTAAGTGCTTTTTCTCTATATCTTTGACTTTCTTCCATACTATTAACCCAAAAGAAATGATAATGAATATGAGTAGAAATGATATAATCGAACTAGTCGAATAATGGTTCTGAATTGCTTTGTGAACCTCTGCAGTAGCATCTGTTTTGCTCTTTAGACTATCTTCAAGTTCAATTAAGGTACTAGTTTGATACTTTGAATGTCTATCAAATAAGGTTTTAAGTCCAACAAGCTCAGATTTAACAGTGCTTAGTGTTTCACTATGATTAGAACCAAAATGGTAGTTAATTTGTCTTTGAATTTCCTTAATATCAATAGTCAGTTTCTGAGTTTGTGTCAGTACAGTGTTTAGAGTTCTATGTATAGCTTGCTCACGAGGAGTGGCTTCTGTAATATGCTTGTATAAGATTTGAGAAAGAGCCTTTAGTGCCTCAGATACATCCTTATCTCCTTTAACGTGTACATCACGAAGTAGATCTGTAATTTCCACTGAATATGATCCTGATGAACTCGATGCACCACTAGATTTAAGAGTATCATCTAATTCTTCACCTGCTCTACTTAGATCGTAATTATATACATGAACACCAAATATAGATATACGGTCAGCAGATTTATTTTGAGCATCTGAATTATCTCTTTCAATACCAGAATATGCACTGAAACCAATATAGCCACCTTGAGATAAATTCAGTGGAATACTCTTAGAACCTGCTTTAAAACAATCAATCCACTTAGATGTTGGTGAAGATCTTACTTGACCAATAATACCATCTACTGGGGATATGTATAATCGGAAATTTATAGGTTCTTTAGAATTGCAAAAATTATAATATACTCCCATAGATGTCGGTATATCTGAAACAAAAGAAAATGACTTAGTACCATCAGATAACAATAAGGATATAGATGGATTTCTCTTATTATTCCTATCTAGTAGTGCAAAAAGCACACCAATTCCTTTAGGGTTGTTCTTATACCCTAGTAAATTCCAATTAAGCAGATCATCATTAGTCTTTGGATAAATAGCTCCGTAAGCTTCTTCTACAAACCAGAGTGCAAATCCTTCAGCTTGAGAAGATTTCTCTTCAGACCCTATAACTTCAAATGTGAATGTAATTTCAAAATGGGGAGTTTTGATCGGACTCTTATGCCAGAATTGTCCTGTCCTTGCACTAACTCCAGGAACTAAAACTACACTTTTTTTTACTGGTACAGTTGCCATTGCCAAATCCCATTCTGCAAGAGTGGTGTCTAAAGTTAGTGGAGATTCAAAAGAGTGCCTCATCATCTCAATACGTTCTACCTTCTCTTGTTTAATATGGTCATGTGAGGGACTAGCTGCTGAGGATAAATCTACTTCTTTTATTGCGTATATACAGTTTAGAAATAAAATGAAGTTTATAGTTACACAAAGTAGAATCCATTCTTTTCCGCTGAACCTATAAGTCATGGTACTGTAATCTGTCTCTCAGTAATCTCTATCTTTAATTCGAAATCTTAAATTTGATTTAAAAAATATCTGAAAGCAGAAATATGACCAATTAAGTAATTACCTTCTTCGTATCTATTTTTGTTACTTCTCATTCTCATTTGTGGGGGTTACGCTTGTGCAGCAGAGTGTAATACGATACCTGCTTCACGTCCTGTCTCTAAGCTTAAACTTAATAAACTAGTAACATGTTACTCATACTGAAAATTCTTAGGGTTTACACTGTATAATAATAAAATAATTTATTAACTACCTATGAAGAAGCTAGATCCCTTATAATTGGGATATTAATATGAAACTCTGCACAGTACATAGTCTTATTTGGAGCTACATCACGTACATTATGAATTGAAAGATTTATAGGATAAAAAATCTCATCATCTTCCTTACATTTCAAGTTTTCTTTTATACGGCTACTTATATCACTAAATGGCTCTAAAGATTTTGAGAAGCAGTAAAAGTGGAAATAGCACTTGATCACAATTACCTGCTGAACTTGTATACTCTCGTCAACTTCACTTCTGTTTCCAAGTGACAATTTATATGTAGCAAATTGTGATAGTATATCTAAAGAATACTCTGGAAGGTTACAAATCCAATAACTTACTAGAGGTTGAATTTTGTCATTAATTTTAGTATTGAAGAGTTTGCTGATATCTAGCTTTAAATCAAGAAGGTTTTCTATGCAGGATCTAGCATCTCTCTGAGAAATTACTACATGGTTACTATCAAGCTTATTTTCAGAAATATTCAATTCAAGCAATTTAATAGCACTAGGATTCAAGTCATTAGAATAAACTAGACAGTTGGATATTTTAAGAAGAGGTAGAGTAAAAGCTCCAACCCCACATGTCAAATCAACAACAAAGGAATAATTCGGTATAATATTTACGATTCGTTGTCTTTCATAAGATAAACGTGAATTCCAATACACCTCATCAATATTTACATTATATAAAATTCCCTGTTCTTTCACTTTAGCTTTTAAATTTTTTTCGCCTGCAACAACCTCTAAAGGGTATGTTCTATATGTATTTTTTATGTTACCTATTTTTGTGACTACAGTCTTAATACCTGGGTTCTTGTCCAATAAGACTTTTCCAATAGTGTAACGATAAGGGTAAGCATTATTATTCAGATTTAAATGTGCTATATGACCTACAGTCTCAAAGCTTGACGTTATCTCAATATCTTCTGGAATGCACTGTTTTAAACATTCAATATATGATAGCCTGTCATATTCTATCTTTAAATCTATAATGTCATACTGCGCAAATTCTAATTTACTTAAAGTATTGACTAATTTTAAAGGCAGTCCAATTAATATTTCACCTGAATCAAATACTTGAACTAAATTGTCATCTATTAATTCCGGCTTAATGGTTTCTTTATCATGTACAAGCTTTGTCTTCTTATTACAATGCAAATTATACAGCACACTTTGAGCTAAGTAGATTGTTCGGAATTTATCCTCTTTGTCTGTTGATTCTCTTATAACAGGTGATATATGAGATACTTTCAAAAGAATACCATCTTGCTTAAGGAGCTTAACTAAGTTGTCACAATCTTGTTTCCTTACTTTAATACAGCCTACCTTATAAATTTTAAATATCGAAGAAGTATCCAAGTCCTTTATATCGGCCATTTTATCCTCTTAAAATATTTCAAAGCAATGAGCGGAGTACTGCTTCAAGTCAGACAATAACTATAAAGTGATCAGATATACCCTGGAAAATGAGCGCTGTATTTGTCCGTGATGTCATTATTGCGGTTAAGTTATAGAGCTGTGTACTAAAGGGTACCGAGTGGAGGTTTTAAAAGGTATGAAGATAGTAATGTATTTGACAAAAGTTGAATTGGATTTTTCAAGCCTGGAGTAGCAATACATATTAATATATGCTTCAAGACGGAATTTGTAATGCATGCTACTCGTGGAGTATAACTGGAGAAAGCGAACTAGAAATAATTAGATGTAAGAACTGCAATATATATGTCCACCGTATATGTTATGGACTTGTGGGTACTAATGAACCATTAGTAGAAAAGACAATTACATGTGAACCATGTCAGTACATACTTAAAACTAAGGGTAACCAATTAAATAAGAGACGTGGTGATAAGAGCTTGAATTGTATTATATGTCAAAACACAGGAGGAATTCTAAAGCGAGTTTTGAAACCCATGAAGTTCAATTTATATCAGAACTTCTCTAGTGAATCCTCTAATACAATGTCACCAGCTTTATGGATCCACATTAATTGTGCAATTTATTCAAATGAGTATATTTGCATCAACAATTGGAAGAATTTTTCCCAAATTGAAATTCTTAAACCAATAAATTATTTCAATATTGAAACTTGTATGTATTGTATGAAGAATATAGGTGTATTATATAAATGTCAGTATTATGAATGTAAAAGTGTCTTTCACTTACACTGCTTAGAGAATGAAGTTAAATTTAACTGTGTACTATGTATTTCAAAAAGTGACGATAATATTAGGGAGATTGAGTGTAATTTGTCATTTAAATCGTTAGCAGATTCTAATTTATTCAAGTATTTCTATTGCAATAAAGGACACTACTTAGGAGGTCAACAATTTTTTTTTTGCTCAGATCATATAAAGACAAACCGAGATTGTGACAACTTTAGGTAAGTTACTTGTTAGCAAAATACTGATTAAATTAAATCCTAGTTGCCTGGTTTAATTCAATACTAGTGTTTGAGATTTTTTTTTAATGATAACATTTATAGTAACCAGGCAAAAATAAATTGCAGTTCATTAGTTGTATTGTTTGTAAGTAACTTTAACAACCAGTCGGCTGTATAACAATTTAAGTATTCGCTATTTAAAATTATTAACATCAAAATATTATACCTTATGTCTTTAACATGTAGGTTAATACTAATGAGATGCCTTAAAAGAGATGTAAAGTGCTATGGAGAGTTGAAAGATTCTCTCAAATTCATTCAAAATACAACTAGTCAATGTGGTAGATACTCTTCAATATTAGAAGACAAATATCTAGATTCTAGAGATCCTCATCAAGCTGTTTCAGTATCTAGCTTAATTGCCTTAGCAGATATATGGACAAGAAGAGCAACAGCAATCATATCTTTAGATAAATCTTATAAAAACTTAGTTGCTGATTGTATTTATCCGTGTCTGCATTTAATAGATATTTTAAGGCTTTTAATACTGGCATATAGGCTACCTGTACTCTTAAAATATGTTGCTCATTTGGAAGATATATTTAAGTTTTATAGTGAATTTTTATTTAAGATTAAATTGAACCAAGTAAATTTAAGTATAGAAAATTTGGGAGATTCAGTGAGTGGCTTGAAAATGCATCTTTACGACATTCATAATCTATTGGCGATAAGATACATCACAAATTGGGAAAAAAAGCACAAGAAAATTATGGAATGTTTAAATAAATGGTCTTCCTCTACGGATTCAAAAACAATTTTTGGAGATATATCATTAAAAGATATACAAGAAATGATTGATGATTATAATAATATAAGCAAAGTGGAAAATATTGGTAAGTTACACAAAAATTTAATTAGGGAACCACAATCTATTATTATTTCAAAGAAATTACTAGACAATATACAGGAAATAAAAGATCAGTTAATTCAAACTTTAAATTCCAAACCTATCAATATTAATAATTTAAAAAGTATGGTTCGATATATATTAAATTGTCTCCCAAAAGATAATGGTATAGATATTAAACCACTGGTCCATACTATAAGAAATTTTAATAAGACAGAGTCCTTACTTGATGAGTTTGTTATAATGGATATTCAAGATAAAGACGATGCAAACATAAGTAATCTGGATGATATTTCTAGAAAATATATATTTCCCAAATTTGATAAATATATTTGTATTAGAGATACTTTGAATGAATGGAAATCCTTAGTCTTAAATTTATATGCAACTATATTTCATGAAGAAAGTATAAATAAATACTATCTAAATACTGTACCTAACAATGCAGAAATTAATAATACAGAAAACAAAGATCAATTTAGTATTGATATTGATTTTAATGGAGCTGATACTAATAATAAGAATGTTAACTCAAATATTCAGCTTAAAAACTTAATATATTTTAAGTATGATATATGTAATATAACCAATATTTATTTACTTATACCTTCAGAAATGGCTAAAATTAAAAGATGTATTGGAATTTATGTTGAATATCCAAGTTTTATTGATAAAATACAAAATCAGGAATATAAAAAGAAATTACAACTCATCAAAAAAGAATTTGAGATTTATAATAATTGGTTGATTGAAATTAAGCAACAAGTTGAATCCAAAAATATAGCAAATATTCTAAATATGATCGATAAAACGTATAATTTACGAATTAAACCAACTGAAAATGATATTGTCTTAATAAAAACCTTATTATCGGATGCTAGAGATTCATTGGAGCAATTTGATATGTCTTTATCTACTCCAGTAAATCTCATGAATGATAATATAGATGAACAGTTAAACGCATCAAAGTACTTAAATTGGAAAGACTATTCACTTAGACAGAACTTATTTGAATCTAAGCAAAAATATAAAAATATAGTTCTTAATTTAATTACAGGAATATTGAATGATCCATTATATATTCCTTTATATAATGAGCACAAATATGAAGTACAGCTCGAGTTACTTAACAGTATTAATTGTACAGATGAAATTTACAAATTGGGAAGTTTTTTGTGGTCTTTTGAAAAGTTTATATACAATTACTCTGAAATAAGTAGTAACCTATCTTGCTCTATATCTCCTGAAGAGCTTCAATCCGGTGATAATATTGATTACGTACGTATGAATTATTTTTATGACAAAATCTTATGTAGAATGGCATCTACTTCATTTTTATTAATATTCTGCACTCAGTTCTCCTATATCTACAGTAATTCCATTATTAAAGGTTATGTTGATACTATTATGGAATACTTAAATAAGAAACCTACTGAGTATTTATTAACAAAGGGAGAGTTATGTAATGGTTTAAGCCTTGAAATGTCAAAGGAATACTGGTGTAAGATAATCCAAAGACTCTCATCAATGCATCTATTGGTTATTTTTACTAAAAAGATAAAGTTGGAAAAAATATCTATATGTACTAGTGAACTAGAAAAATTATATAAAAATATAAAACAAACAGAAGTAGATGGTAGATGTAATGAAATTTGGTTATTGGTTACGAAATATGTATGTGAATCATTCGATACTATAGAGTGCTTTAAAATGTGGAGAAATTTAAGGTTAATGCCAAGCATCAACTCATATTCACTTATTGAACCACTAGATATACTATATAGTGAGTTATCAAGAACATTGAAGATGAGATCAATAGAACATATCTACTCTTTATGCTTATCTAAAACAATTTATGGCAATATTAAGGATTATATTGAAGATTTGGATTTAATAATTAGTGATGAAGCAATTTGTACAGAATTGAATGATAAGACTATAGTAATTAAGTCATTGATTAATGAAGTTCAGAAATGGTGTGAAGAAGCACTTGAAGTTATTACCCAAAGTATAGATTCTTATTCAAAAGCAGATAGTCGTAATGATGAAAGCATCTCAATTTATAAATATCATGTACAAAATCAGACCAATGTTGGGTATTACAAATGTTGTGAAATAAATGCACATTATCCGCTATCATATAATGAATATTTTATTTCTAAAGCTATCAATGATTTTCCATTAAGAAGTCTGGATATAAGTTCTATAAATAATAATCTACCAATGAGTATATACTCAGACTTAGCTCTAACGAACTTTTCTTTAGTAATAAACAATGGCAATTATTGTAACAAAAGAGAAGACAGTGTAGTAAAAAACCATACTATTTTAGATGGACTTTTAAATCATGTTTTAGATAAAATGAAGCAATTACAAATGATGAGGCACAAAATTTTAATGCTAATTCAAAAGCTTAGAAGTATTACAGGAGAAGTTGAAGAAACTTCTCTTTGTGATATTTCTGAGACTCTAATTAATCAGATAAAACAAATTGAAGGTAGCAATATTTATCTCTACATTGACAAGATACTGAAAACATTAGGCTTTTTGATTAATGACATTCAATTAGAAATATCAATAACTTTTTTGTTACTTATATGGGACTATCCAGATCTTGAAAATGAAATACTTAGAACTTCAGATTTTTGGCCTGATTGTAGAAATATGTGCAACTATCATTACTTACAAAATATTATCTCTTCTATAAAGAAATCACCCAACTTCAAAGGACTTTTAAATAGCAAACTTTGGAGTTTTAATAAAAATGAAATTTTAAATAGACTCAGATTTATTCAAGCTTGGATAGAAGAAGTTTCTGATCTACCTTTAAATTCTTCCTTTATAAATCCATACAAAGTCCTTGTTTTATTTTCAAAGTATAGTAAGATTATAAAGACACAAGTACAAATGGACAATACATGTATGATATGTAATATTTCACAAATTAAATTCAATGAAACTAACTATATTCACTTCCCAGAAATTCAGCTTAGTATAAGTAGATTAAAATTAATAGAAGCATCTAAGAAAATCTTACATTTTTACAATAATATTAAAGAAGATATTTGTTTTTTTTTTAGTTATATTAAGAACTCTATTAATGCAGATTTGGCGAAATTAGTAAGAGATGGTATATACTCTCATACTCCAACTAACTCTACCAAATTCCTAAGATTTATGCCTATAGAAGTAATAGAAGCTTTAAGAAGAGAGTCAAAAAGTCACATGAATATTCGAGAACTTCAAAAAGATAAATATATAGAGAAATATTATAGAAATAGTAGTGTCAATTGTTCGCTTATAGAGGAAATGGATCTAGTTTATTTTTCAAGCTCATTATGTTTTGTAGGGCTGAAGTTTGTACAGAAAGTGTATAAAAATTGTGAACTAGAAACTATTGACTTTACATCTTGGTGTAATCAGATATTCCTTACTTCAGTTATTTCGAGTTCTCCAATTGATGCTATCAAAAGTACTGCAAATTTGATGTATAGACAACTAATAAGTATGTTTGAAGAGTCTCACAGATTTGAAGAATATGTAGTTAATGACGATACTGAATTCTATTATAGCAAGTTTCCTTCATTAAGTAATTTATCAGGATGGAATATTAATGGAGTTCTTATTTATATTTTAAGTTATAGAGTAAAACTGATGGAATGTCTTTCTAGAGCAGAGTATTTACCATATGGGCTTGTACTTGAGTTATTAGATATATTAGATAAAATAAAAGATCAGCTCAATTACAATGGTTTTTTAAATAGAGAGGAATTTTGCAAATTTTCGAAAGTTTTGTATTTGGAAAAAAGTGAATTATGTAGTGCAAATTCATGCATAAATATTGAAGAGTATTATTTACTTCAAAACAAACTTTATACTTTAAAGGAGTTTATTTTAAATAGAGAATCAATTGGCAAAGAAGGTGTTTCAATATTTTTAAGTGATGAATCATACGATATATCTAATTGTGATGATGATAATATAAACACAAATTACTCATTAGTAGGTCTTAAGTATCAAGTAGAATCTTTTAATCCGTTAATAGATGACATTTTGACTAAGACAAAGATACTACATCCTTTAATGGAAAATACTTTAATGTATCAAGAGGAAATCAACCAATGGACTTATATTGCTCATACTATTATTAAAGATTTAGAAAAAAGAAGTGAAGTAAAAAATTCTGATAGTAATGATACTGAAAAGTCATTTATATTGAAAAAAAGTAAGCACAACTTACAATACCCATATTGGCTACCAGATAAATTAAACTATCCAAGTTTAATATATATCATTGATAATCTTCTATTTTATTATTCTAAGTATTTTATTAAAATTGGATTTACCAATATAGATATCATTGATTATTCCAATAATTTAATTCAAATTAAAATTAATTTAGAAAATATTGAAAAATCAATAAATAGCATTTTAGAACTAGCTAATAATCCTGAAACAGAAAATCAAATCAAAGAGGAAAGTAAAATAAAGAGAGAATCCCCAATAATTCTAGATATGGATGAAATTATTAAACCTCCACTACTTGGTGAAAATAAAATAAAACAAATTTCAAACCAAATAGATTATTACTCAATAGAAAATTATCCACCACCTACTCCAAATGTAAAAAAAATTAATGAGCTTAAAGTATGGATTAAAAAAAGAGATGATTTGATTGTAAATATTCTTACAAAAATAACCAAATTACATAAACTTCCCAAAAATAATATAAACTCTGATAAAAATAATAAAGAATTCAGAATTGATAATACAACAAACATACTTAACGATAATGTGAAGTTCTTGGAATATTTGAAAGATTTAAAAGAAATATTATCAAACAATAGTGAATATATGTTAAACACTAAAGTCTTTTTTAAAGGATATTTTGCATATTTTACGGGAGTAGTAAGATACTATTTTGCATATGGTACTAGTAATATATTGGGATGTAGACCTAATCACTTCTATGAAGAAAGTGAAGATAATCTAGAAATTAAAATTGGAAATTCTGAAAATTTTTTTAAAGATGAAGAGAAACCAATTAAAAGACAAAAACTTCAGATGCAATTATCAGATAATCAAGTATCTCAAAATAATGAATTTAATATCTCAGTTACAGATAATACTAAAAAGAACTTAACTTATAACTTATATAATTCAAACAAGAAAATTCAATTAAATTTTGTACCAACTATTCAATATAAAGACCTGATAAGACTTTATAGAGAATGTAATGTTTGGATATCAAATGTAGATCAGAGCCAAGAGTTAAAAAAGTCTATTGAATATCACTTACTTGAATCTTTTATAAATCATGGATCAAAAATAATTAATAAAATAACCAGTTTTGACGATAATAAAGAAGTTAATACATCTATAATTAATTATTGCCTTCTGCATTTTATATATCCATTAATTCCTATAGGTCAAAATGAAAGTCCCAAACATTGTCCTTGCTTGGCTTTATTAGATATTCGTGAATTATTAGATGATTACAATAAAATATTATGTGAAAAATTGGAATTTATAATGGAAGAAGTAATTGAATCTAATACAGCTAATATATTAAAAGAATTTAATATTTCATATAAAACTTATCTTGTCACTCTTATAAATATTAATATTTTTACTAAATATGATGGTAATTTATTATATAGTATTAAAAATAAAAATATAAAAAATGGAAATAATCAATATCATAAAATTTGTCATTTTAACATCTGCTCAAATGTATTATACCCTGATAATAATGAATTAAATTTAAGTATAAATATAGTTGAATTATTTAGACTACTTCAAAATAATACATGCAATTTCTCAATAAACATAAGTTGGCCACATATACCATTATCATTACCTCTTACAATTAAATCTTGTATTTATTATATTAGAAATTATATAAAACAAATATGGGAATTCCTCCTATTTTCATATAAAATACCCGAGTTATCTATAAATTCCATTAACCAATATATTAAGAAAATAGATCATGAAATATTTACAAAATCTCACAGTAATGAAAAGTTTAATAATAAAAATATGTCATCTATTTTTGCAAAATATCTGGATAAATCTTTTAACTATCATATAAAACATCTTGCTAAATTTGCTATAATGAATTATCATAAACTTATAAATATTCATCATTTTTATAATCGTGATATTATTGATTCCATAAACCAACACAAATATTTATTTATAAATAAATGGGGTTATTATGAAGATCACATTAAAAATATTCAATCTGATAATATATCTGAAGATGAAGAATATTCTGTAGAACAATATCAAAAGGATATCCAAGAACAATCAAGTGAAAATCTTAGTAACACAAATTTACTTCTTCAACATCCAGGATTTCAAGTTCTAAATCAAATAAGTTTTATTTGGTTAGGATGGTTATCTATATACCCACCAGGAAAACAGCATATTTCTAAACAATATTATGAAATATCTAATTATGAAATTCCTATAGGATTATTTCCAATAGGAAATTCTAATATGACATTAAGTAGTGAAATTATAAATGAAATTCAAAAATCTTACAAACTTATATATACTAATCAAGTATGTAATCTTTCAGATCTTAAATTAAATAAAAAAAGTTCTTTTGTTCTTATATCAGCTCCATGGTCTAAAAGTAAAAATATACAAGATAACCAATTAAATCATTTATTATCTGAACTTGTATCTTTAAATTCTAAAGGTGAAAAGTTAAAAGTAATTCAATTCTTATCAAAATATGAATATAATACTCAAAATTCCGATATTATAGATGACAGTTATTTTAAACTATGGTTACTTCCTAGTATAAATCTAACAACTACATTTCATACCAAAAAGAATCCTCCAATCTCGTGTTATTATATGATTGGTATCTTAGAATATATTCAGAGTTCCTGTAAGGATCATTATTCTAATGAACATGAAGAGTTACTTTATGAAATGTTACCAAGTGTACAACAAGTCTATAAAATAGCAAAATTCTATCATGATAAACTTTATAAGTGTGAAACATGCTTAGAATTCTTATTAGATACAGAAACTCCAGAATTCGACAAAATTTGCAATGAGACAATCATAAATAATGAATTCAATACAAATCAAAGTTATAAGTCAAATCTAAACACATCTGAGGAGACAGTTAAAACCAATTTTAATATGTTTTCATCTGCTGGTACATTGTTATCTAGTTTATTATCTATAAGTAATGTAAATAAAGACCATAATGATGAAACATTTTATGACTATTCTAAAAATTCCGAAATATTCACATTAAAACAGTTGGCAACTTCATTAAAAAAGAAGGCTCAAAATACATCTATTGATTAATTATAAGTACCAATATTATCTAAAATATCAAGCCATTCAGTAAACCATTTATATAATTTAAACAAATACTACTTTAGTTTATTCATCTTAGAAAGAAAACTAATTTCATATGACTCATTTCTAGCCTTTAATTCATTATTTCTCCTTGATATAATTGATTTGTAATGTTTATCCATTATTACATTAAAAGAACCATAAGACTTCCTACAATTGATATATATAGGATCAATAATATTGCTATTATATATAGAGCCCTTAGCTTTTATATCTTCATATCCTGGAATACACCAGCCAAGAGTTTCTTCTTGTTTAGCAATATATTCATCATGCTTTTCTCTAGCTTGAGCTACCTGAATAAATCTCAACTAAACAGGCTATATAAACTACTCCAGAATATTATAGAACTAAATAATAACTTACTCCTATTATGTTTGAAGATAACTTAATTGATCCTTCTTCTAAAACTTTGTTATCTAAAGGGGGTCTCATTCAAATTAATAGCTCTTGAAAATGACAAAAATAAAAATGAGAAGTAACCCTCTGTATCTAGGCGGTACAGCATAAAAATTCAATATATCGTTAAAATAAGAAATAGTGCTTAAATTGCTTATTAGAATAAAGGGGGAGTGAAGTCCTCTTTTTATTTATTTACTTATTTAAGTCCATGGCAAAAAATTAGGGAACCACATATTTCCGAAAATAAACGTAAATATATGATAAAATAGTAGAATTGAAGAATATGATGGAAATATCTTGTAAAAATAGGCTAATAGTGTAAAATATAAGGGGATACAATTAAAAAGTCGAATTAAAACTTCTACATGTCCGAATAATAAAACATAAATGAATAAGAAATAAATTTGAAGTACATATCCAAGCCACGAATAAGTTGATTTAAATGAATAGATCTTGTATTTTACTATACTAATGGATGAAACCACAATAGGAACTATTATGGGGATAATCCACAAAAATTTATCCACTTTTTGTAATTTCCAATAATTAAATAGATAATTTCCCCAATATTCGCTCTGTACAAATGAATATATATTTGGGATTTTTGAATTACACCAAGGTCGTACAATATCACTTAGTACACAATATCTATAGTAACACCAATATATATACAAGGCAAATGGAAATATGACAGCAATAAATGAAATAAATGCAGATATCCAGTGTATTATAATTCTCTTAATATTTGATAATTTAAAAGGTATAGATGTTGATAAGAAATAAAAAAATAATGGAAATGAATTAAAAATACCATTTGATCTTATTCCACTAGAAATTGAATACATAATAATGCCAATAATTAAAAATGACAAATTTTTAATTTTAAAAAATCCTTCTTTATGACAATATATTTCTGCATTTAATAAAAAATAGGCACCCCAAAAAGAGACACAACTATATAAACTTTCAGTATACAATGATGAATTGAAGATATTTGATGTTGGGAAAATATACAGGAGTACAGCAAGTCCAGGGTAGACTATATTTGAATCTGGATATCTTGACAATAAAGTCATTTGAAACATAAATAACCCAATTGCAGCAATAATAAAGGAAATATTATTTACAATAATGCCAGAATATATAAGATGTATTGAATTAATATTTTGACCACTTAAGAATACTTGACAAATTTTTCTAATAAACCAAGGATATATTGGTAAGAAGGCATGTTGATGTTCAAAATGATAATCTTTGACATATGCTAATCTAAGATAATATTCAGCATCCCAATTAATAAAAGAACTTAAGAATCTCCATTTATTTGTATTTTGATATAGGTGCAAAAGGTTTTGATTATTATACAATAAAGTTATTGAGCTGGTATTACGGATATTATCTGTAAAAAACCCATTACTCGAATAAGCTACAAACATACATATTGCACGAGATATAATTGAAAGTATAACTATGCGTTTAATTGATGTTATTTCAGCTTTCATTCGCTATAACTAGGAGTTACAAGAATATATTTAAACTGTAGCTACTAAACCCAGTGTAATGATTATGTCTTGCGCCAATCAAGTGCAACAAAATATGAGCTTGTTTGTAATATTATAGTACTGTATTGAATTAATAAATTATATTTTACTATATGTTAGATATTGGAGATATCTCTAACTTTAATCAATATGTAAAATTTGCCTGTGTTTTAATAAATATTGAAATAGATCAGGAATCTAGAAGTAGTCTTTACTCTTTATACCCCCCCTATAGTTAGAATATATGGTATGACCCCTGCAGGACAAAATTGTTTATTAAATATACATGACTTTTATCCTTATTTTTAGGTGGAGATATCTGATGAAGTTGAGAAATCTGAAGAAAATGATTTTTTATATTCCTTGAGATGGCATTAAATGATATAATTGTCAGATGCAATTCATCTAATCAGAATATATATGAATATGAAGAATCAGAATATTCAGAAGATTTAGAAATGGTAAATAATGAATATGAATTAGATCGGTTAATTTATAATAAAAATAAGAAGTCAAAATTATGGACGGATAATTTTGATATTGAAGATAGCATTTTGGATCATTTTAATATTCAAGAAGACTTTAGTTTTGATAGAATAAATATAAAAAGTAAAAATAAGACTTCATGTAGTAAATATAAGCCAAAATTAATATTTAAGTTGTGTATTGAAGATAAATATCCATTTTATGGATATTATAGTAAACCTAGGAGAATGATAAAAGTACAAGTATATAATTACAGGAATATATTACAATTAGCTAGTGAATTATCAAAAAGACCAATTGAGTTTAATGGTATCTGTTTTGAATGTTTTGAAGTTCATATACCTCTAAAGTTAAGATTTCTTACAGATTTCAAAATAAATGGAATTGATTATATTTTTACTCAAAAATATTACATTTAGATCTCCATTACCGAAAAAAATACGAAGCCTTGATCCTCCACACAATCAATGGAAAAAGGAAATAATACTAAATTCAATAGATCATTTAAGATGTATTGAAGATCATGCTAGAAAAATTATTACTAATAAGTTATTCCCTATATTTTTTACAGAATATAGCCACTATTTTGATATTAAAAATAAGCGTAGTGTTGATTGGGATAATAGTGTTGAACTAGAAGCTGATACAAGTGTTAGTGATATACTCAATCCTTTTATATATTCACAATTAAATAATAGAGGATATATAACTCCGAAATGTATACAAAATATTGAAGATAATATAGAAAACTGGTACCCTAGACTAATACCATGTTTGAACAAATACTGGAGAGAGGTATCTAATGATCCTATTACTCAACATATTACCAGATTACAGAATTTTCAGGATAACAGGAAACCTAATAGTAATTTAGATCAAAGGAGTGAAGATTATAAGAACCAATTAATACAAACTATCACATCTGGAATTGACATAATATTAAATAGATGTAAGACAATAAATAAAAGTAAATATAGAGGATTATTAGAATTTTTGCGTAGTAGATATCCTAATTATAAAAATACCCGTATAAATTTTGAGAGACAAGAGGCTAGAGATGAAAATTCAGATAGACCAACCTGTCAATTAGAAACTGATAAGACCCCACAAGAGTTATACGTGTATCTACCGCCTACATCGATACAAACCCCGCCTATAGAGGAGACAATATTAGAATATTTTAATACAGAATATGATTTGTCAAATAATAACAAGAGTTCAGAAGAATGTCATCCTAATGATATACTACAATATAACAATTCATTTAAATATGTTATTGGCGGTTCTATACAAAATTCTAATATTGTAAATAATATTAATGATATTGCTGATAAATATAATAGCCCAAAGCACTCTATTTTATAAAGATACAGAAAATAAAGGAATTGTATATAGTCAAGAACTAGAGATTATTGATGTAGATTCTCAAGAGACTATAGATAATGCTTGTTTATTTCCTACACTTGAACCAGCTGCTTTTTTAGATCCAATAGACTTTATATATCCTAGATCAAATAAATTGACAAGTTTAGAATCTGTTTTTTTATTCAAGGGTACATTTGTATATAAAATAGCCCCATCTACAACTAGTGAAGTTTTAGCCTCACTTGGACTTGATAAATCTATAATTAGTAAATATGAACTATTTGAGAAATCCCCTACAAAGGAAATTTCAAATGAGATAGAAAATATTAGTAACTTAGAAAAGTACAATTCTGAAGATTTGGATGAGATTAAACATAGGGATAGTTATGATATAGTTGAGCCAGTTTCAAGATATTCTGGTATCTTAATTATGCAATTCCTATAAGTCAGCATATTATTGATTTACTTACAATGATATCCTTAGATGTAATTGTAGATACTCCAATAAATTATAATAGAAGTAATCCTCTTGATGATAGTATTATTGCCTTAGCCTACATATTACGCAGTAAGAAATATAATGAAGAAATAGTATCTGGTCTAATTATTGTGGATAAGGAAACAACTGTAAAATATTCAGATCCTACAAATTCTATAAATCTTATAAACCATTCTTTACTAAGAAGTCTTTTTAGTTTGGAGTCTTTCCTAAATTTAGATTTGACTATTAGTGAATACTGAAATAGAACTTATTAATGCTATAGTTAAATTATTTCATTATTATGACCCACATATAGTATTAGCTCTAGATAATAATATATATGGTATTGGATATATTGCTGGAAGAGTAACAAAATTGCTAAAAAAATTTCTATAATATAATAGGTCGTAGAAAGTCTAATTCATTTAAACTTCAATTTAATAAACCAGAAAGACGCATTAACGGAAGAATATTACTTTATATTGACCGAATTATAAGATTAGAATACAATACATTAGATACAAAAATTTATTCAATTATAAAACTTATTCTTAACAATATTATACAAAACATTAATCCTCCAGTTTTAGCAATGTGGTGGAAATATACACTTCCAAATTGTGATACTAGGTATTTTAATTCTGGTAAACAAGAAAGCTCCTCCATAGCATATAAATCATTTAGATATAAGGTTGTGAGTTATATTTTTAAGAAATTAAATATGTTATATGAAATATTGGATAAATTAGGAACTATCCCAAAATATATTGAATGGTCACAACTTTATGGATTAGACTTTCTTTCAATACAAACTCATGGATCTCAGTATAGAGTAGAATCTATATTACTAAAAGCTTGTGAGAGGCATAACTTTGTATTATTTTCACCAACTAAAGAATAGGTTATGAATCAAAATGCTTTAATAGGCTAACCTATGGTTATTGAGCCTAATAGCTCTTTACAGTACTCACCTGTTACTTTACTTGGCTTTCAAAGTTTATATCCAAGTATAATGATGGCTTATAATATGTGTTTCTCAACAATTCTCGGAAATATTCATACAAGTGTGAGTAGTGATAATCAACACATAAATGAAATTACTAACAAGCTTGGAACTAAAAATAATTATCCATGGTTTCAAATGATTGATTGTATATTTAAAGAATATGCAAACATTGAATTACTAAGTTACCATACAGATAATATAAATTTTAATCGAAATATTATGAAGAAAACTAGTACTATAGATGAAATAAATCTCAGAGAATTTGTTAATAAATTATTTTATACTACTCCAAATAAATCTGTATTTGTAAGAAGTACGTCAAGGGCTATTACCACAATTAATAGATGAGATATTGAAAATAAGACTTATGTTAAAAGAATGTAAATCCTGCTATGAATTATATAGGGAAGAAATAATGAATAATTATAATCAGAAAACTAATTATGCTAAAAATAAGCTTTCAAATTATTCAATACATGAATATTCTAGTGTTATCAAATCAATAGACTCTACCCTGAAATACTTAGAGTATCGTCAATTAGGACTAAAATTATTTATGAATATATTATATGGTTACGCAGCAGCTAGTTTTTGTGGTAGAATACCTCTGAGTGACTTAGCTGATTCAATTATTATGACTGCAAGGGATACAGTACACAATTATATTAAAACAATAAATAATCACACAAGATAGAATGCCCAAATTATATATGGTGACACTGATAGTGTCTTTGTTAAACTTGAAGGAAGGAGTTTACAAGAAGCTTTTACAATTACAAATAATATAGTTGATACCGTAACATCTATGAACCCTTTCCCAATCAAATTAAATACTCAAGGTGTACTTTTACCATGTTTGCTTATTTCAAAAAAAAAATATCCAGGTTTCATATATGAAAAAATTGGTAATATTTGGAATGAAAGTACTCCAAAATTTATATGTAGAGGTAACAAAATTATTAGACGTGACCAATGCCAACTAGTAAAATCAACATTTTCAAAGGTACTAATTGATTTATTCCAAAATCGTGATATATCTTCTGTTAAGAGAATTTTAATTAATGTAAGAGAACAAATATTTTTAGACAATATTCCTATAAACGATTATATTTTTTATGGAGGCCTTCACTCTAATCAATTCAAAAAGAAAATAGTAAATAGCTGCCATTTAACACCCGAATCAAAGAATTTGTATCGTAATATAGGCAATTCTATAAAAAAATTACTTTTGGTTATGGCACCCAGTTCATTTGGATCTGTTGTATTTCCAGAAGAGACTATACTTGGATGGAAGCATTTGACACCTTTGCTATTGCTTTTGCTACCATCTAAATATTCATCTATTAAAGCAAATAGAACTAGTGATAAAGATACCAGGATATTTTATCAATGGCATGTTCATGAATTATTAATATCTGGTTTAGAAAAGCAAAATAATGAACCAAAGTTTTCAGTTGATTTTTCTCGCTATTATATAGATTATATTTTGAAGCCACTAAACCGAATTCTAGGATTAATACCTATTCTATTTAAGTCATATATATTATCAAGTAGGGAACAGTTGAAAACTACTATTTTAGATTAGTGGAAACCTAAAGGATTACACTTTGTTGATATAGAAGATCTTGTTCCCAGCAAACAATTATGTACAACCCCAGCACTTAATACTAATAAAATATGTCAAGTTAGTAATCCTTATTATCATTGTAAGCAAGCTAGTATAAACGAATATTTTTATTATAAATGTAGTATTTGTAATAAAGTTTCTCATATAGCTAATAGAAAAAGTAATACTAGATCTAAATACATTATTTGTAAATCCTGTATGGAAGATGGAGAACAAACTTTTGCTTTGATTGGGAGTAATTTAAATAGTATAGAAAATAAACTTTATAAAATTAATAAAATTTGTCTTAACTGTAGTGGCTGTGGATTTCAAAGTCCGTGCATGCCACAATGCATGGCATTGTCAAATTTATGGCATAAAACTTATTTTATTGAGAAGGTAAAATTATTGGGGTTCATTATATTTCAATAATATCTTAAGACAGTATTAAATGAATCTAGAAGTTAATTAATTCTTGAGTATTACACAGAAATCTCGGTACATTTAGGCGGTATAATTTATATTTAATAAAAATTCCACGATATTATAATGTTGCCTAATTAGCGCATTTTATTTGTGGCTACCTTGACATTATGTATAAGCTATTACATTATATACCAATAATAACTCATATTAGGAAGTATGGACGACTTTTTAAATAGAGCTCTAAATATTAAAGGAGATATAGGAGATGAAAACGATTTTGTCCAGCTTAAGTTTTATATTTTAAGTAATAAAGAAACTACTCTAGAAGATTTGTCCTTATATTGTATAGATATATATAATGTCATACTTAAAGAAGGTATGATGAATTATAATTGGGACACGGTTCCATTTATATTGAATATAGAAAGTAATAATGGTGTGAACTATATTACTTGTAGTATTACGATAAATGCATATTATTTAGATGAATGGTATATGATATATATTGCTTATTTTATATCTGAAAAAATAAGCAATATAGCAGTTCAAGTTATAGACAATGATGGTGATCCACTTATTGTTGAAATATGCGACGTTTTACCATCATGGGTTAACCCTGATTGTGAGCTAAATAGATGTTTTATATATCAAGGGAAATTACATTTAATATCACCTAGAATTTTGGAACACTCAAGAGATATAAAACAATCTTTGGATATCTTGAAGAATAATAGAGGAGAATGTGAGACAAATGAGGCTTTTGATTCAATATTAAAGAAGAAATTTAACAAAATTTTAAACTTTAGTATCCCAGAAAAATCTCACTATTTTCATATATTAATTCCCAAAGTAGTCGCAAATGTTTTACATAAATATCACTATTTGTTAAGTTTAACTTTACGATATTTACCATATCGTTCAGATATGCCTACTTTAAGACAGTACAAAATGTCATCAGCACTACCAAATATACCAGACTATCTTTGTTCAAGTGAATTAGTACGCTATAGGATTAGAATGACAAGAACTCAATATGCAAGGTTTGTCCATGAAATCCTACCTATGAAATTGCCGATGGAATTTACTAATAAATTTGGTAATAAAAGTGTTGTAAAGGATTACAATAGTAAAAGTAATATTGAAGTTCAACGAGGTATGAGAATATGTTATGGATTATATTTAGCATATTTAGATAATCCAAAGGATTTCCAAGGCATTCTTATTTGGGCTAATCCATCAAATAAATTCTCTGATAAGGACTCTGAGATATTTTTTTCAAATTTGGATTTAGTAAGAAAACATAAATCTCTTGATTACAGAGGTATATGGGATATAATTATATCAAATGAAGGCTTATTAAAATCAAGTGAATATTTCGGGGATACTAGCAAAGATATAGATGACTTAGATGAATGGTTCTATAGTAGCTGTGCTCAAGATTTACTTAAAGAAATTGAAGGATTACATTCAATTGATCATTTAATTAACCTAGATAATAAAAAACGAAATTCCTGTCTAAATATTACAAGGATTATGGAAGGAAAGTCTCAATTTGAGGGAATTGATCTCTCAACAGACTCTGATAATAGTAGCCTTGAGCTTAGTGACTCAGAAGTAGATGAACAAATTTCTGAATTAAGGAACTTAATGAATAAGATGGATGATGAGCTCAGAAATTCTCTCAAGTCAGAATCAATACCCGGATTTATGAATAACAAAGAAGTATATGAAGCGGTCAAAAATACACTAGAAGAGACAATAGATATGGAAAACGAATTTGGACTTGTTGGTCCTGCAACTACCCTAAGTTATGCAAATATAAATGAGAACAAAGAACATTAATTTTCTAAATTTAAATATTTAATTTGGATATAATCTTTCAAATATCTATAAGTAGTGGATAATTTACAACTTAATAAGAAAATAAAAGAATTCCTTGTAACTTCAAATAATTAACTTATACTGACTTGAAATAGACTTTTAATATTATTCCTGAAGTTCACTAGACTTACCATAATCTTTATATTGATATATAATATTTCTTATCTGGAGATCTTTAGTAATATACTTATTACTGGAGATCTGAATTAGAGACGAGACGGTGGGGTGTGTTAAAGACATCTATACCGGTATGTTACTATCTGTTACCTCTAATTTTGGATTAAAGTTAGATTAATTAAATAGTAGAAATTAGGAACCTTTGTCAAGAATCTTCACAACTTTAGTGTATAAGAAAATTCTATAACTTAGTTTAACATTATTGTTGATATATACTCCAATTTTACATAAATGATGTCAGTAATACCAAAAATTATGGATGAAGGAGCTCAAGAGAGCAAAGGGGAGATGGCTCGTATGCAATCAATAATTGGAGCAATTGCTTTAGGTGACTTATTAAAGACAACATTTGGTCCTAAAGGTATGGACAAAATTTTACAACCAATTAAGGAGGGTCCAATAGATTCTAATCCTATAATAACAAATGATGGTGCTACTATACTGAAATCTATATCAATTGATAATCCTGCCGCTAAAATACTTGTTGATGTAAGTAGACAACAAGATATTCGTTGTGGGGATGGGACTACTGGCGTTGTAATTTTAGCTGCTGAGTTACTAAAGCAAGCAGAGAAACTGCTAGAACAAAGGATACATCCTCAAGTTATTATTAGTGGTTATCATTTAGCCTTGCAGGAGGCTCGTAAGGCTTTAGAATTAAGTTCATTTGATAATAGTGCTAATAAAGCAGTATTTGAACAAGATTTATTAAATATTGCTAAGACTACATTAAGTTCTAAACTTCTAACTCACGAGAAGGACCATTTTGCTCAATTAGCAGTAAATGCAGTATTGAGACTGGGAAATAAACCAAATTTGGATTATATTCAAATTATAAAAAAGATTGGTGGATCACTACAGGACTCATTTCTAGAAGATGGTTTTATACTTGAGAAGAAAATAGGAGTTGGACAACCAAAGAAAATGACTAACTGTAAAATTCTAGTTGCTAATACCTCCATGGATACTGATAAGGTAAAAATATATGGAGCAAGAGTAGCAGTAGATAGTATGGAGGCAGTTCAAGCAATTGAACAAGCTGAGAAGCAAAAGATGTATAACAAAGTTCAGAAGATTTTAAGTCATGGGTGTAATGTATTTATTAATAGACAACTTATATATAACTATCCCGATCAACTATTTAAAGATGCTGGAATTATTGCTATTGAACATGCAGACTTTGAGGGTGTTGAGAGACTATCAGCTGTTTTAGATGCAGATATTGTAAGTACCTTTGATAATCCAGAGAAAACTAAGCTTGGATACTGTAAAACCTTAGATACTGTTATGATAGGTGAAGATGAACTTATAAGATTTTCTGGTTGTTCAAAGAATGAAGCCTGTACAATTATTTTACGTGGGGCTTCTTCACATATATTAGATGAGGCTGAAAGAAGCTTACATGATGCATTATCAGTCCTATCACAAACTATTCAGGATTGTCGTGTTGTATATGGTGGAGGATGTAGTGAAGTTATGATGAGTGTTGCAGTAGATAATCTTGCAAAGATCGTCGAGGGTAAGAAAAGTTTAGCTATTGAAGCATTTTCTTCTGCATTGAGACAAATACCTACTATCCTATTAGATAATGGTGGATATGATAGTACTGAGATTGTTACTCAACTACGTGCTTTACATAATCGTGGTAATAATACTTTTGGTATAGACTTTAAGGCTGCTAAACCTGCAGATATGAGTGAGCTCAATATATTGGAGTCATTTGAATCTAAATTATCTCAAGTTTGTTTTGCAACAGAGGCAGCTGAGATGATTCTCCGTGTTGATGATGTTATTCGTTGTGCTCCAAGACAAAGGAAAGGAGTTTAGATACATTACAGATAAATATAAATCATCAATTTCTCAGTTAATTTTGTACCTAGTTAATTTATTAGTCATTAGATCTATGAATTATCCAGTACTTTGTAAATAATGAGAATTTAATTTATCTGGTAGTAATCGATAACACTTTAGTGTGTCCTTACTATTACGTAGTTAACTTTTTTTAATAGTCCAATTTTCCATAAATATTAAGTACTTTGATATATTTATGTGCATTATATTTAACAAGATTCTGTTCAATCTTGTATAGTAGCTTAGATTTCTAGAATGAACAGTTTTTTATAAATCTCCTATAGTTTGGGACACAGTTGGGAAAGGGGGTATCTCCACAAATTATAGCGCCGATATATAGGGGTACCGATTTGTGCTAAGGTTGTTTAAGCTAGTAGAAATAATAAAGGGATTAGAAGCATTGTCTCATTACAAATGAAAATTTTGTTATTATATACTATAGCATACATAATCTGGATATACAGTGTATTTGCATATGAAGATAATTATGAGAAGGTAACTCAAACTAATGTTATAAGAAATTTTTACTTAACGAAGAGAGTTGTACGTGTGTTTCTAGAAATAAGCCTTAGAAGTAACAATTCCTCAAACATTAGAGATTTCGAATATGGAATTTTTTTCCCTACTCTAGTATATTCTAAAGTTGGTTATATATCTAGTGGCATATCTCCACTGAATCTAAACATATATACCATAAATTGTGAAGAATTTAACAAAACTAATAATAAACATTTCTCTAATTTGTCTGAAGATATTTATGTCTGTAAAATTAATATTCCTGAATTAACAAAGAATTTAACAACTATATATATAGAATATTACATTGGTGATCCATACAAAACACTTCCTGATTCTATATATATAAATGAAAATCAATTAGTTGAATTCAAAGATTTTCAATATTTTCTAACTCCTTACAAAGTTGAAAATGAAAAGACAATTATTCATTTTTTATTAGGTACACAAATTGAAAGATTTTTGCCCACTTCAATGAAAAGACAGGATACCAAATTAACATACATCCCTAAAAATAATACAGATATTCAAACCCCAGAGAGTATGTTATATGTACATTTTAATTTAAATAATCATCTTGTCATCTATAAATCTGTGAATAGAACTATTGAAGTTTCACATTGGGGTAATGTTTATATTAAGGAAGAGTATGCTGGTAAAAATCAAGCAGCAACCCACAAAGGTGAATTTAATAGAAAAGAAATAATGCTTTTAGCAGGACAAGGATTTGCTAGAATGAGAAATCCAGGTTCTGTATTGCCTCAAAATACACATATTTGTTTTCAAATGGATCATATATTACCATATCGTGCTATTGGATTGGAATATTATGATAAAATTGGCAATATTTCCTATTCTCATGCATCTAAAGTAAATTCTCGTTATACACTCATACAAGCTGAACCTAGATCTCCAGTAATGGGTGGATGGAATTTTGATTATGTTATTGAATACAATTTACCTTTGGAAAATGTTGTTTTTTATGATTATGAGAAAAAAACATATATGTTAAATATAACATTAACCCCATCTGCAAAAGGTATATATGCAGAAAATGTTACTACACATATTCGCCTACCTCCTGGGTCATCGGAAATTCAATTTTTACTCCCAAAAAATCGAAATATTCCTTCACTTAAGAAACAAGAAGATTTAAGTTATTATTATGGCTGGTTAGACATCTTCAAACCTAGACCAGTTATAATATACAGTGCACATTCTATGTATATTCCTGAACAACATATTTTAAATTTCAAAGGTCAAGTTTATTATCAAATAAAATCTGAGTTCCTTTTAAAATACAAATTATTTGTTATTCCAGGGATAATATTTATTTCACTCTTATTATTTGTTCTAATTAGACGGTTAGGAAATTCAAATAGAAAAGATAAATATGTTTAGCATACTAAATTAATTGTAATCTATCATTTCTAGAAATTTAAAAATTAATTATTGTAAATTATAATTATTTATATAATTTATTAATGCAAAATTTAAATAAATATTTAAGTATTTATTTAGTTTAATGTTATACTTTGTAATGTAAAATTTGGAATAATCTCGAAAATTCAATATTATAAATCAATATTTACCAATCTATAATAATACATATAAGTTACATTTAGTTATAAGTAATAAGTAATCACACAATTATTTGTAATAAAAATTTAAGTACCATATATAAGCTGAGTGTAAATAGCACCCATGGAATCTAAAGGGTGCACTATTACGACACACAGAAACAAATAATCTAGATTTGCCAACTTTTCGAAAAAATATCCTACAAGGAATATCTTGAATTAAAGGGATTTATACAGTATATAAATGAATAGATAAATTATTACTCAGATCAATTGGGAAAAGGCTGACTGAGAAAGCTACGGATTACATCTAGCAAATATTTTAAATCTAAATATAAAGACTATTAATGTTAATATGTATACTGTGCATGAAAGTTGCAAAAATAATAATTCAGGAGCTGTTAAAATATTTGAATGTGAGATTTCAAATTACCAACCATGTCTAATTGAAAGGGGTATAAACCATAGTAAGGAATCATATCAAAAAGATAGTAACTTAGATGAAATCTTGAAAAATAATCAGAATGAATACTTTGATTCATTAGATATTTCAGATGAAATGTCTGATTATTCATCTACTTTTAAAGATAAATATATAACAAATTATAATTCAGATAGTAATCAAATTAATAAACTTAGTACAAAATTCAAAACCTGTCTACAAACAAGCAATCAGAAAAATAAATGTGTCTTAACACCAAAAAAAAATAAAATATGTAATATTGGAGGATTTAAAGATACTTATTGGTATAGGAGAATAAGAGGTTGGGAAAAAATCATTGATGAAAAATATAATAGTGTATATAGTAGCTATGAACGTAAGGAAATGATTGGTACAGGGACATATGCAAAGGTTTGGTTATTACAAGATAAAATTACAGGCCAAAAGTATGCAGGAAAATTATTAGAACCACATACATATCCAAGTGATACAGTAGATAGGATAGAAAGAATGTTTCAGTCAGAAATAGAAAATTTAATTGAGAGTCAATGCCCTGGAGTTGTAAGACTTCATAAAATTGTTGTTGGACCAGAAGGTTGTCTTCTTGTTCAAGATTATGTTGATGATGGTACAATTTGGAGAGAAAATTGTTGTGCTGATGAAGATGAGGCTTTTTTACACTTTATTCAATTAGTACAAAGTGTATTATACTTCCAAGATAAAGGGGTAGTACATAGAGATCTAAAACCAACTAATATTCTACGTTATTCTAACAAAACAATAGTTATTGGAGATTTTGGTTGGAGTGAAAAAATTGATAAACTTCATTTAAGTCCATCTGAATGGCCTGGAACCTTAGAAATTAATCCTCCTGAGGTATTAACATTTAAGGGCCCATTAACTGAAAAAATTGATAATTATGCAATTGGAATGAATTTACTCTTATTCCTTACAGGAAGATTTATATGTCGCCAAAAAGGTCTTGATGTTACTGAAGCTGCTCCATATATACTTAAAGTTGTTGAGTTAATTAGACATGATTTTAGTAGTAAAATTCTAAAAAAAAATAAAAATCATTATTTTATGTGGGAAATGTTCATTGGTTTTACTGATCCAAATCCTACAAATAGATGGAGTATTCAAAAGGCTTTATTTCATCCTGAATGTATTCAACAATTAATTTATTGTTTTAAAAAAAAATATCAAGTTCTTTGGCATCCAAAAATTTTAGCTATTATCCAATCTAATATTGTCATACCAAATATACTATGTAATAATAAAGAGATTGTAAAACAAAATTATAAATGTAATTCAAAGAAATCAAATAGTAGTTCTGATTTGTCTTATAAATATGAAATAGATCAAAATCCAATTATTACATCAAATAATAAACATAATATTGGTACATATATAATAAAGCATGGATATCACAATTCAATATATGAACAAGCACTTCATAATCAAAATCAAAGAATTAGAAATATATCAAATTATCAATATCACATTTCTCCTGGTATATTACACCATTATCAAACTGAAACTTTTAATGAAGCTATTATGCCTAAATTATTGCCTTGTAATAGTCCAAAATTTCAATATTACCAATCACAGATTTATTTAAATCATACCCCAACATCTATTTATAAAGTAGAGTAGTTTTTTATTTTCTTAGGATCATATAAATCTTTAATAGTTCATTTATATATTTTTATTTATTTATTTATTTTATCAACTTTGTTTTGATAAATAAATTAATATTTATAAACTACACTAATTAAAACTTCTTAAGGTCTATTTTATATTATTATAATATCCCTCCATATAAATCTAGAGTATTTATTATTTTTTTTTTATTACATATGAAGGATATTAGTGCATGTTTTTTTTCAAAATTGCATGCAACTTTTAATTTTTTCTTATAGGGTAATTAATAAAGTTAATTTAGGCGCCATATACAGTGTGGAGAGTGTCAGACTTGACTTTAATGTCCAGTTCATTAATACCTTAATTCCTAAAGTTAACATTAAATTTTTTTTTACAATCCTTTAACATAATATAAAACTCCTATATATGTATTTAATTCAAAATATAATAGTTAAGATATACCAAAATCTTAATAATTATATTCATATTTGGCTTAAATATAATATATAATATTATAATATTACTAGTAACTAAATTAAAATAGGCTTTAGTCCTAAATTATTACTTTATAAATGGAAAGTAATCTTGGTATTAGAGTTCTATATTTACATGGGTAAGTATCTAATTATTTTAATTCAAATAAATATAAAGATTGAACTTTATTAATATTAATATTATAGCCTACATGATAACTGTAGATCTTTTAGAAAAAAACAAATTGAAGAAATAGTTGGTAATAAATATATTAAGGCACCAGATCTCAAATATGAACCATTAATTACAAATGCTAAGACAGCTTATATTTTAGGATCTTTTCTAATTATGTTATTATTATTGTAAGTTATAATAAATCACATTCTAAAAATAAAATAAATTTTTTTATGAAATATTTTAACTTATATATTGTAAAAAGATTTATAGAAATATTTATAAACTTTAGTATAATTCTAAAAATTTTCTTATGGATAATATTAGTAAGTTGAATAATTTATTTAAATAATACTTATTATTAACTTTAATAACTAACCAAGATTTTACTTGTTATAATATGTTATAGAATAACAGGTATATTGACTTTACGTAGATCTATAATAACAGCTAAAGAAATTTTAGAGATGAATATATTATCATTTAAACCAAGAGTGATTGTAACATCAGATATATCAGCAATAGCAGTTTGTAAAGCTAGTCCAGTTATATGTAAGATACCGTTAATAATGTTTTCACCATCAATTGGAGTATTTGAAAGATTTACTTTTTGTAAATTAAATATTGATTTGGAAAGATTTCCTTTAGTACTTATTATACATAGTATAAATGATAAACTTATACCAACAAGGGATATTCTACAAATTTTAAATGAATATAAAAGTGATAAAGTAAGAACTCACTTTATAGAAGGTATAGGAACTTTATCAGCTACTTTTGCAAGTGTTTCAAATAGAGAAATAAGAGAATTTATATTAGAAGCTATTGAATCAGAAAAATCTGTGGAATGTAACAATAGTTCATCTTCATTCAATGTATTATTACCACCATTACAAGAGACAATACCAGTTGAATTTGATCCTATAAGGCATCCACATGATAAACAAGAAGATATAACTTTAGATACTGAAGAGACTCCTTTAATAGAAACTAACGATATTATTGATTCTATAGTAAATCAAAATAAGAACTTAGGGCAAAATAATAATAGAGAAGGAAATAAGATAGCAAAAATATTTGCAGCAAATTTATTAATGTCAAAATTACAAAATAAAAAAAAGACAAATACAAGAAATAAGGATATTCGTAAAATCATAAGAAATTTAAATGTATTAGAAGACATAGAATAATAGAATATATTTATAATAAGAATAGGAGCGCTTTATTATATTGATCATTTGATTAAATAATAAAAATAAGATTATGGTTATAGAAGATACACTCTTCATAATAATTGATATAAGAAGTCTAATTGGAATTTATTATAATGATGATCAAATTAAGAGAAATAATTTTTTATCCTTATCAGGAAGATCAGTTTGGGACTCTATTATCTCTTTTATTCGTTTATATGGTTTAAGTAGTAGTCAAAGAAAAAGGACTTGTATTTATATCTGTTCATCTTCTGATGTAATTATATTATATAATGGATTTATTTCTGATCTTACAAATAATATTATATCAAATATACTACCTAAACTTAGTAATATATGTTATAATTATCAGAATATATCCGAGGATGATATACAACTTGCTAGTGGTATCTCTATATGCCTTTGTAAAATAAACTCAGATAGGAAATTGCATAGTAAAAATAGAACAAATAAGGATCGTATTTTATTATTTGATGCTTCAAATGAGAAATCATATATAAATCAATATGTACTATTGATTAATTCCAGTTATGCAGCTTTAAAATTAGTAAGTTTTTCCATATTTTATTTTATTAAAAAAAAAAACAAAAATCGGTATAATATTTTTATTTTAATAGGATGTAATAATAGATGTATGTAGTATTAGTAGTAATCCTTCAAGATTACTATACAATGTTGTTGATATTTCTAAAGGAATCTACATAAATTATAGCTCTATTATAAAAAATGTCAGTAGTAAAATTGACGATAAAAGTCATATACAAGATGGATTATTACCATTTATAATATTCCATCTTTTACCCTCAGCTGAACTTCGAGCTAATTCCTTAATAAACTTATCAACAAAATCTAGACACTCTGGTATTTCAGTATGTTTCTGTCATTATAAGAAAGTTGAAGTAGGGTTTATTTGCTCTTCTTGTTTGGCTATATTTTGTTCTTTATTTAGAGCTCCTATATGTGCAGCTTGTGGGTAAGTTAATTATAATAACCTAAATTATATATAAATCTTTTTTTTTTTTTTTAAAAAAAAAAAGCTATTGTAAGATAATATAATATGCTTTTTTAAAAACCTTTATATTATTTCCTAAATAATCAAAAATTTATGAAATATTACTTTAGTGCAAGGTTTAAACGTGTTCCAATTCAACAAAAGCCATTAAGTTATTTAAATATTGAAGATGGAGATGGAATATTTTAAATAATAAATATTAATTCATTAATTATATAAATTTACATAGATTTATCCATTTAATAGATGGATCTTCTTTGGTGACAATTATTGTAATTTTATCGGAAGAAGTTTTTAATTTAATAGAATTCGGTTCAATATTTCTAAATAAATTAGTAAGAAGAAGACAGAATTGAATAATTGGCAACTTCAAATTAGATAATTCAGAATTTTGTATACAATTATTTAATTCATCAATAACATATTCAGAGAATATCTTAATATTTAGTGAATTTGATAGAGCTTCAATTTCAGGAGTTCCTTTTATCTTAATTTTAGCCTTATGAGGTAAATTTGAAATTAGATTATCAAATGTAATATATAACTTGATATAATTACCACAATCTGCCCATGAATAAGAATTCACAGTATAAACTGTTTCTAAGCCTAAATTCTTTTCTAAATCTTTTTCTTTATATAATAATATTGGTGATCCACCTGTAACAATACCTGGCCCCTCAATAACTTTTACATCTATTCCATAGGATCCATTATTACTAAGATTATCTTTATGTGCATAGTAATAACTAAATTCACCTTTCTCTTTTATATTTGATCTTAATGCAGAAGATGGATTATTAGTAATAATTTGATCATCCATTTATGTCACTTTATAAAAAGAGAACAAAAAAAAAAAAAAAAAAAGAAATTTAAGACCTTATAAATGTACCAAACTTTATAAAAAAAAAAAAAGTTTAACCGCCTTTCTTATGCACCTTATTAAGCGGGATTATCTACATTTCTTAGAAATGCATTATAATAGTTTATAATTAGTATAAAAGTACAAAGTAAACTACTTAAACAACTAGCTAAATAATATTTACATATTAATTCATCATATTTGGAATATACAAAATTTCCTAATTACCAAGCCTCCAAGTTAAAAGAGTTTTATCATAAAAACTACATGACATTCCAAATGTAGTATTATCTCTATTAAACATTTCAATACCATATACAATAGAAGTATGTGATGGGCTTAATGGACTTAAATTCTCTAATGAAGCATATAAATCACGGATCTCATTATTTTCATCCTTGGATAAAACATCAAATCCATAATGACATTCTGCTAAACTTATGAAATTGCCAAATACCTTTATTCTCCAAATCCCACAATTCATCTTATATTCATATATTGCATTATCCAATTTTCTTATATCCCAATATCTAATATACTCATCGTATGATCCTGTCCAAAATGAAGTTTCATTACATGATGGGGTAATACAAGTAATACCCATATTATGACTTGTATTTTTTGCAATAGAAGAAGTAAAATTACATCGTATATCCCATATTGCTAAAATACAATCATCTGCACCTGTTGCAATTATATTTTCACTTTTAATAAATGAAAGAGTCCATACCTCAGATTTATTATGAGCATTAAATTCTCTTTCTAAATATGTCATATCTTTAACAATACAAACTCTTCCATCAGATAAACTAAAACATGCTCGTCTAAAAAATAAAATATAAAAAAAAGGAATATTTAAAATAATAATATTAATATTAAAAGAATATATGAAAATATTTCTTTTTTAAAAAAAAAATTCTTACCTTATATCTTTTTGGTCTAATATATCCATATCTAATCCTATTACAGAACTATTAGGACACTCCCCAGTCTCAATCTTTGATGCAAGATTAAATAAATTATTATTTCCATATTTGTAGAGTCTAAGAGTTCTATCAGAACAAATACAAACCAAGCCTATTCCTTGTAGAGTACTCTTATCCCACATGCAATTTAAAACACCTGTCCCAGTATTAATAAAGATATTTGAATATGTACCTTTTTTTTGTATCAGATCTTTAGTATTATAAAGTGATATTCCACCAATTCTTTCTTTATTTGATCCATCCAAATTATACATTCCAACAGCTAAGATCTCCTCATCCTTATTTAAAGCCAGACAATCAGTAGGATACAAACACTCTATGGAACTTAAAATACTTAAGTTATTCATTACAGTTATAAAAGAAATCTATATAATTTAACAATAAGACAACAAATTATAATGAAGATTTATCACTTTCCCGGGAGATGATATTAAATTTGGCTACTAATATAATATATATATTTAAAATAGATCCAACTATTCTTTTACTCATAAATAAATACTTGCCTAAATTATATTTGTAGTGATATAATAAAAGTTCAATTATAACTTATTTAACAAAAACATGTGATTATCTTCTTGGTTAACAATAAAATTCCTGTAAGAAACCCTAAGATAATTATATATGTAACCTTACAACAGATAAATATATCTAATTAGACTTTAATTTAAGCACTTTTGGGACCAAATTTAATAGAAGATGAAAATGGAGAAAATATGCCAATATAATATATTTAGTTACTAAGTCTATTATTAATACTTTTAAAAGCTCAAGCTTAACCAATAAATATCTTATTATTTTATTCCATTAAAGCTTAATAATATACCTTTATTTCAGTTTTCTTGATTATATGATAATATTTGACCTATTAAAAAAAAAAAAAAACACGCGTTATACATTAAAAGCGTATTTGTGAAAAAAGTAATGGCGCCTGATAACTTTAGACACTGGGAAGAATAATATAAACTTAAGAGAGAAGAGATTAAGGGAAGGAAGTATCGAATTTATCACTAGTTAGCTAATATGAAAAGAGATAATAGTTACTTGATCGTATTTATCAAGCGCTGAAATGCTGTCAACTTCAATTGGCAAGTCTTCTTTGTCAGTAGAAAGGCAAAATTTCGACCGTCTTACTCTGAAGTCTTCTGAGTATTACAGCCCTCTAGAGAGAGCTATCAAGTATTCTAACTCAAAAGTTGTTTTACAGCGTCTAGTAGTTATTAGGGAATTCATTGATATTTGTCATAGTATTGGATATAACAAAGCAACAGCCACACTATTACAGATTACTAATCGTCTTGTACAAGATACTGAAGAAAGTGTCAAGACAGGAATATTAAGTATTCTGGGGGATTTAGCAGGCTTTTTAATCCAATCTGATCCTGATGAGGGCTATGAACTTGTTGTTAGTAATTTAGTGCCTTTAGTAAAGAATATTTTGATTGATGATGATTCTATACTTGGATATGGTGTAAAAGAAGCTGCTTGTGAAGCAGGTATAATCCTTTGTTCACATTTACGTCATATTGATAGAGTACAATCTATTCTTTCTATTTGTCTTAATTTGGCTAATGATATTGATCATGAAGATTCACGCTGTTTAAGCGCATGGATGTTGAATGGAATTGCAGAATATTTAGGGAAAGATATATGCAAGCAATACATAATACCCCAAATAAAATGTTTAGCTGATGATCCAAGTTTCCGTGTTAGGAAGTTTACAGCTATGAATTTATGTGAAATTGTACGTATTACTGAAGAATTTGATAATATATTTGTAACATTTAATAAGCTAATTAATGATAACAATAATTCCGTTAGATTATATGCTTGCAAATCACTTTTAGGATTTTTTAGCTACTTTAAGATTGAAGATCTTGGTGAGACTATCAAGACTATCTTATCATCATTATTAATTGATGCAGATCCATGTATTAGATTGGAGTGTTTTAAACAACTAGGACCTTTGATTATTCTTTTTCCAAGTCCTGATTATGTTCCTAAAGATTTAATAGATATATTTGTAAATATGGATAAACTTGACCCTGAATATGCAGAAAGGTCAATTGACTCATCTAAGATTGGAAATTTAGAATATGATACTGAATCTAATGAACGGATATATAATTTAACAGAATATTCCAATGAAACTGAAATTTTGGGTTTTAATTTGAGAAATTTTACAGAGCAGAAGATGAAAAATCCATCTAACTCAATGTTAAACCAACGTTATGGTTTTCATTATGAATCAATTTCACTTTTCAGAGAAAATAAAGGTAGTACTGATGATTTAATTACACTTTTACCTCTTGGAAATAATATGAGTTTTACATTTAAGAAACTAGATGGTGATAATCCTGCTTTTTTTTGTTCATATTCATTTGCAACTTTATTTTCTTATATGAGATCTACTTATTGGCCTGATTTTTCCAATTTATTATCTAGAATAATCAGTCATCCTTCCCCATCAGTTAGGCTCCCAGTAGCTGCATCAATGTCATTAATTTTAGCTACTAGCCTTTCTTGTGGTATTGAGAATCATGCATGTACTGTTACAAGTAATCTACCTCAATATGATTTATCTACTAAAAATAATATAATGGAATCAAATCAAAGCAATTCAAGTATATATCTTGGACAATCATCAGTTTCAAGTTCATCTACAAAAGAAAATGTAGGATTAATTGGGCTAACACCTCAAAATAATATGTTCTATAGTAATATAACTAGATCTCCAGCAAAAAATATTATTGCTGGGAATCAATTTAGATTACCTTGTGTACAAGGATGCAAATATAAATATGAACGTTTACCATTACTATTGGATTTAGTAAGTAAATTATTAGAAGATGATGATACATATATTAAACGGGCAATGTATGGTTGTTTATCAGATATTGTAAAATGTTTACCTTTTGAATATAATCTTGAATTGATAATCAAGAAACTTCCAAATATGCTGAATAAATGTAGGAATGATTGGAGATGTAGAAATATTTTGGCTATACAAATTCGCAAGATTTGTATTGAACTTTTTGTAAAAAATAAGGAATCTATTAAAGATTCTAAATTGCCAAAAGGTGATATTACAGATAGTTTACTTTTGGGAAAATACACTAGAGAGTATATATCTCCAGTAGCATTTTCTTTATTACTCGATCCAGTATCCACTGTCAGAATGACTGCAATAAACTGTATATCATCACTATTAAGATTATCATCACCATTTATATGGTTTTTTTTCCAAAATGGAGGGACAATACAGGAACTACCTGCACAACTTAAACCTAAAAATAGTAATTGGAATTCGAAAAGTGTTAATTCTAATAAAAATACTTCAAATGAAAATACTTGTTTAAGGAAAACAGAGGATTTAACCTCAACAAAATCATTCTCAAAAGTTCCTTTAACAGAAAGTACATCCAAGATTTTATCAGAACCAAAGAATTATAAATCATTGAATTTGGACAATTCTAATAACATTATTGGTTGCAATATAAACTCTCCAGATGACTTAAGAACTAAAAAACTGCATAATTTACTGGTTATGGAAGAAAAGTTAGAAAATTATGATTTAAAGAGTGAACTGTCACTAATATGGTGTATTCTAAAATCTTTTGCTATTTCTCCCAAATATTATCATAGACAAGAATATGTTAGGATGTGCGATCGTTTTATACGTGATGTTCCACGTGGACTATTCAACACATACTTTCTAACACCATTAGTTATACTTACTTCAGATCCAGTGAAAAATGTCCGTAGCATATTATTACGAATTATTGGTCCACATATTAAAGAAACTGGTAGATTAGCTCAATGTGGAAATCTTGTAACTGCTTGTAAGCTTCTAAATAATACAGAGAATGATATTGAAACTAGAAAATATCTTGCTAATCTCAATTTCCTTCCAAAAAGTGCTTTAAAACGTTTTGAAACTTTGTCTTGGAAAGATATTACTAGCATAGCAGAATGTGAAACAACAGACTCTAATACATCTCCAATATATAATACTTTATCTAATAAAAATACTTCGAAAGATTGGAATGAACAACCTTTAATTAAGTGTTTTAATCAATATTGGAATGATGTTATTGGCTCACAATGGTGCCTTGATAATGTTCCAGGATCTGAATTAATCTCTGCATCCCCAAAATTTCTTGAACAAATCAGGAAGCCCTACTATTCCTTTGAAAGATGTTTTGATTTGACTCTTGAATATGAAATGATGCTTTTAGAAGTTAGACCAAACTTTTCACCTACAAATTCATTTTCCTGTGCACCTATAATTGGTTATGATACTAATGTTTTAGATTATGAACCATATAGTGGATCTCACAATAATAAATGTTCAATAATCCCTCATCGTATAGGACTTAGTAGAAGACTCCTGAATAACGATCAGTTCTATACTCAAGCTTTGAATGTACTTTATAGACCAGGAATCCCTAGGAGTGCTGCTAAATTCATATGTCCTATTGGAGCTGAATACAATGATAATGAGATGATAGAATCAGAAGAGGAGACAATAATTGAGACAAAGAAACCTGAATCCAATACAGCAGAACAAACTAGAGATATGTGTGATCAGAAACTTCATGCTGCTTCTAGGAAAATATTCATGATTGATATTGCAAGAGCAGCTACAGAAGATATATTTTCATAATTGTTATCACTAGATAGCATAATATTTATTCTAGGTTTTATGAAATATTGATCATAATTTTACATTAAGTAGATAACTTAGTAATGCCTATAGAGTGTAAGTATATAAATCGGATGAAATATTGTGAGTAGGATTATCTAGGTATTTTTGACTTAATCTATGTATAATTAATATACACTATTGTATATTTACATTATTTATACTGAGTACTGACCACATTTTAAAGATCCAAAGTCAAAATATTATCTCTGCTTATCTGATATCTCGGTCTGGAGAATTTTATCAGCTTTTTTTAATATAAAATCAATAGATCTCTGTTTTTCTTGAAAATCTAAGGTATATATTAGTTGTTGTTCATTATTATAATGCACCTTATTTAGAGATTCCAAACCCTCTAAAATTGAATATAGCAATGCATTCTCAATCTTGTTAGATGCACTATCCATTTTATATACACATAAATAAGTCCACTTTATAAGAAATTATATTGAAACCAGACTTAGTTATATATATAAGCTCCATACTGTATTGTTGTACTTGCCGCCTTAATACCTAGCTAGATCTAAAAAATTGGCACTACTTTAAGAGACCTTAGATGTTCTTTTTAAATTTCTAGTAAATAACTTTAGCAATATCAACTTTTTTATTTGAATGAGTTTATTATAATGAGTACTAGAGAAGATGAAGATGTCACAAACTTAGGAATAATAAATGTAAATGATAAAAGTAAAAAATTACCCAAAGTACCAATAGTAGCTGCTTTTTGTTGCTTAACTATTTTAGGGTTACGAAAGCGTATTACTAATGCATTTACATTTGTTCCTCCTAAACGATCTGGTTTAATTTTGAAGACCCTTAGCCTGAAATCAGATATTAATCAAGCAGTTTTATTTACCAAATATAAATCTGAGCAAATATTTATAAAAGCACTTAATGGAAATCAAAAACAGCTTTCACTATTAGCAAGTGGTTTAAATCTGAATATTTATCTTATATGGCTTCCAAGTGGAAGATCAAAGATTCCAATTTCTTGTTTACATATTATACCAACTGGGGAAGATATAGAAGACCCACAACTATTACCACTTATTATTTTTAGTCATGGAAATGCTACAGATATTGGTTACATTTCAGGATGGCTTATAAGACTTTCTGCAAAATTAAAAATGCAAATTTTAGCTTATGATTATAGAGGATATGGAATATCATTTGGTAAACCATCAGAAAATGGTATAATTGCAGATATAAAATCTGTATATAAATATGCATGTAATGAACTAAAAATTCCTACCCAGAAAATTTTCTTACTAGGACAAAGTATAGGATCAGCTCCTTCACTTTCATTAGCTGTTCATTTGAGTAAAAAACAGAAAAAGCTAAAAGATGATACTACCAGACGTCTCCTAGGAGGTATTATTATTCAATCTGGGATATTATCAGGTTTAAATGCTCTTCTAGCTCCAGAATTTAATATATCTGTTCCATTTGATGTTTTCAAAAATTATAAAGGTATAAAGAAAATAGTATTTCCTATAATGTTGTGTCATGGACTTAATGATCAAATTATTAATATTGAAAACGCATTTCAGTTATACAAAAGTGCTAAGAAGAATGTTAATAATATACCAATAACAGTATGGTGGATTGATGGTGCAAACCACAACGATCTAGAAATTGTTGCTAAACAAGAATATTTCCAAAGAATTAGATCATTCATAGAAGAGTCAATTGACATATTATAATTAAGTCTACTTTTGGTCATTTCTAATAAATATAGAAGTATTATGATTATAACAAGGTAATGAGGCATGAGATTTGATACTTTTAAACTGGTATATAATACCTAACATCACAATTACCTTCCTCTAATTATATAGGAGTGAACCAACTCAATTTAGTATAGCTCTTATCTCTGTATAAATAATTTGTGAACTTTGCAGTGAAATTGTTAACTTTTATTAAATATTGACTAGATTACAGATAATACAAAATTAGCCAGATTAACTAGTTACATTCAAATCACCCATTATTAATAAATAGAATCCAATATCTCCAATAATGAGTATATATAGTGTGTGATATAAATACATAGTGATTCTTATTGAGACAATATCCGCTTTATTAGTTGTTCATTTCTACTAAACTTTAACTTTTTTCTTAATATTAACTTTATTAGACAGCTATATTAAGTTTGCAAACCATCTCTCCCCGCCCAGGAGAAGTCATTAATTTCGTCTCATTTTTGTTGGCGCCTTATATAGGTACTTATTACACCTTTTAAATTTTCGAGTGTGTGCCATAATAAAGGATAAACAACATTAAGAATTTTAGTTTAACCGAAATTTATCTTTACAAGTTAGATTTTGTTACAAATTTAACTGTCTTGCTTTTTTTAAAGATATGTCTATATTATCGACATTGTGCAACTCTACTCTAAATACACTTCGTAGCCTCAAATTTACAAAGATTGGCTGCAGATATGCTAGTACTTCAAAAGAAATAAAATTTGGGAATTCTGCTCGCAAACAAATACTAAAAGGGGCTAATTATTTGGCAGATGCAGTGGGAGTAACACTAGGTCCTAAAGGACGTAATGTAGTTATAGAACAAAGTTTTGGAGGTCCGAAGATAACTAAGGATGGAGTAACTGTTGCTCGTTCAATTGAGTTTCAAAGTAGATCTATGAATCTAGGTGCACAATTACTGAGGAATGTTGCATCTATAACTAATGATATAGCTGGAGATGGCACTACAACTGCTACGGTTCTTGCAAGAGCAATATTTCGCAGTGGTTGTGAGAAAGTTGATGCTGGTTTAAATCCCATGGACCTATTGCGTGGAATTAATATTGCTGTGAAACATGTAATAGAGGAACTAGAACTTTTAAGCCAACCAATTAAGACACAAGATGATATACTAAATGTAGCAACAATAAGTGCAAACAATGATCCAAAAGTTGGGTGCTTAATTGCAGAAGCATATGAAAAAGTAGGAAAGTCGGGAACAATAAATGTCATTGAAGGAAAGACAACTCAGTGTGAATTGGAGTTAGTAGAAGGTTTTAAATTTGATCGTGGTTATATATCTCCATACTTTATCACAAATACAAAGTACCAAAAAGTGGAATTAGAAAATCCCTATATATTTATATTTGAGAAGAAGTTAAATAATATCAAAACAATATTACCATTATTGGAGCATATATTATCAGTTAGAGTTCCTTTATTAATTATAGCTGAAGATATTGAAGGAGAAGCACTAGCAACTATGATAGTTAACAAACTTAGACTTAATTTACAGATTTGTGCAGTTAAAGCTCCTGGATTTGGTGAGCAGAAGAGAGCTTTATTAGAAGATATAGCTATTTCTGTAGGAGGAAAAGTTATTAGTGATGATTATTCAGATATAAGAATAGATGAGCTAACAGCCCAAAATATTCAAAATTACTTGGGAAGATGTAAAAGCGTCTCTATAACAAAAGATGAAACAATTATAGTGGAGGGTCAAGGATCAACAGATGACATTAATATACGATGTAATCAATTAAAGGCACAACTTGATGAAAATAAAAGCTTATCAGAATATGAAAAGGACAAAATACAAGAGAGGTATGCAAAACTTACAGGTGGTATTGCTTTAATAAAAGTTGGTGGATATTCTGATACAGAGATTTCTGAACTAAAGGATAGATTTATCGATGCATTGAATGCTACTAAATGTGCACTAGATCAAGGTATTGTTCCTGGTGGAGGATCGGCATTACTTTGGGCCTCAAGGAACTTACAACATCTTATTAAGTCCCAAGTAAGTTCAAGTGGGATAATCAGTGAAACTCATTCTCAAGGTAGCTTGCTTGATACAGACTTAATGTATGGAGATTCATTAAGTGATAAAAAATCTCTAAAAGAAGATGATGCAATTAAAAACTATGATATGGCAATGGGAGTAAAAATTATTCAAGAGGCATGTCAAGTCCCATGCCGTATGATTACATCAAATGCTGGATATGAAGGTGCAGTAATTATTGGAGAGTTACTTAAACAGTTTACAAAAAATAAAAAGTACGCTGGATTTGATGCTCAGACTGGAACATATGTTGATATGATCCAAGCTGGTATACTGGATCCAACAAAGGTTGTGAAGTCAGGATTATGTGATGCTGCTAGCATAGCATCACTCATGACTACAACTGAAGCTGCAATCTTTGATGCTGAAGATAAATCTAAAGATAAAATGACACATGGAAATATCCCTAATGGAATCAACGATAATTTCTACTAAAATATACAGAACATGAATATGAGAAATATAAATAATTGTTTTCTGTATATACTATTGTAGCTAACAAAATTCGGATTCAATGAGAGATTCATTCATAATTCCTAACTTAGAATTTAATTTATTATTATTTAGTGTATTTTGTTGAACTTACAAAGTGTTATTTCAATGGTCACAATTTAAAAATGAAGAATTATACACTTTTGTTTACATATATACTATCATAGATAAATTTACTAACCTCTTTAATTAACTTCTTTGTTTCATTACCAGCTTTAAAACTAAAGTGTCCTCCATCTAAAGCAAGAATATGAGTGCAATTTACACACTTCTTGTCAATTTTAGCTGCAAATTCAATAACTTTAGTGATATTTAAGAAACAGTCACTCATAGCAGGAAGTAACAGAATAGGAATATCAACATATTCTGCTTTTAATATTGGATTTGTATGCTTCAACATATTCCACAAGGATCTTGCAGGAGTTAAGTTGACCCAATTATTTAATAAATTGGACTTTTCATCTTTAATCCTAATATTTTCCCATTCGTTATAATCAGTATCAGACAACCTCATTACTGAAGTTCTCACTTTTGAAACTATAGGAATATTTAATGATATATCTTTAAAAATTATACTTGACATCTTATCTAATACTGCCAGCATTAATGAATTCAAAATATTCTGAATACCACGTATTTGGATATGTTCAAGTACTGATATTTTATTTAAAAAAGGAATATGAGCTACTATACAGTGAATTAGAGGACTTGGAGCTCCCGTTATCATCTCTTCTCTTATATCTGAATATGTTAAGAAGACCATTCCTCCTGCAAAAGATGTTCCCCAAAGACAAAGTGACTTTCTGGCACTATTATTAGTCTGGTTCAATAAATAATCAATCTCATTATTGTTATATATGTAATCTATAGCACTTTTTATTTCATTTCTTTGTTTAATAGGATCAATAAGATTCCTTGGAGTTCCTTCTGATCCCCCAAAGTGAGAATAATCAAATATAAATGTTGCAATTCCATTACTACAAAGTAAATTAGCATAGTGAACATATATATTAAAATCTTTTTGTGTACCTAGACCAACTGCCATTAGAATAACAGGTCTAACTGCAGATGAATCTTTTTGAATATTTGGTCTATATAACCACGCATGAAGCTTATCAGATAATTTAGATTCAAAATAATGATCAGTTCTAATACAATATTGAATATTAACGTCATTATTATCTTTAATCAATTTATATGGTCTAGTTTGAGTTACAACTGTCACACTCCTAAGTGTATAAAGTGTATAGGAAACAAGACCAATTATACATCCCAAATAAAAGAATGTTGATGAAAACATCACTATATTTATTTTAAAAAAACACCATTATGCAATCCAAGCGCTTGTCAGATCTTATTTTCGGTAAGTTAAAATGTATTTGATATCTATTGGTTTCTAATAAAGAATAAATAACACATTACTTCGAATTTTTGATTGAAAATTTTAAACCAATTACTGTTATCGCATATAAAATCACTAATCAGTTAATTTAAGTTCTAAAAATCGCTTAACTTCCTGTATTGATAATCTCTCTTTAGGATTAGGATTTAACATATTTTGTATTAATAACTTCGTTTCCTCCGTTACATCTATATTATAATTAAGATTAGTTTTAGTTCTTCTTATTGAATCTAAAAGTTCCCGAAATGTTGTTCCATAATAAGGTAATTTTCCAGTTAGTAAGCAATATAGAAGACAACCAAGTGACCAAATATCTCTTTTATAACCACTTACTCCTTCCTCAGGACATTTCAAAGTAAAACATTCAGGTGGAATAAAAACTAAAGTACCCTCTAAAGTTAAAATATATATATATATATATATATATGCTATGTAGAAATTAGATGTATTATTAATGCTAGATACTTACCTGAATCATATATACAAGATTTCTGATCTACAACTACAGCTGAATTAAAGTCTGCTAGCTTAACTATAGGAAATGAATTCTTTTGAGGTTTAGCCTTTAATTTATTTGGCTTAAATCTTGGTCCAGTATTCAATAAAAGTGTATTAAACATTGGTATCTTATTTGCTTTATTATTTTGGGTACAATCAAGAGATTCTCTTATATATTCAAGTAAGCATACTTTCGAATTTTTTTTTAAAAACTCATGAAAAGAATCCCTTGCTAATTTAAGGCTCGTAAATGTTGGTGCATCGTGCCAAAGGCAAATATCTTCAAAAGATGAATTGGAAGATATTTGGGAACAAATATCTGAATCACTATCCACTCGAGAACTATCAACTGACAAGTAAACTGCATAGTCTTCCAGAGATTCACTAGCTAAAATGTTATCAGGTTTAATATCCTTGTGTACAACATTGTTACAGTGAAGGTATTCTACACAGCTAACTATTTGAGAAAAAATCTTAAGAGCAATATGTTCAGGATATACAAATAAATTCTGATTCCTTTTTGCTGAATAACTACAAGTCTCTTCATCCCAGTACATTATTGAAAATGGTAGATACTCTTGGACAGAAATTATTTGGTTTGAATTAGGTAATTCTATTACTTCATATACATTAACTATATTCGTATGATTAAGAAAACTCATCATTAAGCACTCTATTAAAAATCTCTGATACATTGAAATTACAATATATTCACCAGATCCATAATAAATAACGGATCTATGCGACTTTAAACATGATAAAAGCCCAATACGGAGAGTTCTTGAATATACTTTACCCTCTGACTCTAAAAGTATACTCTTACATTTATAAGCCCTAAAAAAGCTACCTTGACCCAAAAATCCTTCTCTAGAAAGATCATAACAGTACTCATTTATACAGAATTTATATAAGTAGTCAAAGAGAGGGTCTTTGCTATTATCTTCACCTCTGGTATATAATTTCCAAAGAAACCCCATAAAATTATATTTAATAGGGCATATCTCCTGATTATTCATAATAAATTTTCTATATATAAGATTTAATATATATATAAGATCTAATATGTCTCTAGTCCAAGGTGTTTATTACTATCTTATTCCGAAATCTATAAATTACTACCAATAGACCCCCCTTTCATAGATACCTACATGCGGCACAAATTATGGCGCTCATCCGTACAATAATCTTTGTTACCCCCCTAAAAAACTTTTAGCTGCACACCAATATCAGTCAGTAAGTAGACTTTTTTATCTTGATTTATAAAATTTAATTCTAGGATTATTTACAATGTCAGAAGGAGAATCTTCTCAATTAAGTACAGTTTTAGGAAGGATAGAGACTTTCCTAATTAGCAAAGAGGAGGGAGACTTTTCAGTTCCTAACTTAATATCAACCTCTTTGGGATATTCCAAACCTATATACAACCGTACTGTAGAAATACTTGGGAACGGAAAGAATGCAATTATGGAGAATGTTGAATGGGTACCATATCATCGTTCATATATAACAACTGAAGAAGCTGTAGATATAGCCTCTTCAACTATCGAGGAAGTTGGCAATAATGAAAGTAACTTTACAGAGAAATATAAGGAAAAATTAAAAGCAAATAGAGTGATATTCTCATATCCTAGACTTAAAAAGGGTTCAATTTCAACTTTTTTTACCTATGCTACTAATAAAATACGAGAACTTCCTATTTTATCACATATCTTCAATCTAACAACATGGGGTCTTGAAAGTATCAAAAATATAGAACCAACTATTGTAGAGCGAAGTACTGAAGCCTACAATTACACTCGTAAATTATGGATTGATTTAAGACTATATGCAGATCAACTTATTTTGTATATACGTGAATATGGATTATTCTTCATTGATAAGTGTGGATCTATAGTTGTCGGTATTAAAAGTGATCCTTTTGGATATCCAAAGAAGGTTTTAGGTTCCATATTAAATATGGCTAAATATGGTACTGACAAAATCTTTGGATGTGAAAAAAGGGAATTTCTTACAAGTAAGGTACAATCCGGTATAGATTTATTGAAGAATTTCGGAACTTCATATTGGGGTAAAATTACCTCCAAAACCCAATAAATAAAGGCAATATTTTATATTATAGAAGAATAAAGTTATATTTCAGATTTACATCCACTAACTCTAATAATATATTTTGGAAGTTAGATCTGGTATTCACTATTTGGCCTCTATTTATGGAGACTTACCAACTTTTTTTCTTATAGAATTTTATTAAGGTATTTTTTTTCTGAATAGATCTGATAATATTGTCAATATTTGGCTTTATTTACTTGGTATTATTCTATAAAGTTAAATAAGAACTTCATGAAGTTTATCTTATTTTACATTTAATTCACTACAAATAATATATTAGGTAAAATTGAATATATAAATTGAACTATACTAGTTTGAAAGTAGGATATTTCTTCGTTTTTTCCTTAATAAACTTTCTTTGTATTCCAAATACTTTATAAAGTCATGTCTAGACTTCCAAATAACAAGAAATATGACTATCTTCCACATGAAGTTAAAGAATGTGAATATTTTCGAGAAATTTCTTAAGTCACTTTCTTCTGAGCTTATATTCCAGGCAGGAAAGTACATAATCATCCAAACTACATCCAAGATTAACGATGCAAGAATACTGAAGAGTATATACTGAAAATTTGTTTTATTCCATCTTGTAGAATTATAGTTATCTGTCCCTAAATCACACCAAAATATGTAACTTGTAATTAAACTATCTAGAAAACAAGATCTAGTTGCACTTGCAATCCATTGAAGGCAGAAGGATATAAATATAATATACTTGTATAAAATTGTAGGATGATTAATCTTAAGTTGAGTAAGAATAACATCAATTTGATCAGCAATATATTCAGGAATAGCATCAATATAAAAGCTTAAGTTTTCACTACTATCTTTAGATAGAAATGGTTCATCTAATAATTTCAATTCTTGCTGATATATCAACATATCATTCAACTTTTGATCACGTTTTTGTTTGAATTCTCTTACATAGCTTTTGTATAAAATATATCTTGAGTATAACCATTGACATGATACTAATAAGCTACCAACTATTTCATCTCCACTAATGCTATACATGTCTTTTTTAATCTCATGTCTCCTTTGATCTGCCAAGTCTTCAATAATAATGTTAGTTTTAGCTATACAATCATTATAAAAGTTAAATAATCTAATAATTAAGTCACAAGATTCTAAATCACTTGTTTGACTAATTTCAAAACTAAAAAGTTCATTCCAAAATATAGTATTCTCATCTTCAATACTTTTCCATTGTGTATCAATAACTTGCTCTTGACATTCCAAATTTATCTTATATTGAGTCTCCATATTAATCATATATATTGGCTCAAAGCTTACAATTTGTATAGTTAATTTGCTTTCTTGAGAATAATATTTGTTTTCCTCAGTTTCATATCTTCTTAGGTTATGTTCTGCTTGGTGTCTAAGTTGTTCTAATGCCTCGAATTCCTTATTACAAGTATCCAACATTGTTTGAAGCTCCCATCGACGTTTAATATAACTCTCTTTAAGTTGTTTACCATTACAACTATCAGGATGAGTCATATTCACAGATAAGAAAATTTTTTTCATCATCTCAGTACTGAAAGGTATTCCAGATTTACGGATTTTATTTATAATATCTGATAATGAATAATACTCATTATCCTTAATATCCATTAATGTGAAGTATTCATTTAGATCTCTGAAAATATTAATATCATTTTATGAGAAATATCAGATCTTCATTAGATAATGATGGCTACTTTTAAGAACTTTTATTTACTGTTTTATAGCCATGAAATTACTATAGTGCTCCACTAAACTTACCGAGTGAATTGTTGTAGTTGAGTTTCTCTACTTTTCTGTATAATTATTGCATCTGCAAATTCTAAGTTATCCATCTTTACCTTTTAGAAAACTTTGTACTTCTCCCCATGTATTTACAGAAGTGTTTCTGGGACGGGAATTAAATTTACCGCCAAAAATGGTATCGACTGAGCATGAAAACGTCATTTAGGCGGTGAGGAAGTTTACCTAAAAACTAGGCACAAACCCCGTGATTATACAGGAAAGTAAAATGAAAATATGAACCTTAATAGCTAATGCAATATTGATATTTATATCTATTGAGTATCTAAAAGTATACTGCTATAGAATTTCAAAATACATAAACACTAATCAAATTATATTAACTAGAATTGACTAGACATCCTTGGAATTTTAGCCTTCGTACAATTTATAATCTATTGACTAGATATTGCATACCCAAATAAATAAAATAAATCAATATGAATTTCAATATACCCCAAATATTTCTAAGATTAACCTTCAAATTTAACTAAATATTGCTGAAAAGGGATTTTTAGATGATTCCATATTATATTTGCAGCATCTTTCCCATCATTTTTATCACCTTTTAGCGAAGCTTTGATACAACATTCAAGCATATAGTAGCTATGTAAAGTAGTTGATTGAAATATAAGTTCTGCAAAACAAGGAATCTCAGTTTTGTTAGTGAAATTTTGGATAGTGCAGAAGATATACATTTTATATATTTTATCATCAAATTGACCTGATGCCATACAATAGATATTTTGATTTACCAAATCGTTTTCTATATTATCTAGAAATGTACACATCTCAGTATTTGAAGGCAATTTAAGATGTCTCTTCATTGCCATAGTTGTACTTAATTTGTCCCATTTCTCTTCAAATATATTAGGTTGCATACTAATCGACGCTTTTAAACAATAGTTAGGTATTTGAGCCATATTTAAGTTATTTTCAGCCAAAGATTGTATTTCATTGTTAGTTCTATTCTCTGTTTGAGTATCAACTGAATCTATGACAGTGTCATTAGCAATATAATTTCCTTTTAAGTGTATCGTCTTCCCTACATCTAGATTATCACTCAAAATTACTTGAAAAGTATTGAATTTTTCTATTAAGTCAAAATAATTCCATTTATCCACAAAATCAGTTAATATATCTTGTGCAGTAATATTTGTTTGTTTTGCTTTATCTATATTAAAATATTCACTAGTTTTGCCATTAAAACTGAGTATTTCCTTTGCTAGTTCGTAGTCATATTGCAATAACCTGTAATAAAATAATGCTTGATCTTTAATATCAGGGTTATTGCACTTTTCTATCATATAACTAAATAGCTCACCCAAAATATCTTGGCAGTATGCAGGATTAAAAAAAAATATACGACAGCAACTGATCAACATTGTATTCAGTAATTTTGGTAGTATAGTATTTGAATAGTTATCTAGATTAGAATTATTCAAGATATTATCAGCAATATATTCAAAAATAAGGATTGCATCCTCATTTAATTCATGAATAAATTGTCCAATAATCCAACATAATGATGTAATCCCTACTGATTCAAGGGATAATCTGTAGACTAAATCAAAGTCTATAGAAAGTCTTATTGTCTCAATAAATAATGATGGATATATTTGCAATAACATTTCCATTGATTCTATTGATGAACTCACTATATCTTCATAATCAGAAAGTAATAAGTCACATAAATAATTTATGCAAGTTATAGCCACAAGATCAGTGGATACAGATACTGAGTCATCATCATTTGTAATTAATCCATATTTGCAGTTCATATACTTTAAAAAAACTAATGATAATGAATAAATAACTTTAGGAGCTATATCTGTATCTTTTAATTCATATACACAGTGATAAAGCTCTTCAATTATCTCCAATACATATTCTTGTGATGATACAAATACAATTAGATCTAATTTTATAGATTTTATGTAACTAGGGTCACCACAACGTACAAAAAATTGTCTGAACTCATTTTCAAAGCATTTCATCATATCTATTTCACTTTTATCATCATTGATAAAATCTTTCTTATATTTACTTTGTATACAAGTTGTATATTTTGCTTGAAAGTTACAAATCTGTGAAAATAGAAACCTCAAGTGAATATATACAATATATGATATCTCAGGAATAGAAGTTGAGGCTATAGTTATTAATGGACCTTTTAGACGCTGTATTACTTGATAATATAATTTTCTATTAGGTTTTGTCATGTACAAGAATAGCTGTGTACAAGTTAATAGGACAGTAGCACTAGAATAACGACTTCTATCATCTAGAAGGTTTAGTATATCATATATTTCTGAAGAAATACACTCTTGATTTTCTTCTGAATTTTCTATTAAATTATTATTATTTCTATTTTTATTTATTAAAGTAGGTATATATGATAGTGTTAGTTGAAATATTGAGAATTGTCCCCATTCATTAAAAGATTTTATTCTATTTAATAGTTGGAAAAGTAGATGCTTCGTATAAAATAATCCACCACTTTCTAAATTTATTTCATTTAGTACATATACTAAATTAATTGATGCTTGAGGATCAATCTCATTATAAATCATATCATTCAAAATTTTTTGTATTTGAGTTCGTTTAAACTCATCCTTAGCATAATGATAATATTTTAAACAACCCATTATAGCAGTTTTCCTAACATAACCAACATGATCATTTAACCCATTTATTAAAATCTGTTCAATATATTCCAAAGAAATAGGAATCCTCAAAGAACAAAAACTTCTCAAAGCCAAACAACGAATTACAGGATCCTCATCTTGGCAGTCTTTGCGTAATGTATTTATTGTAAGTAGTGCAAGTTCAGAATTACTCTCAGCATAGTGTGTCAAATATAAATAAACAATCTTCTTTTCTACTGGATCCTGAGTTGCACTAGCTAGTACCATTTGACTATACAAGCTTGAAACATCTATACCCAAAGTTATATAAGCTATTACTTTTTGAAAAACCTCTATTCTCTTTTCTCTATCTCGAGTATTTATTACCTGTTTAAGTTTATCAAATAGTTCTTTAACTTCACCTCTACGGTGATCCACAAAGAACTCATTACTGGACCTATAAGTAGAAATATTTGGTACAACTGCAGTTCCTCCATAGTTTATTGGACCTCCTTGTCTCATTAAAAGTTAATATTACTAAGATTTATATTCCTAGGACTTTTATATATAATAGAAGTATCAAATAAGCTCCCTTAAGTACCTTATATTCCACACTTTAAGTGGTAAGCGGGTCATGAGGGTGCACTTTACACATTTTATAGTATTAATTATTAATAAACAGAAATAAAAATTAAATATTGTATACAAGAAAATATAAACTATAAGGTTTCATTTCTCCTAATATCCTTAAAATGATATAGATATAGGCTTCATTCTACTCCTCTCACTTAACATATAACAACAGAAAAACCATCCAAGGAAAATATGAATTGTTACCCAAGCCACTATTATATACGGTAAAGGATTACTAATGAAATTCTCACTAACTGACTTATTTGCATATGTACTACTTTCATCATTATAATCACTTGTAGAACTTAACATCTGGAAATCACTCTGTAATCCAAATGTCAATTTCATAAAATATATGCAACTAAAGATAATCAAACCCCAAAATAGACTAAAATCCCGTACCTCTAGTTTATTCATTCCTTAATATGTATTTGAAATTTACATAAATTACAAAATCAAAGGGGTAAATTCAATGTACCCATTCCCTGGGTATTAATATTATATTGTTAATATTGCACCTACATTAAATAATAGCATCATATATAGCGCTGACCTTTTCATAACTTTGTATCTTAGTAAATATACTGTTACAATCAGAATAAATATTTTGAGGCAAGACGTTCTAATATTTCATATTTCAAATATTACAATATTTTGTACTAAATATACTAGGCACATTAAATAGTTCTTTACAAAAAAGTTCTTATAAATTCTGGTTACCCTTCTATAATTTTATCAATCCTAATAATCTGTCTAATCAATATATATTGTAAATATATTATCTAAAATTCATTACTAATTTTATACTGTGAAATCATATTTTCAATAAGATTATCACTTCTTTAATGTGATATTTAATATTTACAACTTTTTTTTTTTTTATAATTTAACTAAAATTTATCTATCATATATATATCAACATTATTAAACTATTTAAATATTTATCTAATGTTATATATCTTATTGATAAATCTAAAAAGTGATTTATTTAACTTAATTTTTGTTACTAACCTATAATATAATACATATCTTACAAATCATTATCCTATCTAATTAACAAACTGTGAAAATATCAAGCCTATAGTAATATTACAAGTTTTTATTTTTCTAAAACCTATAGTAAAAAAATTTTAGGTAATTACCTTAAATAAAGTTATATTCTAGGTAAATAATTAAGTCTATTATTATATATATAATGATTTAAGTTCTTTATTATTTTAAAATAATAAAAAACCCTCAATATGACTTTTTTATTTTAATAGTAGTTCTCAAGCTTTTATTATAATTACAATAAACTCCTACCTAGAAGTATTAGGTATAGTTATATAATATTTATTAAATATAACAAAATACCATGACTTTAGTAGTATTAATAAATATGTCGTATTGAAATTTCAAGAGTGAATTAAATCTCAAAATCGGTAGTAAAGGATTATTTAAGGATTTGCTCATATTGATATATTAAACTCACTAATACCCTCCAATAGATTTAACTATAGAATTATAACATAAATGAAGTAATGAGTAAAATGTTTATGTTGTCATACCCCGCTATATAATAAGGCGGTATTTTTATGTAGATTTTATGATTTAGTGAAATATTAAATTCTAAGATTAGTATAAGATCCTTATCCTTATTTTAAGTTTAAGATACTCATTTATTTAACATTTTGGAATGCCTTTTTAAAATACTAATAATTATAATGACTTATAAATTTATACTTATTAGCAACTAGAGAATGTCCTCATACTTTTTTTTCTTTAGAAAGGAAGTCAAATTGAATAATTAAATTAGCGAACCTTGCTTTGGTTTTTAATAAAGAAGAATCTAAGTCTGGTTTTTTTTAATCTTATCTATAATAAAAGTTTGAGTATAATAGATAATTATAGGTGTATAATTGTTGGGAGATTTTCTAATAAAAAAGAAATTTAATATGTACTTTGTTCTTTAGTTATAGAATGAGTTATATTATTTAATTAATACTTATAAAGTAGCAAAGTATTGTCACTATTTGAAATTGGCCTTTTATAGTTTACTATTTAAAGTAATTTGTAAATTTATTTAATAATTCTTTAATATTAATTAATATTTTTTCAGATAACAATAATCTGTTTTATCTACAAAATATTATAACACAAATAAGTAAAATCTTATTAAAATATTTATGTAGATATATTTGTTAATAACTATTCAATTTAGTTTTATATCTTATTAAATAATAGCAAAATGATTTATTAAATATATATTAAAATATAATACTCTATAAATAAAATACTAAATAATAATAAAAACTAATATTTTAATATACCAAATTTTATTATTGAGTTTCTTAGTTTGGTTGATTAGTTACTGAATAATAAATTTTACTGAGTATAGAATTGAAATTCTCAAATTATTACTACACAATAACCTGGTAATATTTGATAATTTCATATTGAAGGAATCATTATCATTTATCTAATTACTGGAATATAATATAGATCGGAAATAGATAATAATAGAGTAGAAAAATAAATGATAAATAAAATATAAACTATTAGAATTAGCAATTCATTCTATATTATAGAAATAAGAAAAAGATCAATTTTAAAGAATATACATTAAAGGAAATAGATTATTAGTATTGAATAAATTTGATTTAAGAAGTGACTCATAAATTATATTTTATTTTCACTTAATATACAATGAGTAAATATTTATAAATTTACAGTTTATATTCAGATGACAATTTTAATGTATGTTTTTTTTAATTAATTATAAGATTGAAACTATGAAATAACTTTATCTTTGATATTTTACTGATAATTGTGTTTTTTAATTTTCTTTTTGCTTAAATAATATTAAATATATCTAATGTTATTTTTAGGGGATAAGAATGATAATCTTTTTTATTTTTGTTTTGATTATTTATTTTTTAGAACAGAAAATAGAAATTATTTTGAGTTTAGTCATTTTTATTTATTTTTAGCTATAATCAAATAATATTGATAAACATTTAGATTAGAATATTATGTTACTGAAACAAAAGTACAATTTATTTAAAATTTATCTATTGAAATTTTTTAAGAATTTGAAAGTTATATTTCTTTTTTAGTAGATTTTTTTTTATAAATTTTAAAGAAATCAAATATACAATATTTATTATTTATATTGAATAATTCTCAGATGATTAACTTAATATAAAAGTAATATCAATTATTGTCGTTTTTACTCATTTAAAAATTAAATAATTATATTAAAAATCTTTTGTAGTTGTATAAAGTTCTTTTTTTTTAACTATTTTCTCAATTTTCTTTTTTTATTTAATAAAAATCCGAATTCTAGAAAAGATATTTTAATGTTTGTAATGAAAACTAGCAAAGTAAAAGAGTAACACTACATTTTAGAGAAATATATAATATATAGTTAAAAGGTAGTACTATATCAAAAATCACACTACCTCTTACTATCTAAAAGTTCAGTTTAATTTTAGTATTAGATAATGGATATGAAATTCAAATACGAAAATACACTCCATTTACTAGAATTAAAGAGCTTCCATATATATTATTACTAGTGCATGTATTTAGTAATTAGGTTCATTGTCATCCCTAAATTACTAAAAAATGAACTTAACTGTATTTATACTTAGTATAAACTGATATAAGAGTATATATATACATAATGAGGAATCTCAAAAACGTCGACCACAGGATTCGAACCTGTGCGCGGAGACCGCACTTGATTTCTAGTCAAGCCCCTTAACCACTCGGGCAGATCGACTACCCACTGGGTCGCCTCGCTAACACAGATATAAGGTCATAAGATTATCTCATCCCAATAAATTTATAATCCACATTAGCTTTGACCATCCCCTTATATTCTTTGAACTTGAGACATAAAAGCACCCCTCTATTTGAGCAGAGCTAATAATAACAGATGATGAAAATTTTATTAGAGTCCAAAATATTATCGAAGTAAGAAGAAATATAAATGTAGATCTTGAAAAAGTACTTCCCTCATGTGTAGATACCTGTATCTGATAGCGTGCAGCCTCAAATTCCCTGCTTAATCTTAATGTTTGTTCTTTTGTTAATGGGGTTGGTTTTCCATCCCCACTAAATTGATAAAAAGAAATGAATTTATCTGATTTATCACTATTTATTGAATCTTCTCCATCTGATGAAATTTTGGGATAAATAGGTCTGTGTACGTACTCACCTTGAGAACTAGTTTCATTTCCACTTGCAGCAGCTGCAGCTGCAGCATATTTTTCCATTATATTTTTGTATTTAAGTGATAATAATTGGCTAGGATTACGACTTTGTATGGGTAGTGGGGGATCAACCCTCTTGAAGATTTCTGATTTCTCAAGGCCTAATTGTATAGGTTTTTTTATAGAAACAATATCATTTGCTTCTATAGAAGCTTTTGATTTTGGAGTCACTTTTGCTATATCACTTCGTTCTTTCTTTTTTAATTTTTTAGTTTTACCAATAGGTTTTTTTTGCTTTTTAGTATCAACTAATATTGTTTTATTGTCATTATTTATATTAGTTTGAGAGTGTAATTGTAAAAATACTATGGACTTAATATTTGAATATTGATTATTATTTTTTATACTTCTGTCTTTCATAGTATATTCTATCCAAGGTGATAGATTTGAAAATAAGGGAAACTTTTTCATACCTAAATACAAAGATTTTGTAGTTTCTTTTTTATAAAGTAGTGAATTACATTGAATTGAATAGTTTGAATTGATTTTTTTATTATCTTCTTTTGTTGTACCAAGTATGTGTGATTCTAATTGAATCAGAGAAAGTGGATCGTTTTGTTTTAATTGTTTTTCTTTGATATTATGAGATTCTAATTGAGATAATTTTAATTTTAACTGATCAACATATGCTTCACCCTTATATAAAAGAGATTTTTTGTCCATACGTATTTCATTGCATATTGGACATAAAAGTGGAACTGGACCACCTGATAAAATGTCTGAATTTTCACCAATTGTAGGATCTTCAACTATATCTGAGGGGAAGTGCTTAAAATTTTTTCTCAAACTACATTGTAAATGTGGACCAAATATTCTAGTATCTTTTGCACACTTATCCATCCAAATTCTACAATTATATACTTGATTTCGTTCAAAACGAACTAATCTACGATAACATGCTCCAGTAGTAGATATGTAAATAAATGGAATACTTAATAGTAAGAAAAGTATAATATTGAATATCTTAAAGCATACGGGTAGAACCTTACATCCAAATCCCAGAAACCTCGTCCTTTTAGATGGTGTAAAAAAGTGACTTCTTGGAATTTTACTGAAATATCCGAAACAAAATCCTGAAACAAGTGCTATAGTAGTCATAATTAAACTTATAACTGGTATAGTATATAGAATTATAATAGTAATAATATATGAACCAGGTATTGGGATAAACTTGAAGAGTGGAGTAATACTACATTGAAATATACTAGTTATATTGTCTGGATCCTGTACAAAGTGATCATAGTTTGGATTTTTTGGATCAGAATTAGCTACTAATTTAGCAAATATATAAGAACCAATACTGTATACTAAGTAAAGTATAGCTTGGAGGTGAAACCATTCTTTTAGCCTCCAACTATATCTACCTTTATGAAACTCCCCAAACCTATTTACAACTTTTTGTTTGAATTTGTAGATGTGATTTATCAATTTCATATGAAAAATCCAGATTTCTTTTTTTTTTAAAAAAAGAAAAGAAAAAGGCTCTTTAAATAAAAGGAATCCACAACCCTTTAAATAAACCAAATAGTCACACTAAGTGCACACAGTTACAACTTAAGAATCAAAACTGGGTGTAGAAATAGAAAAAAGTATTTAAATTGCAACCTAAAGACCATATTAAGATGTATTACATATCTTTGTTACTCTTAGACAAGATTTTATATGAAATTATAGGAAATAACAAGTTTAGTTCAAACTAGCAAATATACTCAATACTATAAGTACTAAAAATATACTCAAATCTAAACAAATATAGGGAATATTCATATCTATACATAGTTTAGCTGATCCCAATTTTAAGAGACCACAAACTGTTAACAAAACTTCTGTAAATTAATGTTAATAATCAATAAGAAAGTAAAACAATAAGAACAAATAGCTGTAAATGTCTACTAAATATAGAGATGACTAGTTTAGGAAGCTTCATTTAATTAGTAATTGGAAGTATTTACCCAACAACCTTCTGTCCATAAAACTTTTTCACTACTATTGGCTGTAAATAGATTAGGATGAAACAGTTGCCATGCGTTGTCATCGCACTTCTTGTCATGCTTATCACTATCTACAGTAATATTTCTTTCTTTATCACACTTTATTTCTTCAAAATAGTTATGTGTTTGATCTATTAAGTTTGATCCTGGATTAATGGCACTTGAAGTCATTGATATAGTTAATGCAGCAGTATTCTCTGAATGTGGTGTTAAATCAGGTGTATATACATTAATAGCACTGTCTTCATTTGAAAAACCACATATTCCAGCTAAACCAAATGGAGCCCCTGAAAAGTGCCATTCATTATGCTTCATATCTTTATTTATATTTCCTTCATTTGGATTGTCTGAAAGAGATAATAATTGCAATTGCATTAAATATGACATCTGTTCTAAACTAGCACCATTATCATAATCATCATTAACATTTGAATTATGCATATTCTTATAAATAGCAGTATTATTCGAGTTATTTGGACTAGATATATTACAATCATTTGTCCATGGTAATGAATTAAACTCAAATTTATTAGAGCAATCATCCAAATTCCTTATATCTCCAGATGAAAAACCTAACCCAAGTACATTACAGGGCGGAGGAGGAATTTTGATATTATCTCTTGCAGTATGTAATTCATTACTATTATCAAAGTGTCTATGGGTATCTTTTCTTGAGCTATTTGTTGTATTCAGTAATTTATCAGTATTTTGTTTATCAACTTCATTCTGTGTATAGCTCTTAGGAGATTCATTTAAACATGTATACTCCACTTTCCCATGACGAGGAAGTGGTGTTTCACATCCAGTAGAAGGAGTAACTGGGGAATCATTATTATTATTTACTGGAGTAGTTTCACCTTTACAAGATTCATTATGATTATTCTTATTTCTTGAATTCCTCCCATTTCTTTTAGGTGAGTGTAAATTATTTGAACCATGCATCTTATTACCTAAGTGCTTATGATATCTTATTGGTGAATGTTCAGTTATATCGTTATTTCTCAAGTTTCCATCTGTAATTTCACCTAATAAACAATCCATATCTTCTGATAATTTATTACTATCATGAATTAGTCGTTGTCTTTCTATAACCTCAGGGCCTTGTACCGGATCAAAATCTATAGATTCAGGATTACGTAATTCATCTAGTCCATGAGCAAAAGGGCAATAATGCTTTGTACAAAGAGGATATTCCCTACAAAGCTGTGTCTTATATACTAATACATGATACATTTGCTCCTCTTTAGTATGAGAAAACATACACATCCTACCACGCTGACAATAATTCTTTACCCTCATCTTCTTATTTTCATTATGAAATACAACATTAGGACATAGATTTGGTCGATATGCATATTCATATGGATTACGACGATGCCATGAAAGACAATGTGAAAATGGACAACGTTCATCTAACTCACATACACCATGTAGAGCTTTTCTTTCACAAATCCTGGTCCTGAATCTGGACAATTCTGTCATATTCATATTCTGACTTAATGGCATCTCCTTATTGTTTAATTCTTCCAATATTAATGTCAATAATACCAAATAATAATAAATAATACCAAATAATATCAAACAATACCAAGAATAAAAGTATCAGTTATCCTTCTCTTATATCTAAATGAATAATAAATTGATTCTAAATAACATACTACAATTATATAAACTGTTTCAGATAAACTTCACTCAACCCTACTTTTTCTTTATATATTTTATAAATCAAACCTTAATACTGCTAGATTTAGGAATAATTGTTGGATATAAATACTGACAAAATCTTCGGATGTCTCACTAAAATGTCAGATGCTTACTACGTATAGTGCAATTGCAGCGATATGTCCATTATTTATCCTGTCCCGTCCATTACATTTCTATCTATATATCCAGGATTGGAGAGATGCGGTTAATTTATTGTAGCTTACCCGGAGTATCTATTTGCAAATGCGCAAATTCTCTTCTTCTAGAAAAAAGAAGAAAATATACTAAAGTATACTTTTATTAAGTTCTGAATTTTATTATTTTTATAAATTGTTACTTATTTCTGTAATATCCACTTTTTAATTATTATTTTACAACTTTTTGTATATCTAAATTTTTTTGTATATTATATTCTCTTATTCCTTATCTAAATTTTATATTGCAATTATATAATTGGCGGGTCTTACATTATTTACTTTATAACTCACTTTATATATTTGTAGTATTACTATTCTGAAGTTATGATTTCTTGTGATTTTGAAGTATTTGGTAAAGTACAAGGTGTTTATTTTAGGAAGTGTACATTAGAAAAAGCACGCCAATTATTACTTACAGGCTGGTGTTCTAATACACCTAAGGGAACAGTTAAAGGCCAATTGGAAGGTGATGAACAATCTGTAATATCTATGTAAGTCTAAATATATAAGATTATATTAATATTTAAGTATTTAATTATTTAATCTATCTATTAGGGTACAATGGTTAAAAAATGAAGGAAGTCCAGCATCTATTATTGAAAAATGCCAAGTATCAGATTTTATTACAATAAATGAAAGATATTTTAAAGATTTTTCAATTATTAAATAATCCCTATTTATTTATTGTATTTATCTTTTTTTTTAATGATCATAATTATAAATATTTTGATGTATTTGCTATATAATTCCCCCCACAAAGATAGAAATCTATGCATGCATGTTATACCGTTTATGTATATTTTGACAATTTTTCTTTTAAATTATGAATCCATTATTTATACTTAATAATTTGTTAAATATTAGTGATACTACGAATATACAAGGTGGGAATTATGGATTTACAGAAACTATACAAAATTGTAGATTATTCTTATTTATAAAAGACTACTACAAGTTAATAAAGAAAAATTTTTATCTTATTTTTTGTATGTTAGGATTACTACTCTCTTCAGTAGTAAATTCAGTATATTTTAAGAAGATGACTAATGCAATGCCAAATCATGTGTGGTTCTTAACTCAATTAATATCTGGATTATATGTCCCATTCTTTGGAATAATTGTATTAATATTATATTTGAAAAATAATATATCAGATGAAACTTTAAAAATTCCACTTAGGAAATTTTGGATTATGGGATTTTTAGATAGTTTTGGAAGTATTCTAACATTACTTGCAAGTGTACATACATCAGGTGTAATGCAAGTCATTCTTGGGCAATTTTGTACACCTATTACATTAATAATGTTAACAATATTTTGCAAAGACAAATTTCATATTATGCAATATTTAGGAGCTTTTATTATGATTATTGGAATTTTTATAGTAAAATCTGCTGTAATTTTGGGGTTTAGGGATATTTCAGAGTCAGATAAGTCGAACTATTTAGTATTTAATATTTTATTTATAATTTCATGTATACCAGCATCAGCTAGTTCAGTATACAAAGATATGACATTTAGAGAAACAAGTTCTTTGAATGAACATTATTTACAATTTAATGTTGCATTGGCACAAGTAATTATTGGATTCTTTTTAGCACCTATAAATTCGATACCAATACTCGGACCACTTAAAATTGAGATAACAGAAATTCCTTCATTACTTGGTCAAGGGTTAAGATGTTTATTTTTGAAGCAGAATATAGTAACAACAAATTGTGGTAATGATGGACAAAGATCATGTGATATGTGTGAATTAGTTCAATTACCAGTTTTGATATATTTTATAGCAAATATTATATGTAATATATTTAGTATTATGGTGATCAAACATGGTTCTGCTGCTACTGGTTTCATTGTTTCTACTATGAGACTTCCTTTAACAACATTTGTTTTTTTTTCATCTACTTTAGTTGGGAAAGAAGCAACAACTCCTCATATAGAAGATTTCATTGGGATATTTATTCTAGTTTGTGGTTTAATTTTATATAGATTTGGTGCTACAATGAATTATGACTTTGTTGAAGATAGTTATGAGTTGAATTATATTGAGAACTACAGTATATATCCAAATTATAAAGAATTGGATATATCTACTAGTGCAACAGGTAATGAAGAAAATTCATTAGATTCCTATTCTAGTACATATTATTCTAGACTCTAATATATATATACGAGACTAAAGGAAATTGAATATATTTACAAGGATTTTTTATTGAAATCTATTTTTAAGATTATAAAAAAAAATGTTTTTAACGTGAAAAATTAAAATATAGATCCAATATGTCAATAATTGAGAAATGTGTATTAAAAGTTAGATGTAATAATATACATAATGGACATGTAGGGTTGCATGCCCCATCTTGTGGGGTCATACTTGACTTTTTTTAAGATTTATTTGCTATTAATTTTAATTAAATATTAGGAAATATTAAATTAAATTTGAAAGAAAATGGAAATTCGGGATTCTATTGAAGAAAGTCAGGGATACCTATCTGATCCTTATATTGCACTTTTAACTGGTACTAATCAACAACCAGAGCCAAATAAAAAAATTCAAAAAATTTTTTTGATTACATTATTAACTATTGTTTTAATATTAGTTATTTCAATATATTGGGCAGTATTCAATTCTAATAAACATGACATAGATGATAGTGATGCAGATAATTCTATATATCCAAGTGAACAAGAGTTCAAGAACCAATTTGAAGATTTTAAACAAAAATATAAAAAAGAATATTCAAATTTAACGGAGGAAAAATATCGTTATTCAATATTTAGAAAGAATATGAACTTTATAAAGATGAGTAATAATCAAGGATTTAGTTATGTACTAGAAATGAATGAATATGGTGATTTAACCCATGAAGAATTTATGCACAATTTTATGGGTTACCATCCACAACATAAAAATAAGAGGTTCTCAGATAGTCATAATATTTTATCTAGTAATAAAGTGGAGAATACTTCACCTCCTCGTTTTGTAAATTGGGTAGATGCAGGATGTGTTAATCCAGTAAGAGATCAGCGATATTGTGGATCATGTTGGGCTTTTTCAGTTGTTACATCTCTTGAGAGTGCTGTCTGTGCTCAAAAGAATGAGAAACTAGTTAAATTAAGTGAACAGCAGTTTGTTGACTGTACTCGCAATAATGGAAATTTTGGATGTGATGGGGGAAGTTTAGATTTAGCATTTCAATATGTTATGGAACATCAGTATCTTTGCACAGAAGAAGAATATCCATATATTGCTAATGAAAAAAGTTGTAAATTTAGCAACTGTAAAAATCCCATAAGGTATATATTAGATTCATATCGCAATGTAGTACCAAATAATATAAATGCTCTAAAAGTAGCAGTTGCCAAATATGGGCCAATTTCTGTAGCAATTCAGGCAGATCAGGCACCTTTCCAATTTTATAAAAAAGGTGTTTTTGATGCACCATGTGGTACAGATGTTAATCATGCAGTTGTTTTAGTTGGATATGATCTCGATATATATAGTGGGAAGGAGTATTGGCTTGTAAGAAATAGTTGGGGAGAAAATTGGGGTGAAAATGGTTATATTAAACTAGCTATACAAGCTGGAAAGAAAGGGAAAGGGACATGTGGAATTCTAATGGAACCTATTTATCCTGTCTTAAAGAAATAGTTATTACCAAATTTATTATTATGCCTCTTTAGTGAATAGTTATGATTTATCACCTTGATTATTAAATTTATAAAGTATCAATTTATTCTAGTATAAAGTTCCAAGGATAATAAGATTACAATATAATAAGTGAGAATAAGACAGAGAAAATAAAAAAAAAAGAAATAAAGTAGCTAGCAAAAAAGCTAGTGTGATACGTAATGCTCACTGGACGCCTTAATTTAGCCACATTGATTGCATGGAGTAAAAGTGAACAAGAAAAAATAAGGTTTTTTCTTTTTTGAAGAAATTATTTAAGATTAAAATTAAGCATTTAACTAATGAAAATAATTGTCTAGTTCTGAGCTTATTTGAAGTGTCTCCTTTTTTTTTTAAAGTTACAGAGATGAACTCAGTTGTAGAACTATCAGCAAAACCGAAAAAGATTCATCTTTCAGAGGATTACTTCCATGAAGTTATCAAAGAGCTTGAGAATGCTGCTTCCATTATAGCTCAGCAAAAGGTTGAAATTGAAACATTACAAGGATCATTGAGATATAATGAGGCAGAACTAAAAGCTCTTCAGGAACACCAAAAGGAATTGAAAAAAGAGAATAAGAAGACTTTGATGGAAAATCAAAAAATTACAAACTCACTACAGGGTGAAATAGATAATTTAAAGTTAGAGCTGGAGCATACACAAAAACAAGTTGGAGTGTGGAAGACTCGTGCTTGCGAATTACAACAGTCCTTGAAGAAATTCCTAGATTCTGCAATCATGGATGGAGGGAACGAAACGAGTGGGATAGATCATACATACATCAATAATTATGAAGATACTATTCTTAATTTGAGAAATCAGCTAGATGAAAGGCTTATACGAATTGAGAGTTTGGAATTAAAGATACAGAATTGTGAAATGGAAAATAACGATTTGAATAATGAACTTGCAAATTTAAAAAGTAAAAATAAACTAATTGAATATGAACTAAGAGGTTTAAAAGAAAGAAGTAGAAAGGAAGAAAATGAGAAAAGGAGATTACAATATAGAGAGCGGAATTTATCACAAGAAGTCGCTAATCTACAAAGAAAAATTTCAAATAAAGTAGAAGAACTACAGAAAGAAAAGACAATACTAAATGAACAAATATGGGATTTAGAACAGAGACTAAAAGAAACTGAAGTCGAGAATAACAAATATATTACTAATAGAAATTTTGAATTGGCTGTTAGAAATAATATTAACTATATAAAGACGTCATTGATTGAACAAATACGTAAACTACAGAAATTTGTACAATTTTTGTATTCTCATAAAAAAGACTTTATAAGTGATGAAAACCTAGATTTTATGAATTATGGAATCAGGACTTTAACTAAATTATCTCCGGAAAATCTTGATAATGAAGATATGAGTGTGCAAATACAAAATGTAGACACTTATAAGAACTATGATTCTTATGATACTTTTCATCTTCATGAAATTCAGAAAGACAAAGATGATAAATCCTTTTATAAATGGGACTTTAATGATGCATCACATGATAATAATTATCAAGTGCAGTCAATGCTGTTGAAAAAACAGAAATACACAAAAGATTTTAATGAAGTATTTACAACAGATAGTACATCTAAATCAAATCTTATATATTCTAAAGATAACCTTCTAACTCACAAAGTTAACAAATCTAAATTTAATAATGAACTTAGAACATTTAATATAGAAGAAATGTCACCCAGCTTATTTGAATTAGCTAGAGAAACAATTAATGTACTTGGGGAAGTGTCCAATGAACACCAAGATCTGATAGACGAGTTGCAACTAGTATTCAATGATGATGGTTATATTAATCAGAATTCTTGTAGAAGTGAAACTTGTTCTCAGTCTAGTTTAATCTCATTTTTAAGTGAGTAGCAATATAACTTAACAAAATATCTAATATAACACTATAGAAACAATATATATATTATTATTTCAGTTTAATTAGTAATATATTGATATTAGTTTTCTTTATTTAAGTCATTAACTATTTGAAATATAACTTTAACTTTTTAAATCACATTATTGGTTGTAATTATATTCTTTAGTGCAACTATTTTAGCGCTATCTACCCTGCTCATTATTGATCTACTTGGCAGGTTCAGATTTGACTTGTAGAATATAGCTAATTGTTAGATAGTGATCAGAGGAAAATGGAGATAAAAAAGAGAAAAGTTGAAGTTAATGAAGAGTCTTCAGTTGAATTATATCCTTTTAGTACTGAAACTATGGAAATTTTGAAAAAACGTGGTATTAATAGGTTATTTCCTATTCAAGCAAAGTCTTTTAATTATATATTCAATAAGAATGATGTTTTAGGTAAGGCTAAAACAGGTACTGGCAAGACGTTGGCATTTGTATTACCAGTAATCGAGAGACTAATTAAAAAAGGTAAATTTCATACTAATGAAATAGGTAGAAAGCCTCTAGTACTTGTATTACTACCTACGAGAGAACTTGCTCAACAAGTCAGCAATGAATTTGAACTTATGAAGGGTAATAATCGTTATAAAGTTGTAAGCATATATGGGGGTTCACCTGAATATCCTCAGATACAAGAAGTTAAGAAAGGAGTGGATATTATTGTAGGTTGTCCTGGTAGGGTTCTAGATTTTATTGAACGAAATATACTTAATGTTAGTAAAATTAACGTTTTAATATTAGATGAGGCAGATAAAATGTTAGAAATGGGATTTAAGGAATATGTTGATAAAGTGATAGATTTTGTTAAAAAACAGACATCTGAAGAAAATACAGATAAGAATAGAAGATTTCAAATCTTACTATTCAGTGCTACAGTACCATCATGGATTAAGAAAATTGTTAATGAAATTATGTCTAATGATACTGTTACAGTTGATGTAACAAATATATCTGTTGATGGAAATGAAGATTCAAGTGATAGTGGAAATACTAGAATTCGTCACTTAGCAATCCAATGTGCATATCCTCAAAGAACAGCTTTACTTAAAGATATTATTACAATGTATGCAGGTATTCATGGTAAATGTATAATTTTTACTGAAACTAAGCAGACTGCAAATGAAATCTCTATGAGAAGTACAATTAGCGACATGTGCCAAGTACTACATGGAGATATTCAGCAAAGTCAAAGAGAAATAGCTCTTCAAGCTTTCAAAGAAGGTCGTTATCGGTGCTTAGTAGCAACCGATGTAGCAGCCAGAGGGTTACATATTGATGATGTAGCTGTTGTTATACAGCTTGCACCACCAAGAGATATAGATACATATATTCATCGTGCAGGACGTACTGGAAGAGCAGGAAAATTTGGAACAGCTATTCTATTTTGCAACATGAATGACTACCCTTTTTTATTAAATATTGAGAAAATTGGGAATATTAATTTTCAAAGAATCGGTGCTCCTCAATTTGAGGAGATTCTTCAAAAGACAGCTGACTCTGTAGGGGAATATTTGGTAGGGAAAAATATTTCCAGTACAATCCTTAATTCTTTAACGAAACCAGCCAAAGATATTATCATAAAACTATGGAAAAAGTTACAATGCAATACGCAGAAAAAAAGACAAAGGAAACAAATAGAAGACAGAGATAATGATTTGAGTTTAAATAATATGGAGAATGTTCCTGATATTCCAGAATGTGCTATAAATGCATTGGCATATTGTTTAATAGAGCTGACTGGAATAAATAGTGAAATATCCGAAATCCCACATAGATCGGTTTTAAATGGCAGAGAAGAATTTAAGAGTTATTTAATAAAGTTTAGTAAACTGAAAGATACTATTGCAAGTAATGGATATATATGGAGATTTCTCAAAAATAATCTACGAGGATATGAAAGTCTTATTGAGAAGATACAATGTATGACTTTGCTTAAAAGTGGAGATGGTGCAGTTTTTGACATCCCAGTTGTACATTTAAAAGAATGGGAAGATGCAATTCAAAACTTGATTTGTAAAACCAAAGATGTTGATACAAGTACATTCCAAATTAGTGCTGCCTCAAGCAATCTACCAGAATTGGTAATTCCAAATACTTTAAATTCACATCAGGACTTTGGAAGTAACTTAAGAGTCAATCAGCAGCACATTTCAAATAAAATTGGCTTTAGACAAACAAATAATAGAACAAGACCGTTTGGAAGAGGTGGAGTTACTAGAAGAGGTAGATATTAAAAAATTGGGTGTAAATAGACCTAGGACTATTAAAGTAATCAACTACTAAGAAATACAAATTATCGAGCATTATATTCTAGTTACTCTCACAAATGCCATATATCTATTGTTGAATCACTGTATGTTGATATGATAGAATTGGCATATTCACCAAATGAAATATAATTTATTGAAGACTTACTGTTACAATGCAAAGTAACGAGTTCTTCTATAGAAGTTTTCGTATTAAATGTAAATAATGAAATTCTTTCATCCCATCCACTTCCAATATATTTACCACTGTCATCCAAAGAAATAAGTCTGTTGTTTCTATTGTTCGTTGTATTTTCTATATTTTGTAATACTAATCCCTTCCGTAAATCCCATAAAAGGATTGACCCATTAGATGTTGTGGAGAATAGATAATAACCATTATTAGAAAAGCATAATTGTAGTTTATCACTATAATTATTTTTGGGAATTCCAAGTTGTTCTTTGAGTTGAGTTGCAATATTCATATTCCTAATGTCCCATATATCTATTACTTCTCCTCTATCAAAAATTCCACCAATAATAAGACCATCTGGATGGAAACTTGCATAGTTGTAGGAAACATTATTTGAGATGTATTGTGTACAGATAACTTTACAAGTCTCAATATCTATATATGAAAAGAGAGACTGTTTCTTTGAATTGGCTAGGAATTGTTTATTTAATGGATGTACTGATAAATTTGAAAACTCTGTAGTAGTTTTTGATTCTAAAAGTATGTTCGATTTTAAAGTATATAAGTCACTTTTATTCTCAAAATTTACAGTGTCTGCCAAGGAATATAGTAAAATACCAGTGTCTCCACTATTTGAAACTATTACAGAACCAGGAATACTCATATCAACATTAACACTTGGTATTGCTAATAATGACAGTATGCTAGTACAGGCTTTACCTTCAATTCTACAAATTGAGTCACCTTTCTGAGTATCTGTCAGATATATATCTCCATCATTATGTCCAGTAATAATTACCTTGTTTTTATATAATTGGCTACATTCAAGTAGAACGTCACTTGATCTACTTCCTAATTTAAAGGATAGTTTTGAATGATCTAGAGATTTTAAGTCCATTGGTGAAGCCAGGTTAACGAACTCTCTTTTCTTCCTAAGTGGTCTCATCATATCAGCATATCTTATATATTCATCGACTAAATTCATTGGAATTCCATCATATTCTTGCAAAATTTCATCCTTTCTATCATTAGCTGATTCTTCTGTAGATCTAGAAATATTTATAGGTGGATTTTCAAGTATTCTATTTTGTATCTCTTCTAAATCTTTTCTTGCACTATCTCTCTCTTTAATTAATTTAGCTATAACACGACAAGCTGCATCTTGTTGGTATAAGCTTTGGCTTAACTGCATCTTCAATTGATCAACTTGAAGGCGCAATTGGAATAACTCTGTCATAGTTGCATCCCATTCTGTTTGTAACATTTCTAATAGTCCAGGAATGCTAGTATTAGTAGGAAGACGGGGAGTAATTCTGTTATCTGTATGTATACTTATTAAATCATCAACTGTTAATGCATCATTACTAAAGGGACATCTCCCATTTGACTTCACATATTCTTCTATAAGCTTACGTTCAAATATGTAACCAGTCTTAGAAATTACAGGATCTTTTGCTAATACCCCAGATATGGAACAGATTAGTGACATATATTTCAATTTCTAATAATTTCCTTTCTTGGAATTAATTCTGAGACTTTATCCTGTCTCTAAAAATCACTCCCCGGCAGTATCAATAGCAAAGGATACCGGGAACATATCTCGCATCCGAGTATGACTCTGATTATTAAACTTTCTGCACAGTTTTCCACTGACATGTATTCACAATTCAGATTTTTGTAAATGAGCATGGAATCTTTTTAGTAAAAGGTTCCTAAATAAGTTACTTCTACACTTTTACATAATGTTCAAATATATTCTAAGCTTATTTCGTTAACTACTTTTGAGTAAAATAATGCAGTGCAGAAATTACATTGCAGAGCTACTTTTCATATTGTTAACCCTTCTAATAAATCTAAGAGAAGTAATTGGTGGTAACTTGTTTAATAGTTCTTCAGTAACAATTAATGTAGTTGAAGGTAGGAATTCAACAATAGAAGTAAACCTAAAAAATCCAGTAGACCACTCAGTACAACCGAAAGTTACTATTGAAGATCGCTTATTTCTACCGCATATACTTAAACAACAAAGATCTTTAGATGATGAAAAAGTGTCCACATTTTCATCTACTGGAAGACTAATTGTGAAGTACAAGGAAAAGGTCTTAAGTCGTGCTGTAAAGGAGTTTAATATTATTGGTATAATGTCAAAAAATGGTCAATATCCCAGAAATGAAGGTGTTCAGTTTTTATCTAAAGTTTTATCAAAGATATCTGAAACTGCTGAAGAGTTGGTAGGTATAAAGTCTGCAACTGTTCTAGACGCTTTGGATATGATGATTGTGGAAGTTCTGAATACTTCCAGAACACCAGACTATATAACAAAACTTTCAAATAGTTTTTTATATAGTGATGAAGTTGAGTATGTTGAGGTAGATCAGGAAGTATCACTTTCAGATCACTTTTCTACAGATGTGAAGGGAAGTTTGCCAAATGATCCAAAATTTAGTGAACAATGGGGAATGCACAACAAACTAACAAATATTGATGCAAGAGTATTATTGGCTTGGGAACATCTAGGAATAAATTCTGCAAATGGTAAGTATAGTACTTATAATGATATTGAAGGAAGATCAAGGCGTGATGTGATAGTTGCTGTGATTGATACAGGTGTTGATTTCTCTCATCCTGATTTAGTAGATAATATGTGGATAAATCAAAAGGAATATTATGGTCGTCCTGGAGTTGATGATGATATGAATGGTTATGTAGATGATATATATGGTTATGATTTTGCTAATAATAAAGGAACACCAATTGATGATGAAGGTCACGGAACTCATTGTGCTGGTACAATAGCTGCAAAAGGAAATAACTCTGAAGGTATATCTGGAATTAATTGGAATGGAGTTAAAATAATGGCACTCAAATTTTTGCGTGGAAGTGGTATTGGTTTTTTAAGCGATAGTGTGAAGGCAATAAATTATGCAATAAAGATGGGTGCCCATATTTTATCAAACAGTTGGGGGGGAGGAACTTTTTCCCAAGCAACATATGATGCAATTAGAAGGAGTATTGATAAGAATATGCTTTTTATTGTAGCTGCCGGGAATGATCATAATAATAATGATGTTAGACCTACATATCCAGCTGCATACCAACTTCCAAATGTGATATCGGTTGCTGCAATAGACTATAATGGACGTTTGGGAATATTCTCAAATTATGGACATAGAAGCGTAGATTTAGCAGCTCCTGGAGTTGACATATTATCGACAAGTGCTCACAAAGGATATAAAAAATTGTCTGGAACATCTATGGCCTGTCCATATGTATCTGGTGCTGCTGCAATGCTTTACTACTTTGATCCTACTATAACTTTTGATTCTGTAAAATCAATATTACTTAAATCTGTTACACCATTATCTAGTCTTAGAAATTCAGTCCGAGCTTCCGGAATATTAAACCTTTACAAAGCCATAAAAATGATGCAAAATAAGAAATCATACATTGAAGAGAATCCACGTGAAGTAAATAGTGGTGGTACTCCAGAACATACATGGATTGTATTCAAGATACCTAATACAATTGGACCCAAAGGTTCATCATCACTTCAAATAACAGGTATTGGAGAGAAATCTGGTGTATATACAGCTTCACTTTCAGTTTCTTTATTAGACTCTAATAATAAGAATAAAATTATAACTAGTGATCGATTAAAAGCTATAATTAATGTAATAAATGTTCCCAAGCCTCATGTATCTCTTCCAAATGGGAATACTACAAATTTAGGCCTATCCTTTATAGGACTGGAGGGCTTAAGACACAAAATACCTATTAGTAATATTGGTGTTGGCACACTTGAATATATGGCTGAGCTTACAACAGTTGATTCAGGGGATTCTAGAAAAAAAAAAGGTGAATTTCGGGTATATCCACCTCTTGGTACAATTCTTTATGCTAAAGAAGGTACCACAAATAGTGATTTAGAAGTTTCCTGCATACCTAATACTCACCAAGGAATTATCAGTGGATATCTTATTATTCGCTATAATAGTGGCCTTAATGAATCTATGGTGAATAAAAATGCAAAATTTCCCAATATTCGAGGAAATTGGTCACTTAATGAAGCTTTGGCTACATTTTCTGATGTTACTTTTCAAAGATTTGGTACTGAAAGAATTTTTTCTTTAAGTACAGAGCGTATAGCAATAAAACTATATTGTAAGGGGTATGGTATTCAAGTTCAGCCTTCATCAATTATAAAATTTATTAGATATACGAATGCATCAGCACAAGGTACATTTTTATTCAAAAGTTTGGAAAACTCATTAAAACCCCCACTTATACTAAGATTTATTCCAAATATAGAAGATTTAGATACAGATGATGAAATTTCTGATGAATCGGAAATAAAAGAAAAAATTACTCCGGAAATATCCTTTTTCAGTATTGCAAGTGGTGAATTACCACAAAAGAAACGTATATTTTATAGATTAAATCCTTCTAAGAATATTAATAATGGATATTATGTAAATTCAATAAGTTTAGATGAGACATTGATTCAAAATCCAAATATACAATTTATTTGGTATACAAAACCCCTCAAAGATACAAAAAATACATCTATTCAAGAATTAACAAATCTCCGTAATTCAGATGATGGAATACAAAAGGTGAAACTTCCTAGACCCTGGTCTTTACTGGGAAAAACTGTTACCGAGATGTATGTATCAGTTAACGGATTTATATCTTTTTCTCATATATTTAGTGAAGCTTTCGTACCTGCGTTACCATCTTATGCTCCTCCGCATGGAATCCTTGCACCTCTATGGTCTGATTTAACTACTGTTGGAAAACCAAGTAGTCAAATATATGTTAGCTTTGTAGAACCTGATATAATGGTTAAAGATAATAAAGAGGATTTTTCCAAAGGTTGGAAATTAGTTGTTGATTGGGATGTTGATATGAAGATGGATCCATTACCAAATAAACCAGCTAGATTCCAGTGCATTATATATGAAAATGGCCATGTAAAGTACAATTATTTAAAATTACCATGGAATAATGATATTTATAATGGAAAAAATTCTGTTGTATCCACTCAATATAAACCACCAGGTTATACAGGGAGAATACCTAATGCAATGGTTGGCTGGGAAGGCCCTGTTGACGCTCGAGGTAAGTTCATATTAAATTTATATTAATTACTATGTACTACATAGCTATTATTTCAATTTTTAGGTGTTGGTATTCCATGCACAAATAAATTCCCCTTACCACACTCAACACTAGAGCTCAAACCAAGAAATCCCAGATTACCATGGTTTGAGATGAGTGATGAAATAGTCCCTCCTCTTCAGACAATGCAATCTAATTTTGAAGTCAAGTGGAGAACTATAACACCTTTAAATAAAAAATCTGGAAGTTATCAGGGAAAAGTACATGTCACTGCATCAGATGGAGCAGACTCCTTCATTCCAATCAGAATCTCTATAGTGAATAATAGTACTAAAGAAGAAGTGACTAGTGTAGATAATTCAACCGATGAGCTTTCAATACAAGGGGATAGTTTAGCAACTCATGAAGACTCTCCTAGTTGGTAAAAATTAAGTTCTATGGTTTTATATTTTATCAAAAATTAATATTTATTACAAAAAACATCCTTAAAGCTTGTTTCACTTTTAAAGATATTTTTCACAGGGCGATCAAGGTATTAAAGATGGTAATTAGTAGTATTAATAACTTTATACCATTTTAAATAAATTTTTGAAAGTTGCATTAACATTTACCTCCACAATACCCTCATAACATATCGCTATAGGCAAAATATGTGTTATTAAATTAATACCTATATTCAATATCTTTTCATTAAATACTATACTTCTATCATGATTAAAGCTACAGAGCTAACAAAATTGTTGCAAATTGAATTATTAAGTAAACCGAACTTAGATGCAATTGTGTAAGTCTTCTAAATTCTATTTTATTTTGTATTGAAATACTATAACATGATACTTCAGAATTTCCACGGGTGATGGTGGTATACTATCTGCTGCAATAAATCAAGAAAAGATTAATATAGATGATGTACAAATTGTCACTGCTATTCTAGTTAGTGCACTGAATGAATACAATACTACAGATCATTCCTGTAGCAATTTTTATATGGAAACAGAAAAGGGGAAATTTATGATTGGAGAGTTTCAAAGTGAAAATTTGTTCCTAGTAATGTGGTTTGAATTAACTACCTCAATAGGTATAATTTACACGCTATTTGAAAGTCTAAATAATGAATTATCTAATATACAACAATAACTTGAAATGCTAAGCTAACTTAAATTATCTTTATATTAATATTGAAATATGTAACCACCAAAGTGTATCTAAACAAATGTACACATTAAAAATATTATACATTTAAATTTGACTTTATGAGTTTTTGAATGTGACTAGCCTCTTCAATATTTATCGTACCGATACTTTTTGGAAAAGCCAACAAATTGTCCTCTGAAAATCTTGGAATTATGTGGAAATGTGTATGAAAGACAGCCTGTCCTGCATCGCCACCAGCATTTGAAATAATATTAATTCCTGTGGCACCAGTAGCTTTTTTAACTGCCTCAGCTATTATTGGTAGCTTACTTAGTACCTTGGATGCTACATCTTCAGAAGTGTCAAGTATATTTATACATTTAGTTTTTGGTATCAGAATTGTATGACCCATTACTACTGGGAATGCATCAAGAAAGGCTAGACAATTCTCATCTTCATAAACTTGATAACTAGGTATTTCACTCCTCAAAATCTTTGCAAAGACATTTTGTTCGTCGTAGTTAGACATTAAAAAATATTTCTTAAAATTGTATTTAAACTTTAATTATTACTACTATATTTACTATATTTAAAAAGGTGAGACAGCCGCTATATTAAATTACAATTATTTAATCTTCCTACTTTTAAAGTGCTTTCTTTTTTGTACCAAGTAAACTTTTTTTAGGGTTACTAATATAATTTATATGTGGAGATTTCCTCTTTAAATGATTTTGTTCCTTAGGATTCTTCTTCCTGTCGGAGTTTAATAATAAACCTTTACATGTAATATCATTTAATTCATTCAAGTCAAAACCTGCTTTTTCAATCAATTCTCTTTTCGACAGATCTTTTGCTATTTCCTTCTGTAGTGTACTTTGGAACCATTTCTTACGTGGTCTTCCACTAATATTCTCTTTATGAATTAAAATATTTTCTGCCTTATTAGCTTCCAACTCTGCTAAACGTAACTCCTTTTCAGCTATATTAGCTCTAATTTGTTGCTTTACTTTCGGTTCAGATTCTAAAATACGCTCTGACCAATATGAAATATTATTACTGGAAAACTTTAGTTTCTTCATTAAATTACATAATTTAGTTGTGGAACTACTAGATCCTGATTTTCTTAGCACTTGCTTCATTAGTGATTTAAGCCTAGATCTCTCAGATTGAGAATAAAGTGTAATACTATTTCCATTTTCACCAATTCTAGCAGTTCTACCTACACGATGGATATACCTAGAGGCCTCTAATGGTAGTGTAAAATTAATAACAGCAGTAATTCCTTTAATATCCAAACCTCTGGCTGCGAGTTCACTAGCTAATAATATTTTTGATTCACCCTTCGTAAAACGTGCCAAATTCTCATTTCGTTTTTCTTGTGTTAAATAACCATGTAATTCAACTGCAGAAAATCCTAGTATATTACATAATATACTGATTCTACGTGCTTCCTTCTTTGTCTGAAAAAATACAATTACACGTTCTGTATATATTTTAGATAAAATATGAAAAAGAGCTCCTTCACGATCTTTCTCTTCATTTAATTCCACAAATTCTTGATTTAATGTTGTGGAAAGACCTATAGTTGATACATCTGATGTTATACCTTCTGTATTACTTAGTATTGCATTTCGTCCTAACCCTATAGTAGATATTCTACAAGGGTTCCTAAGTGTAAGTAATGCAAGATCAGTAACACCTCTACTTAAAGTTGCAGAGAATAACATTGTTTGTCTACATTGAGATACATAACGTAAAATTTCAAGACATTCTCTACGAAACCCCATGTCTAAAAGACGATCTGCTTCATCTAATATAACAATTTCTAAAAGTTCAAGATGGACACCCATTGTATTGATTAGCATATCCAATATTCTACCTGGAGTGGCAATAACTATATCTGGTTGGCTTCTCAATGTTACTTCATGTTGAGATTGACTCATTCCCCCAGTAACAATACATCTAGTAATAATTAAACAATATTTAATGAGTGATTCAAGTACATCGAAACACTGCATAGCTAATTCACGGCTAGGTAATAAAATCAAAACTTTAGTTGCATTTAATCCACCTGTTGGACCTAAAGGTGACATTTTCCTAGCTCTTATACCAGGAAACTTCAGAAGTCTCTCAATTGTAGGTAATAAAAATGCAGCTGTCTTTCCACTTCCTGTTTCAGCTTCAGCAAGAATATCCCTACCAGCTAAAGCTAGAGGAATAACCTCTTTTTGAATAGGAGTTGGATTAACAAAATTAAGATCATTCAGTGCCTTTAATATTGGACGACTTAATTCTAAGGAACTCCACATCATTCTGTATATACTAGGGACTACTGTTGTTTAAATATTGTTTAAATATCCAAGTAGTTACTATTAAATTATCTAAATTTTGAAATTGAGCGGTATATTCCCACGAAGTCATCTTATGACATTAGGGTGCTGTATAATTTCAGGATGTTTCCAAATTTAATATTACCAATATTTTAAAATAAAATTAAATCTTACTATTTAATATATACTGTAACTTATTTATTAATTTATACTCGTTTATATATAGAATATATTCTTTTCTAGAGTTTAAAATAATACTGGACCCTTGACTAACCTTAATATTAACGATGTGAAAATTCTTGCATTAACTCTTGTTCAATCATTTGAAGATTAAATAAACCTTGTTGATAAGCACGCAATATATTTTCAACATTTGTATTCTTGAATATCTGATGAGAAGTCAGAGCTTCACGTGCAGAAGGATAACTTGGTAATCCAATATAGTCACTTTCAACATGAGTAAACTTGCAAACACCAATCTTAGTATCATAATCATACTCAAACTTAAATCTAAAAGGATATTAATTTTTTTTAATTAAAATTTTTTTTATTAAGGAATTTACATACCCTTCCACATGTTTACAATCTATTTCAAATGGTAGATGTATAATTCGGTAACATTTTCTCCTCTTAAGTGAGTATCCCTTAGGACATCCTTTATGATAATATAAAATATTAAAATAAACTCAATAATATAAATATATTATATAGCTTACCAATAATCTTAGCTCTACCTCGTATTGCCAAACATTTATATATTGGATGTGGGCGATACTCAGGAGTATCCCAATCACCTAAACCTGGTCCTAATTTAGGATGAGGGTATGGACAACGAAGTTTTGGTTCTGAAGTTCTAATTTTTATACATGAAGCAGAATCCTCATCCCAATACCAAGCTAATTAAATATTAAAAATCAATTTATTAAAGTATAAATGAATATTTGAATATTTTTATAACTAACCCGAATCTGCTCCACCACAATTTCTATCATAATCAGGTATTACTGTAACCTTAGTTTCACATGTAGCCTTAGAATTATCTAGTGACTTAATCAATTTTGCATTTTTTGGACATTGAATTACATATTTAATTGGCTTTGTATGGCTTTTTTCAGTGCAATAATGATTTTCAGATTTTCTACAGAAGTCTCTTGAATCATGTTCATATTCAAACATATCAGTTGCTGGTACTTTTATTGGCTTAGAGTACATTTTTTTAACGCATCTATATATCTTTTCTACACTTTGCCCTTTAGATTTTAACTCAAAACCTTCAGGACAAATTTTTTTTTGAGCTTGATATGATGAAGATTTAATACAAAGTTCTTCCTTATTTAATTTATACCTAAATAATTATGAATAATGAATATAGATATTGATATATTTTTATTTTATTTGTTACCTTCCTGGACAGTATTTTTCATATTCTGATGTCATCATCCCAATGCAATATCCTTCAACTACTGTTGCATTTCCTGGACATGGCTGAATCAGGATTTGATATTATAATTATCTTTTTAGTTTCAAATATTTAAACTTACTGAATATATTGGAGTTACTTCATCATTATGATCTAAATATGTACAAACATTATATCTATCATCATAAAATCCTTTGTGGCATACTTTTCTTGCAGGAACTACTAAAGTTATTTTAGGTTCTCCTAATATGGTCACAGGTGGTAATGCTGTGAGTATAATAGTTGAATTAGATTTAGAGGTATTTAAAGAATCATTCCAAAGTACAGAATACTGAATATTTGTAAGAAATACTAAAAGACTATACAATATTACCATTACTGATATATCTATATATAATATTTAGCTTGCATGTTGTAAAATATGACAATTTTCACAAATGGACGATTCACATATATTATTATAATAGTAATATACTTAAAAAAAAGTCTAAAAATTTGCTAAAATCCTTTTAAAATGTTTCATGAATATAACTCTTTAAATGATTTTGTAATTTATATAAGTACTATCTTCAATATAATTTAGAATTCAAATTTTAATACAATAAATATAAATAAGAGTATAAGAATATAAAAGAATAAAAAAATTATGAATTTAAGGTATTTAATGAAATAGATAAAATTGATTTTAAGAGATTATACAGTCATTTATATTAGAAATTACGAGGTAATAAATAGATCCTTATTTCCAATATAATAAATTTTGGTTATATATGTAGTTAATTTGTTAAAATAGTATAATAAATAAAGACAGTATATGGATCCATTATTACATATTTCTAAATATGAATATTTAAATTAAACTTAGTAGTATTATATATAGTTGATACTATAAAAACCGCTAAGAATGATTAACGTGGCATTTTCAAGATAATAATGAACTGCATACAATAATGAATGAAGAATTATCAGGTAGTGATATAATATATAATTTACTGGATATAGATGATAAAACTAAGGATATACTTAAACTAAATAGGGTTTATACAATACCTCAGATATTATTAGATAATCTTCACCAGAAAGGTTTATCAAAGAAGCAGTGTTCTGATATTTATAAGAGTTGTAGATCTATTCTAAGAAACTTAATAAATATAATACTTACTCCAAACAAATATATTCATTCAGATAAGTCTGATTTGGGATTTATGACAGGTACACAATTATTAAGGAGAGCAAGAAACAACTGGAACTCATCAAGTTCGTGGAATACTTCAGTATTAAAGGCTCCAATAAAGCTTGGTGAAGAATCTCTAACTAATTTATTTGATGGAGGTTTCTTTTATGGGGAAGTTATCGACTTATTTGGGCCTAATATACATATTATTCGTCGTATTTGCCATTGGATTGTTGCAAATACAATGGATGGGAGATCAAATAATTTATATTCTTATAAATCCAAACAAATAGTAGATAAAACATTATATATCCAAACTACAAGTAGTGGATTTGATTCTATATATATAAAAAAATGTTTTCAGAAAGTATTTGGAGAATTGGTAAATACTCAAGCAACACAAGGAACTTCAGAATTAAGTGATAATACAGGGGTTCTTTTATCAAATATACATGTAACAACTATACAAAATACTAATGAACTAATCAAGTTATTATATAATATTCCTATATTTAATAGAAGAAATAATTCAAGAATAAGATTGGTTATAATTGATTCTATAACATCAATACTTGGTCCTCATCGTTTTTTCCAGGACAAAAATATTAAACAGAAGTCAGTACGAGATATTATCCAGATAATCGCGAGAATTTTACGTTATATTTGCCATATTGAAGATATGAGCATTATTACAATATCATCCTTGAAACCCTCGAAGATACTAGATCAGAATCAAAACACTTTAATGTTACAGAAAGTATCTTTACCAAATGATACAGTAGATAAAAAATTTATACTATCTTCATATAACAAACAAATGACTCCTAATATTGATCATTCATGGAATACTGTTCCTCATAATCAAATATTAATACAGGAAATAGAGAATTTTGAATCTAGAAATCGTGCATATTTAGATTCATGTGGCATTAACATGTTGAGCCTAAATAATAAGAAAGTTCTTAAATGGACTGTGTGCAAATCTAATAGAATAGCTACTGGAAAGTATGCAATAGTTGCTCAATCTAAGATTGGCCTAGAATCTAGTGATCTTTATATAATTTGAATTTATTCTTTAGGGGAAGGAGATGAAGTTTGTGTACTTGATTCCATTAGGTTTACATGAAGAGTCAGGTCTAACTTAGACAGGACGTTTTACTAGTACTTATAACAACTTTTTAGTTATGTTGAACTTGTGGGCTGAATATTTAAATAAATTTAAGTAAATAAATTACTACTAGAATATGATTGTATACAATATATTGATTTAAGTTAGATAAGAAATATTGTTTAATATATATGTAGAGGTGTAAAAGTTACATTAAGAAGTTCATATTTTCTAGGAATGAAAGAAACAAAAGAAAGTTATGATGAAAATATAGATACAGTCCCTTCAGAAATGAAGGATAGATTATGCATGCACTGTTGGGTTACTCAGAGTACTGTTTATTGCGGTACTTGTATTTGTTTCTACTGTGGTACTTGTGTAGCAATGACTCATGCAAAAAGTACACTACACTATATTACTTCAATTCAAAATTCTACACTAGTGAATGCAAATAAATCTGTAAATTCATCAGAATTTAAGAATATAAAATGTAAGATACATACTAATAAAGATTTGGCATACTGTTGCACAAATTGTAATTACAAACTTATATGCGAGACTTGTATTATTATGGATAGCCATGAATCTCATTTTATTTTGACTCTTCCAGAGGCAATACCAAGGGTTAAAAAAAGGCTTTTAGAATGTTTGTCATTTTTGAAATCTTCTGCTTTTATTTTGGGGCAAAAAATAACTGAAGTATCTGCATTAGCATCCCAAAGAAAAAACACATTTCAAAATAATTTGTTAAATGTAGAAGATGCTAAAAAAGCCTTAATAAATGCGATTATTGCAGAGCAGGATCTTTTACATGCAGAATTAAAACTATTGAGTGATAAAGTTAGCTTAGGTGGTAAAAATATATCTAAGAGTTGTGACGACCTTCACAATTTGTTAATTCGTGTTTGTGGTGAATCTAGTATTTTACTTCAAATCTCAGAAGATATGCCTAGCCATACCTTAAATAGGTATGTAAGAATTAGTAATATTGTTAAAGGAACATTGGACCCAACTTATAAGGTACTAGTTCCTGAATTACAGCACCTTAGCGTTCCATATTGGAACTTAAATAACTTGACAGTACTTGAAGTTTTGCAAGATACTCAAGTTTATATTCAAAAACACTTAAATAATGCTATAAATATTTCTGAAGCTATCTGTACAATAGCATCTGGTGATATATCTGTCGTTGATACTATTAAATTAGATTACTTTAAAACTTCAGTTAAAAAAGGAAATCAAGTAAAACAAGTAAAACTTCAAGATATCCGTGTACATAAAATAATAACAAATAAAATAAAAGAAAATAAGAATGCAAATTTGAGAAGTAATCCTTCTAAGGCTGTTTATAATACCAATAATATAGAAAAACCTCCAGCAAAGGCTAAACAAAAGTCTAACAATATTTTAAATAAACACCCAAATGATCTAGTAAGTTTCAAAGAGTGGCTAGGTATACATAATGCTAATAAGCTAAAGTCGTTGAAAAATATACAAGGTTTGCGTATAACTGATAAGATAAATAATGGGTCTTTATCTAAAAATCAAATTTCCCTTCAAAATGGGCTTAAGTCCAATAAAGAGTTAGAAATAACAACCGTAGGAAGGGACGAATATTTAGAAAGAAATTATTCATCGAGATCTGATATACCTAATACAAAAGAGTATTTTGAGGCTTATGTACATCTTAAGGGTATCTTAATGGCATCATGCATTAAATTATCTGATAAAGAACAACAAGATACAACTATTCAAGATTGCTTAAAACCTATTACTTTGAAATTATGTTTTCCATTTATATTACTTTATGATTATGGTAATAATAATTCTCAAAAATTACAAGATCACAACTCTTCTGAACTGGATAATGAAGGGAAACAAAGTATACTTTTATCACACCCAAAACTAAATAAGAAAGATTTGGATTCATCTTTAGAGGAAGTGGTAGAATATCCATCTGTAATTAAGGAGAAAGAAACTATTCTCATTAATTTGAAAATGGGGACTGTAGAAAAACCTGTAGATGCACTATTCATTACAGATATTAGACACCCAGGTATAAGAATACACACAATACATGAAGATTCAATTACAAAAGAACTATCTTCATATTTAAGTAGAAAATCAACAACCTTGCAGCCAATAAATGAAGGTTTTGAAGTTTGTGAAGTGAGTTGTGGAAAAACTCTTTATTCTTGGGTATTTTCATGTTCAACATTTAAAGTAGCTGAGAGATGGGTATCTATGCTAAGAGGAGATAATCAAGAACTACAAGATTCAATTGCTAGTATTGGTATTGCGAAATTACTTAATCAAGATACAAAAAACAAGGTAATTCACCATAAAAAAGAATCTTTAGACCCTATTATAGATCCAAGCTGTAAGATACAACCCTTAGAAGTTCCTTCAGAAACAATTAGTAATAATAGGGAAAAATTGCTTCTATTGACTAGGGATATGCATTCTTCAGATGATGTAAAGAATATACCTGATCTGTTATCTATTAGAAAAGAAAGATTAAATAAATTGCGAACTTGTAAAAAACATAAAAATGAACTAAATTTAGATCCCAAATTAAGAATAGGTCAATCTTATGTTACTAATGCTGAAGCATTACTTGTCAGGGGGCTTGAAGGAACTCGTGCATTTAAAAAAGTTGTTTTGCTATTAGCTTATCCTACTCTGGTAATAATACCATTTTTAAACTTTGAAGCTGCAATATCCCGTAGCATTTTACAGGATGAATATGTGGTATCAGAGCACTTTTGTACTCTAATTATCAAGCTTACAAATGATAATATAATTCAAAATGGAACAACATTTGAGAAACAACTATTTTATATTGGTAAAATTGCAAGTCAAGAATTACTCAATAAAAACAGTGCTCTGGAACATCTTAAATGTAAGGGAAAGATTAGGGGATTTGAAATAATGGTACCTAATAAAGTTTTGATATTTATTTGTCCAAATAGTGCAAGTGAAAAAATGTGGATTCAAGCAATATCACATCCTAAAGAACAAAAAATAATGAGAAATTGGAGGCAATTGACAATACTAGAAAGTAAAGGACATAGCAAAAATATTTCTGCAGATAACAAAGATACAAAGTCAAGTAAAACCAGAGATAATTTTGAAAGTCTAGAGATTCAAAGTCATAGTTATGGACCAAAACTTCAATCTAGTGATAATAAAGAATCTAAGAGAAAAGATTCTTTTTTCGATGAAGATATTGTTCAAGATGTTATTTCAAAAATAATATGAGCTCTCCTGTTCTAACTACTTTTTTATTTCTAAAATTAACACTTACCGCAAACACTATCGTCTTGTTAGGTGTGTTGTATTTCATCATATTAAATATCTCTATAATGGTTATCTGTCAAAGAGGACTTCTTATTAAAAGGTAATTAATATTTTGGAATATATCTTTTCTTTTGAGTACTGTATAATTTCTAAATTGTTGTAGTGATCCTCCTTCTATAGAGATTATTAAACAATTAAATCAAAATAAGCCCTTTATTATTGAAACATTAGATTCAAATATACTATTTTGCATGGATATTGGAGCTAAGAGTTTAGAGGTTAGTATTGCTTTATCTCATTTCATGTATACAAGCGTAGTATAGCATTAATAATCTCTTAAAAACTTGATTATTAATGAAGATAATGCGCTTATAATAAATCCTAAATATATACTATTTTACAGACAAATAGATTAAATTATTTGTCTGAGAAGTCATATTTTTTGGAATAAATGATATATAATTTACTTTGTCTTATATTTACCTATTTATTTGTTAATTATTTAGAGAGATGTATTTGAAAAGCTTCAAATAGCTGAGAGGCCCAAAGAGGATTATAGAAGTTAACTTTTTTACTTCTATAGTAATTATTATTCCAAAGAAAATTTGTTCTCAATGGATTCATTATGAATTGAATGTAACTGGGGAATCCTTTAACTATTGATCACTAAATATTTATAAAACGATGTGTCATTTTGTTTAGGTGATGCCACGCTTAGCACACACCTAATACTAACGTGCCTTTTTGAATTTCTATAATATAAATGATCTTAATAAGTTTTTAAAAGTATTATATAGTAATAATTAATAACAATGGAAATATATATAACTCAAATGTAAAATATATCACTTTTGTATATTGTATGGAAAAATAAGTCATTTTTTACTTTTTATAGAAGGTAGGAAATATCACTTCTTTCTACTGTAATTATAATTAAGACATTACTCATATAATATTAATTTTATTGTAATATATACTAAGAAAGTTAAAATGAAGCTTAATATTTTGAAGAATAAATCATGTACTTAAAGTCTTTTACAAATTATTTCGGTAATACATAAATTAATAAAATATCTCTTAAGTCTATATATCTTAAATTTAATGAAATATAAGTATTATATTTATTATTTAATTAACTTAAATACATATATAAATTTAATAAATGTACGAAGTTACTCAAAAGTTTCACATACCATTAATGTAATTATAAAATAATTAAATTTATTTTAATATTATTAGTATTATTAAAAATAAATTCACTAACTTTTGCTGAGAAAATAAGATAGATTTAGCATTATTTAATGAAGAAATGCAACCTCATATCAAATATGCAGGGTCAGGATTCCACCACGGTAGCAGAGTCATAATATACATAAAAATAGATTGATATAAAATCCTAGTCCAATTAGATATTTGTATGTTTATGGTGTTCAATTCATCAGATGCTTCTTTTATTTGTAAACTCTCATCCGATATTTTCTGAATTTCATTATTTTCAGTTTCTTCAATATTTAAATTAGATTCACTAAACTCAATAGAATCTTGATTTGCTTCAAATTCACTTTTAATAAATACTGAATCTTCAGTTATAATATCCTTATCTTGTATCTCTTCAAAATCTTCTTGTGTAAATTCAATATTGTCATCGACAAAATTTTGGTTTAAGTTTGATTGATCTCCTTCAGACATAAATCTTTGCCTTCTTAAATTAGCCAATGTAACTTCAATAGGATGAACTGATGACAAATTTTCCAAAATTTCTTGTATATCATCAAAAATCCCATGAACATATAAAAAGTAAAATGTGAACAATGAAACATAAAGTTCCCTAGATACATCAAAAAATAAAAATATCAACAAGATCTTAATAAATATTACAACATGGTACCTTTCCCATGGATTATTGGAAAATCTCCTTTCATTATGATATACAAATTGGTTATTTGCATTATCATAAATTCCTAATAAAGTAAATTCAGATGGTTGCTTAGTTTTATGAGGTTTTAGTGAATAATCATAAATTTGTGCCAATAGTGGTTCACAACAGTAATATCTATATGATATATTATCAGTAGATGATATCATATCTCCGTAGTCCTCAGATATAGAAGAATTATATTTATTGAGGTCCGTTACAGGTCTAAATAATGAAAATATTGAAGTATCAAATTGACATTCTCTACTATTAAATTTAATTCCATTCAATATTTTTGAATAATATTGAAGCCATTGAAAATACAAAGAGCTATAATAAGAAAATGCTAGTTGGCTATAAAAAAGATCCATATAGTAATTTGTTGGAATTAGTTTCATATTATCAGAGTCAGTATTTTTCTCTGGTTCATCAATAACTTCCAATTTACTATATCCAAAACTAAAGGTCACTTGATCTTCGTCCATTTTGCCCTGATCTTTTATAGATAATCTTGGTAAAAATTAAATTATGCTTTGAAGATATTCCACGTGATGCAGCTCTACGAGTATAATTAGTTGTACGCGGGAGTATTCAGTACTGAGGCCATATGTTAGTGATTTTTCTACGAGTTGAAAATGAAGCATATTTAAGGATATGCCAGATAATACAACAGAAGTGTATTTAAAGTATGATAAAAAACCAAGTGTAACTGATTTAGGCCGTCCTGCAAGAGTTCAATGTAATTCTAAGCAGAATATTGCATATATAGAAGGAGGCGAACAATATAATATTTGGTATGGAAGATATGTTTATGATTATGCGAAACGTACAAGATTACCTGCTCAAACACGTTGCAATCCAATTAAAGATATTGGGTGGACTAAAGCAGATACTGAACCAGGGAATAATTTACCCTCATTTTGTTTATACTTTGCTCGTGGTTGTTGTACTAATGGTGCCTCGTGCAAATATTATCATCATTTACCAACACGTGAAGATGATGATGGCCTTTCACCTATGTATGATATTTTTGGAAGAGAGAGACATGCACAACATAAAGATGATATGAGTGGAACTGGATGTTTTAAGAAGGATAGTAGAACAATATTTATAGGTGAGATATTTATAGATAGGCAAAAGGAGAATTATAATAAAATAATAAGTGACCAAATAAATAAAGAATTTAATATATGGGGACCTATTGAATATTCTAGAGTGATTTTAAATAAAAATATTGCTTTCATACGTTATAGTTATAGAGCATCTGCAGAATTTGCCAAAATTGCAATGGATGGACAAAAACTCGGTAATGGATGTGGTGATAATATTAGTGTGAAATGGGCATATGATGATCCGAATCCATATGCAATAGAAGCTCAAAATGAAATGAATTCCCTTATTGTTGAAGATACAGTTTCGAGGCTTATAAAGAGACAAAGATGCCTCCTACCTAAAGATAACATATCAATGCAAGCTGGGTTTTATGTGAATACATCAATTGGTAACTTAGATAAACAAAATGAACATAGAGATCCTTACACTCCCATAACAAGAGAATCATACAAAATAATACAAGAAACAGAGAGAATAGAGGCAGTTTTAGAAAATGTAGAGCAGTGTATTAATGAAACTGAGAAAAATGATAGGTCATATGATGTAGTAGTTTAATATAGATACCAAATATCAAAGTGTTAATAACTTTGATAATTGTAATATTCAGTACTATTTAAATAGGTATCTAGGGAAAGGTAATGTTTGTAAATTATGTCCCCGAACTAATAATACTTAGAGAGCTCTGTACAATAATTAAATAACTTGCATTAGTATTGTATATCTTCCCCCCTCCCCTAGTTTAAAGAAAAAAGAATTACTATTATCTTTGAAATTAACCATCAAGATGATGATCATCCTCTGGATATTCATCTTCCTCAACTGGAACATCTTGATATTGTTGGTATTCTGAAATCAAGTCATTCATATTGCTCTCAGCCTCAGTAAACTCCATTTCATCCATCCCTTCACCAGTAAACCAATGTAAAAATGCTTTTCTACGAAACATTGATGTAAACTGTTCTGCAATGCGTCTAAACATTTCCTGAATAGCCGTAGAATTCCCCACAAATGTTGAGGCCATCTTAAGACCCTTTGGTGGTATATCACATACAGATGATTTAATATTATTAGGAATCCATTCAACAAAATAGGAAGAATTCCTATTTTGGACTAATAACATCTGTTCATCAACTTCTTTTGTTGACATTCTACCACGGAACATTACGCTAGCTGTTAAATATCTCCCATGACGTGGATCAGATGCACACATCATATTTTTTGCATCAAACATTTGTTGTGTTAACTCTGCAACAGATAAAGCTCGATATTGCTGCGACCCACGAGATGTTAATGGAGCGAAACCAATCATGAAGAAATGTAAACGTGGAAAAGGTACAAGATTCACACACATTTTTCTTAAATCACTATTCAATTGACCAGGAAAACGTAAGCAACAAGTAACACCAGACATAGCAACTGATACTAAGTGATTCAAATCACCATAAGAAGGATTTGTCAACTTTAAAGTTCGGAAACAAATATCATATAAAGCTTCATTGTCAACAACCTGTACAGCATCAGAGTTCTCAACAAGTTGATGTATCGAAAGAGTCGCATTGTATGGCTCAACAACTGTATCAGATACTTTTGGAGATGGAAGAACGGAAAATGTTTGCACTATACGGTCTGGAAATTCCTCATGAATCTTTCCAACTAATAATGTACCCATCCCTGATCCTGTACCACCTCCTAAGGAGTGAGTCATCTGAAATCCTTGTAAACAATCACATGATTCAGCTTCATGCCTTACAACATCTAATACAGCATCTAATAACTCTGCACCTTCTGTATAATGACCTTTTGCCCAATTATTACCAGCTCCACTCTGGCCAAAAATAAAATTGTCAGGACGAAATAATGAACCAAAAGGTCCAGCACGAACTGAATCCATAGTTCCAGGTTCTAAATCCATTAATATTGCTCTAGGTACATAACGTCCACCTGCTGCTTCATTGTAAAATACATTCACACGTTCCATTTGCAAATCTGATTCCCCATGATAAGTCCCTGACTAAAAGATATACAGAAAGAGTCAAGTCATATTGACACAAATATTATCTTAATTTGTATAAAACTTACCGGATCTATCCCATGCTCATCAGATATAACTTCCCAAAATTTGGCACCAATTTGATTGCCACATTGGCCACCTTGAATATGAATAATCTCTCTCATGCTGAATAATTTAAAGTTGTCTATAAAGTCCCCAAATTTGTTATTTCAATCTCTAATATTTCTATTTTACATTATATTCCCTTGTAATATGTTAACATACCTTAATAGAATCTTATTCGACTCGTATTGAATATCGTCTAACTACTTTAGATAATTAGCTACTTCAAATATATATCACACGGAAAAAACTTGAAGAGCAATATTTCATTGACAGACCCCACTCTTGTAGATGAAAATTACGTATGAAATCTTAGTAGGCACGTTTCCATATGGAATGTATGCAAGGCGGGAAGTGGGGGTCTATACCCCACTAGTTTTTCCTAACCAGCTTACTATTATCTATTGTATCTATAGGTAATTATTATAAATATTAATACTAGACGGTATACATGATGTTCGCTAGTACAGATAAGCATGAAATATTTTTATCAATTTATAAGTTCTACACTTATAATAATTTACGATCTATTTTATTCTAAGTTAAAATTATAGTAGTGAGAAATTTTGTTATAAATATCACAAAGATATTAGGTAGATGAGATAATTGAGAGTAGTTAAATTTATAACTAGATTAATAAATAAGGAGAGAAAAGAAAAAAAAAAAAAAAAAAGGAGAAAAAAAGAAAAAAAAAAGATAGTATTGGGTGGATCCCATATATTTTGTATATATAATATATTAGGAATATATCACTATATATAAGTAGAGGATATCTTAGGATAATATTGAAGGAAATATGAACTCAGGTATATATTAGAATTAGTGTTATATAAGCTTATGATATGATTATCCTATTTTATTCAAGATTGATTCACTATTTCCTAGTATAAATAATAAAATAGGTAACTAAATTAATACACTGAGGAAATGCGCCTATTTTCCAGCTACTCATTTCCCGTTTTCTTTGTTTTTTAAGTCTTTTCTATGCATTTAAAAGCCACATTTGAACAAGATGCCATTTCTACTGATATAGATTTTGAAGATACAAAAGACACAAAGTTAGAAATTTCTCATGATGATAAGAATAGCTCAAGTAGAAGGAAACGATGGGATGTAATTCCATTCATTCAAAATGATGATATCAAGAATAATATTGTAGTGAAAGATGATAAGTTACTGAATAACTACAAGAATGAACCTGTAAAAAGGTCTAGATGGGACTTAATACCCTTAAAAAGTCAATCAGATGAACTGAATTCAAATAATAATATGAGTGAAATAAATTCAAGTGTAAAATTATCACCAGATGATATTTTGAAATATCGTTTACAAAAGGAAATATACGAACGTAATAAACCTTGGACAGATGAAGAATTAGATAAGATTTTGCCTAAGGAAGGTTATGAGATAATAGATCCTCCAGAAGGATATGATGTATTACGTGAAAGACGACTAAAAAATTCTTCCATAAATCATTTTGGTCAAGAATTCTATGAAATCCCAGAATTTTCAGGAATTGAATCTAAAAATGAACATAGCAATGATATTTTAATTGGAGGTACATCTACAATAGTTTATCATGCTGAACTTGGAGAATTAGCCTTAAAAGCAGAAGATTATTCATTTTTCGCAAAACTTTTTTCTAATGAATCAGAAGATGATTTATCTGTAGAAGAAGTTAAAGAAAGACAGATATTAACATCATTATTAAAGCTAAAAAATGGAAACCCACAACAACGTAGACAAGCAATGAGATATATAACAGAGAATGCAAGAGAATTAGGGGCAGGTCCTTTATTCAACAATATACTACCATTATTAATGTTATCAACATTAGAGGATCAGGAGAGACATATTTTAGTGAAAGCTATGGACAAAATTCTATATAAATTAAAGGATCTTGTAAGACCATATGTTCATAAAATTTTAGTAGTGATTGAACCTATGTTAATTGATCAAGAATATTATGCTAGAATGGAAGGACGTGAAATAATTTCAAATTTATCTAAAGCTGTTGGTTTAGCAACAATGATTGCAACAATGCGTCCTGATATTGATCATCCAGATGAATATGTACGTAATACAACAGCAAGAGCATTTGCAGTAATTGCATCTGCTTTAGGGATATCCTCTTTAATTATTTTTTTACAAGCAGTATGCCAAAGTAAGAAGAGTTGGCAAGCCAGACATACTGGAATTAAGATTGTTCAGCAAATTGCAATAATTATGGGATGTGCTATATTACCTCATTTAAAGAATTTAGTTCAAATTATATCACATGGTTTAGTAGATGAGAATCAGAAAGTTAGAATGATCACTGCATTAAGTATAGCAGCATTAGCAGAAGCTTCAGCTCCATATGGTATAGAAGCTTTTGATAATATTTTAAGACCACTTTGGAAAGGTATAAAAGAATATCGTGGAAAGGGATTAGCTGCATTTTTGAAGGCTATAGGTCAGATAATTCCATTAATGGATGCCCACCATGCTAATTATTATACAAATGAAGTTGCACCGATTTTAGTAAATGAATTTTCAACCCCTGATGATGAGATGAAAAGAATAGTATTGAAGGTTATTCAACAATGTATATTAACAAATGGTGTTGAAGTTGAATATTTTAAATTAGAAATTATTCCATTATATTTTTCAAATTTATGGATACCTAGAAATGCATTGGATAAGCGTACATATAAACAATTAGTAGAAACAACTGTAAGTATATCACAAAAAACTGGTGTAGAATGTATATTAAAATTTTTAATTCAATATTTGAAAGATAATAATGAATCATTTAGGAAGATGGGTTTGGAAACTATTAATAAAATGATCTCTTTAACAAAAGTTATAGATATTGATAATCGTTTACAAGAACTTCTTATAGATGGTATTTTATATGCTTTTCAAGAACATACAGATGATGATTCAACAATTATTATCGATTCATTTGGAAGTATTTTAAGTTCACTTGGAACTGCTGCAAAACCTTATTTACCACAAATATCATGTATTATTAGATGGAGGCTTAATACTCCATCTGCAAAGGTTAGACAGATGGCAGCAGATTTAATAGCAAGAATTGTAGGAATAATGAAACAGTGTGATGAAGAAGAGATGTTAGGTCATATTGGTTTATTCCTATATGAATATTTAGGTGAAGAATATCCAGAGGTATTAGGGAGTATAATAGGTGCATTGAAAGAAATTATCAATGTTATTGGAATAGATAAAATGAGTCCACCAATAAAAGATCTATTACCTAGACTAACTCCAATACTTAAAAATAGGCATGAGAAAGTTCAGGAAAATGTAATAGATCTGATAGGATGTTGTGCTAATCGTGGTGGAGATCTTATTTCTCCAAAAGAATGGGATAGAATATGTTTTGATTTATTAGATACTTTAAGAGCTAATAAAAAATCTATTAGAAGAGCTACTGTTAATACATTTGGTTATATTGCGAAAACAATAGGACCTCATGATGTTCTAGTAACATTACTTAACAATCTTAGGGTACAAGAACGTCAATTAAGAGTTTGTACAACTGTTGCAATTGCAATTATCTCAGATATATGTATGCCATATACAGTTTTACCTGCTCTTATGAATGAATATCGTATTCCAGATTTGAATGTACAAAATGGAGTTCTTAAAACTCTATCATTTATGTTTGAATATATTCGTGAAATGTCAAAAAATTATGTTTATGCAATTACACCATTATTAGAATCTGCTTTAACTGATAGAGATCCTGTACATCGTCAAACTGCAGCTTGGGCTTGTAAACATTTAGCTTTAGGAATAGCAGGATTAGGATGTGATGATGCATTGATCCATCTATTAAATTATGTCTGGCCAAATATTTTAGAGACATCTCCTCATCTTATTCAGGCAGTATTTGAAGCTATAGATGCTTTTAGAGTTTCAGTTGGTCCCGGTACTATTCTATTATATTTATTACAAGGATTATTCCACCCTGCTAGGAAGGTTAGAACCGTTTATTGGAAATTATACAACAACTTGTATATTGGTAGTCAAGATGCTTTGGTTCCATTTTTTCCAAATATACCAGATTATCAAGGGAAGTCATTTATGAGACATGAGTTATATTATTTAATTTAGGTCTTATTATTAAGTTTATACTTATAAAATTAGCTATCCTACTTTATTTACTAAATATTAAAGATTTATACTTCTTATATATATATTGAAACTCCTTTCTACTGCTTTAACATAATAAATACTTTTAATTATCTTCAATTTTTTTTTTATTAAATTAATGAAATAAAAAATTAATTATATATAGTAAAATATTAAAAGATTTTCTAATATAAAAATAATATTTTACTTTTAATATTTTGGCAAAATTCCCAATTATAAATTATTAAACACAATTTATTTAATTACATATTTCTAATAGGTTGTTCAATAAATAGATTTAATATTGACACACTTGAAAAGTCAAATAATTCCTATATAAAAGTGATCTTCTATATTAATTCAAAAGATTTCTAATATTATAAATTTACTTCTATATAATTACTCATAACTTCAAATATACATAGACTAAATCTAATATTTTGAGTTAATATAATATTAATAATAGTCTAATAGAAACTTGTTTTTAGATTAAAATATTACTTATTACTTATTACTTATAATACATAAAATCACCCAATATTCTCATAATTTTAAAATTTTGTCTTATTGAAAATATTATCTTAATTCCAATATTTAAAGTCTAAACAAATACAAATTATTATATAATCTATTTTATTTCTTATCTTTTGACGAAATATAATCTAAAAGGAATTTATATTTGTAGATTATATAAAATACTAATATGAAATATATAAAAATAAAACATTAATATATAAATAAGTTTTTTATTATGTTAATTTTTGTAAATAAATATTTAGACATTATTATATAACTTTTGTTTCATATAAATGAAATTATAATACTATTATATATATTTTAAAAAAAGATAATCTTCTTTCTTGTTATAGTAAATATCTAAATTAAAAAAAAAATAATTAGTTATATATTTCATATAGTATTGAACTATACAATAAATTATTTCTAAAAATGAATAAGTTGCTACAACGAAGAAAGTAATCTTTAATATTATATTATTAATTCTACTATCTTCAACTTCAACTATTCTAATTAATATATCTTAATTTTATATACTATCTTTTACTAAAATAACAAAAGTTAATATCAAAATATATTATCTTTATATAATATTTCTATTTATTATTAAGTTAGAGTTATTAGAAAATTAATGCATATCTCATTATAAGTGAATCTAATAAATATTATCATACTTTAAAATCTATTATTACAAATTTAAGAAATGTTTAGAGTGTTTTAGTAATTAATATTAAATATAGATATATCATTGCTAATAAAGTATTTCTTAATAATAGTAGTATTTTATAAGTATTATTATAAACCTATTAAGATGTTGTATTATTTAAATTATTTTAAAATATATTATTGTAATATTTTTATTGGTAAATATATATTTATATAAGTATTAAAATTATATTTAAGATTTATAATCAATATATTGATTATCGAAATTCCTTAAAATACAAGGTTGTATTACATATTCAAGAGATTGAGGTTCATCATTAATAGAATGAAATGAATAAGATTGATCATCACCAAATATATTTGTTAATCTACGACGAGTCTCAAAAATTATATAAAGAAATGTTAAAAGGGTCAAAATAAGTCCAACTAATCCAATTATACCATATTTCCAAGAGTAACAAAATATACATTTATTGTGTCGAGTATTAGATATAGATAAACTTAATATTATTAAAGCTAAATGATTTGGTAAACAACCAATAGTACCAAATATTAAATCAATATATTTTAAATCAGTCAAACCTAATATATAATTGCTAATAGTAAAAGGAACAATTGGTGATAATCTTAAAAATATTACAAAAGTTAATCCACGTTCTTTTACAGCAGAATTTAATGCCATATAAAGATTATGTGAACCTAGAATAGACTTTATTGCTGAATAACATATAAATCTTGTTAAAAAAACTGATAATGATGCACTTAATGCAGTACCACAAAGTGTCATTGATAGAGTTATAATTATACCCAATTTTGAACCATAAATTTTACATAAAAAAAATGCTGTAGATAAAATTAATGGTTCCATAGGAAAGAATAAAGAAGTTAATATAGAAAAAGAAATAATATATAATATAATTCCTGGTAAACCATTATTTATAATTGTTTTAGAAAAATTCTCCACAATAATTGTAGTATCATCACTATATAAAATAGATATTAATAATATTCCTACTATAAGTAAAAATATAATAATTTTAAATGCAATAAGTCCATAAACCAAATGTGTCCTTGTTAAAGGTGTTTCAGGTAGTAAATCAGGTGGTAAATATGAAGTCATTTCCAATATTAATATTTCAAATTATAATTAATACATTTTATTTCAAATATTAACATATTCTTACTCTTAAAATAGTTAAGATATATAAATCTTACTTAATTTATATATGGGATATGTATATTTACTGAAAAAAAAGATACAAGTATTCTAATGTATGTGGAACATGATCATGGGAGTGTATTAACGTTGGCGTCTCACTTTTTATATTTATTATAATCCTTTTATTAGAATTATTACAATATACCCGATTTTTTTTTAAAATAGGATATTTAAGTTATTATTATATAGTATCAATAATTTAACTTTGATAAAAAATTATTAGACTTATAAAATATTATAAATGCCATAGCTATTTTCACTCTTAAGTATCATAAAGCGCTTAGATGCACAATTGTAGTTTTCAAACCTTTAAATTGAACATTAGCTTAACAAGAAATTTGTTATGAATAATTCCAATTCATCCTTAAATACTATTGATGATAGGCCATTATCTTATATTTTACATAAAGTATTAAATATTCTTCAATCAAGCCCAGTACCTTTGAAGAAATTGGAATTACAAACACAACTTGTTAAAGAAGGTGTATTATTACCCTCAGATCATGAATTCTGGAGTAATCTACATAATCATGAAAGAATATTTTTAGATTTGAATACTTTAAAGTATAGTTATAAATCTCCATATGAAAATATTCAGAGTGAGGTTGAATTATTAGCATATGTAAGACGTCATAATGATGGTTTATGCATTGATGATGAACTATTAAAGGTAAGAATATTAGTTTAATTTTTTCATTTAAAATATTTATATTATAAATTTTTTTAGGCAAATTCTCTAATGGATCGTTGGATACGTTCATTAATTAGTAAAAGAACAGTAAGATGTTTGAGACAGCAACAAGTTGCTGGTAGAATTCGTTGTAAACATGGAGGAAATGGTAGTATTGGTTATTCAAATGGTCCTGGATGTCCTCTTTGGTCACAAAGACCTTGTGAAGCTTGCGCAAATTTAAAAGGTATTGTTCTTTATCCTTTAGCAGAGGATATGAATATTGAGGAATTAAAAATAGATAATGATATAAGGGAATCATGGAGATCTATAATTAAGAATAAAGATATAAATTTAGAAGGAATTATACGTCAAATAAAAGGTGATAAAGCTGTAAAGTGTCTACTTGATTTAAATAGATCTAATAATAATTCATTATTGAATTCAAAAAGGCGTTCTCATAAATCTGAGGGTAAAATTCAGACAGATAATAAAAGACGACGTATTAAGATACGAAATGCACATATATTTAATAATGCAGATGAATTATTCTGTTCAAACAATTTTGAGAAGATTTCTAATACTTAATGAATAGAATTTTTGATATATAGTTATAACTAGAAAGGAAATTTAAAATAATCTGATTATATAAATTTAATAATAGAAATCACGCTATATCCAATAATATTTTCCCGCCATGTTACAATATTTTTTTTTCTTTAATATTATTTATATATCATTAGGACAGTTTTTTTTTACATTTATTATTAGATATGAGCCTAAATAGGGATATAAATAAGATTTCTAATGATATTAATTGTTTAAAGGATTTGAATAAATATGAAAAGAGTTCTACAAGACTTATTATTAAGAATTTACCGGGTTATTTAACAGAAAAGAGATTAAGAGAGCATTTTTCTTCTATAAATTGTACTATAACAGATGTAAGAATTGCTAAGAAATATTCAAAGGATCCAAAGAAGATAAATTTAAGTAGAAGATTTGGTTTTGTTGGATTTCTAAATACAGAAGATGCTAAGAAGGCATTAGAATATTTTAATGGGACATTTATTAATACATCACGTATTACAGTTGAATTTGCATTACCTCCTGGTTCATCTGATATTCCAATCCCAAAAAGTAGATATTCACAAAGAAAATTATTAAATATGGAGGATAATAAGAACAATACAAAAGAAATAGGAAACAAAAATGAATCAATGAATTTTATAATAAATAAAAGTTTAGATGATAGAGAATTTACACAATTATTGAGAGTAAAGAATAATAATCGTAGTTGGTTAGATAGTGTAGATATTCCAAATAATAATATACAAAACAAGAAAGGTACAGATAATTATATTACAGAAATAATAGATGTTAAACCAACAAAATGTGGTGTAAATACAGTAAGAAAGCATACAATATTTTTTGATGAATCTACAGATGATGATAGTACTGGGATAGAAGAATTAGATAGATCTGAAGGAAATAATATAGATGACAAAGAATGGATTAAATTACATACTATTGATGATAATAATAATAAAGATGAAGATAAAAAATTAAATGATGAATTAGATTTAGATAATATAGATGAACAAAATAAGATGAATATTGAAAATAAAATAGATAATGGTGATTCTTTATCAAGTGGACGTTTAATGGTTTTAAATTTTCCCTATTCAACATCAGAAGAAGACTTAATAGAATACTTTAGTACTTGGGGAGAAGTAAAAAGTACTCATATTGTTAAATCAGAAAGAACAGGGATTTCTAAAGGTTGTGGTTTTGTACAGTTTGCTTTTCCTGAACATGCAGTACGGGCACTATCAGAATCTCATATGTCTCTTTTTCAAGGTCGGATAATACGTGTAAGTCCTGCTTTAGAATATCAACCAAAGTATTTAAATCAAGATAAAATAAATCATAAAAATATTGGTGTCCTTAGTAGTTATAAAAGGAAAGCTATATTAAAGAAGAAAGAGCAAGCAGAAGATGAACATACATGGAATCTTTTATATGTTAGTGCAAACTCAGCAATAGATGCTATTACAGATAATATGAATATTGAAAAACATGATTTAGTTAATGTAGAATCAAGTGATTTGGCTGTAAGAGTTGCTTTGGCAGAAACAAGTGTAATTTCAGCTACAAAAGAATGGTTACGTAAAGAGGGTATTGCTGTTAAGACATTTGAAGCAAAAGGGACAGATCTTTACAATTCTAAATTAGTTTTTGACAATAAAGATAGAAATATTATTCGTAGTAGTGATACAATAATTTTAAAACATCTTCCTTCAGAATATACTACTATTGATGATCTTCAAAAAATTTGCAGTCCTTATGGAAGTATAAATCGTCTTTGTTTGAGTCCAAGTAGGACTATAGCAATTGTACAATATTTAGAAGATTCATCTGCTACTATTGCATTTAAAAAATTGGCATTTCGTCGTTTTAAAAATGCTCCTCTATATTTAGAATGGGCACCTATAAATATATTTTTAACTAATCATGATACTGAGGACTTTAATAAGCCTGAAGTCCCAACAACAGAACTAGAAGATACGACTTGTATTTTTATAAAAGGTTTAAATTTTAAGACTAGTGAAGATTGTTTACTTAAAATATTTGGAAATATTAATGGATTTAGAAAATCAACTATTATAAAAAAAACTGTTAACAAGGATGATAATCAAATAAAATTATCTATGGGATATGGATTTTTAGAATTTGATACTATAGAAAATGCAAGGGAATGTATTAAGAAGATGCAGGGGACTGTAATAGATGATCATATTATTCAATTAAGTATGTCAAAACGAGATTCAAAGCCTAAATTAAATGGTATAGTTAATTTAGACCCAAATATTATTAAGAAGACATCAAAGATCTCAAATAAGTTATTAATAAAAAATTTACCTTTTCAAGCCTCGAAAAATGATGTAAAAAATTTATTTGGAGCTATTGGCTCTGTTGTATCTGTAAGAATTCCAAAGAAATATGATGGTACTAACAGAGGGTATTGTTTTGTTGAGTTTTTAGGGAAGTTAGAAGCCCTTGCTGCACTTGAGCAATTACAACATTCACATTTATATGGGAGACATTTAATAATAGAATTGGCTAAAGATTCAGATGAACAAATTGATTCAATTGATGAGAATAAGGTAGGATCTTTTAATTTTTTTTTACTATTAATTTGATCTTTTTATTTATTTATTTATCTTTAGAAACGTATAATAAATTATGCTGAAGATAAAGAGGATTTTAAAAGGAGATATTTTGATTAAAATAACTGTTTTATTAGTCTACATTGAAATTAATCTCTAGTTATCTAAATCTTTATCAGTATGTTGAATATATCTAACGCGCTTTCACGTCCCTTTCACTTGACCATGTTTTGTATTAAGAATTAGAGAAATGAGAAGTGGGAAAGATGGAAATTAGTAATAATGAGAGTGAAAATGGAGTTCATACTAATATATCAGAAGATATATCTACATACAATAATGGGGGTCAGAATTTAGAGGATAGTTTAAATAAGAAGCTGAATTTGAATGTAAAGTATTGTTCAAGTAGAGAGATCCCATTATTCATATTAGGTATAATATTTAGTGCTCTTAGTGGTCTATCACCACCAGTATTTCTTTTATTTTTTAGTTTAGCTCTACAGACAATGCCAGGCCCAGATTCTGATATTAATGAACAAAATCAGTTTATGATATACATTTATTGTTTAGTAGGTGTCACTTTTAATGCAGCTATATCAACTTGGGTTTCAATATCATTATTTGAGGGTTTGGCTGAATATTATGTTAGAAATGTGAAAAAAGCATGTTTTAAAGCTTTAAGCTCAATGGATGAAAATTGGTTTTGTAAAAATGACCCTGGTAAAATTTCATCAAAAATTATTGCTAATTGTGTACTTATAAGAGAAGGATATGGTTTAAAATTGTCACTCTTATATTCTAATATTTCTCAATTTATTTTTGGCTTTGTTGTCGGTTATTATAGAGGATGGAAGATGGCGTTAGTTATGTCAGCATCACTTCCTTTTGTTGCTGTAGCAGGATTTGTAATTATAAAGATCCACAAAATTTGGGGTAAGACTACTCAAGAGGTTTACTCACAATCTGGAGCTATTGCTTTCGAAGCTTTAAAGGAAATTAAAACAGTACAATCTTTGAGAATTGAAAATATGACTTTTGAGAAATATTATGAATTAATTAAAAAAGTAGAGTCTGCAGGGACTCGGGCATCATCATTTATTGCATTAGGTATGGGTATTGTATCTTTTGTTGTTTTTGCTTCATATTCCCTGGGTTTTTGGTATGGAGGAGAGATTATTGCTAATTCCATAGAATCAGGATGTAAAGGAGTGGATAATTTGAAATGTTTCACTGTAGCTAATGTAATTAGTATATTTTTCTCTATAACTAATGCTTCTATTGCACTTGGCCAATCAACTCCATCAATAGGAAGTCTAGTAAAAGGTATAGCAGCATTGAAGGAATTGGAGGTATTATTTGAATCACCTATTATAAATTCTGAAAATGAGGAAGTTGAGGTAAATCATAAAAAATTAAGAGGTGAGATTGAATTTCGTAATGTTAATTTTCACTATCCAAATGGTGAATATATCTTGAAGAATTTTAATTTAAAGATAGAGGCAGGGGAGACTATAGCTTTTGTAGGTACTAGTGGTTGTGGCAAATCTAGTATTATTAAACTCATTACTAGATTATTTGATATAAATAGTGGTTCAATACTAATTGATAATAAGGATATTCGAGACTACAATCCTAGTTTTATACGTGATCAGATATCAGTAGTTCAACAACATACTCCTTTGTTTTTTGATTCAATAAGGCAAAATATAGCATATGGAAATCCTTTTTCTACTGATTCTGATATTATTAGATCTACAGAAATTTCTTTATCATCAGAATTTATTAATAATTTACCAAATGGATTAGATACTATAGTTGGTAGTGGTGGGCATCAATTAAGTGGTGGTCAAAAACAACGATTATGTATTGCTAGAGCTATTCTACGTAATTCCCCAATATTTATATTTGATGAGGCTACATCTGCACTAGATATTCATACAGAGATGAAATTACAAAATTCACTTGAAAGTTATTTGAAACTTAAACGAAGCACAGTAATTTTAATTGCTCATAGATTACAAACAGTAAGACATGCTGACAGAATTCTCATTCTAGAGAAAACTCAAGATCAAGGTGTAGTAATTATGGAACAAGGTTCACATGATTATTTGATGAGCATATCTAATGGGATATATAAAAATTTAGTAGAATCAATGACTGTAGATAACAACATTATTCCATATAATTCTATACAATCGGGTTACATATATACATCATTGGTTAGTTCTATGCATGACAGAACTTTAATGAAATTAAAAACTCAATATTTAGATAAACAATTGAATGACTCAACTGTATTAGCAGAAATGAATGGAAATTTAGATGTAAGGCTTGACTATTGGACAAATCTTCTAGAGTACAAAGAAACCAGGGACTATTACGATATGACAAAAGAGATCATGGTTGAACATATTAAAAATTTCAAAGTAAAAATACCAATTGTATCTAGACAAAAATTGTTTACTTTGATAAGTCCAGACTTAAAATATCTGTTTTTTGGTTCAATTGCAGCTGCAGCTCAAGGTTCAACATTTCCAATAATGGCACTTTTGATTGGTAAATATGTTTCAGCAACAGAATTACATTCTGCGGTTGCTGTTCGTTCTAAGACATCAATTTACAGTCTATATTTATTAATTTTGGCAATTTGTATATTGATTACCACTTTTTTACAAAATAATTTTTTGCAGATTGCTGGAGAGAGGCTTATTAGAAGATTAAGAGCTGAATCCTTCTATTCTATGTTATTTCAAGATATATCCTTTCATCAAAACTCTGTAAATAGTCCAATAAAACTATGTAGTATTCTTGCAGAAAATGTTATTTTTGCTAAAGGATTAGTTGGTGAGAACTTGGGTCTCTGTATTCAAAATCTTGCAACAATAATTTTTGGATTTGTTATAGCGTTCACTGGTTCAATAGAATTAACACTTGTAATGGCAGGATTTCTTTTAATACTTATACCAACTGGTTATTATCAAGTTAAAATGATGCGTAGAACTACAAATAGGTATACTGGTAAAGGTGAAGATATTCCTGCATATAAAAAATACCAACATTCAATATTATATCTTCAGGAAATTCTGCAAATGCATACAACAATAATTCTCTATAATCTACAAGCAGTATTTATGCGAAATTATAGAAGGAGTGTTCGTTATGAGTATTTAAAAGGTTTAATAGATGTTTCTCTAGTTGGTTTTTTCTGGGGCTTGGGTCAGGCAGCCCAAAATGCAGCTCAAACATTTGCACTATGGTATGGTGCTCAAATGCTTATGCAGCAGAAATTAGGAAAGGGAGAGATTATTCAAACTATTCTGGCTTTAATACTTGCAGCAGCATCAGTATGTAGATCTCAAATATATGGGACTGACAAGAAGAGAGCAAAAATAGCAGCATGTGAGATCTTCGATATAATAGATAGAATACCCAAAATTAAACACAGAAATTTTATTCGATTAGAGGATAGATTAAGTAAATTTTATAAAGTTAATAAACCAGTGGGACATAATAAATATAGATCTTTTATATATAATACAAAAATTAATATGATTTTGTTTTATAATCTTTTACTGAGAAAATTTGAAAGTATTTCACCTAAAAAAATTAGGCAGATTCAAGATGAGATCAATACAAATATGAATATCCCAATATCTAATTATTGTATAGAATTTTCAAATGTAAACTTTGGTTACTCACATAAAGATTTTGGTTTAATCCTTTCATCTTTATCATTCAAGATACTCTCTGGAGAAGTTGTAGGTTTTGTTGGTTCTAGTGGTTGTGGAAAAACCACTATTCTAGAATTAATTGAGAGGTTTTATGATCTATATGATAAAGAATTTGGTTCTGTAGAAGATTTAAAACCATATAAAGAACCTGAAAATACACATTTAGATACTAATTTTATTAGAGAAAAGCATGGAGTAATCTACTTGGATGGTCAAAATATACAGGATTTTGATATAGGGTATTTAAGATCCTTTATAGCATATATTCCTCAAGATGTAGCACTATTTACAGGTACAATAGAAGAAAATATTAAGCTTGGGAATCTTGGTGCAAGCTTTGATGAAGTCCTAGATGCTGCAGAAAAAGCTCATGTTGTGGAATTTGTTAACAAACTCCCTGATGGATTTTTAACAATAGTAAGTTTATTAATATACCTATCTACTAAATAAATATATTTTACTTTTCGAATTATAGGTAGGTAATGGAGGTTTAGAACTTTCAGGTGGACAAAAACAAAGGATTGGAATAGCAAGGGCACTTTTACAAAAAGCCCCAATATTACTATTGGATGAAATTACATCGGCACTTGATTTACAAAGCGAAATGTATATTCAAAAGTCGCTAGATGAAATAATTAAAGAGGGTAAACAAACAATAATTTTTGTTGCCCACAAGTTATCTACTTTAAGAAGTTGTAATCGTCTATTTGTTCTTGGAGATGGAGATGCAGAAGGTAGTACTTTAATTGAATCAGGGAGTCATAAAGAGGTAAGTATAAGAGATAATTAGATGTAAATATACCTATAACCTATAATTATTATTTTAGTTAATGGAAAAAAGTGGGTATTATAAGTATCTTTATGAGAGTTACATTCACTTTGCTAAATAGATTACCCGAGAGCTTGTACCTTCCTACTAAGCAATAATGGCGAGGTTGAGAAGATGGAACCACTGGATTTACAATCTAAGATTGCACCTACTTCATTTGTATCTAGTTTAGTAAAAACTGCATTGTGTTCTTTTAAAAAATCATAACAACTTTCTTTAGAATCAAAGCAAAAGATTTTTTGTAATGTCAAAATATTAATAAAACGAGATGATTTCGTTATTGTCGTTAGTGCTATTAATATTTGTCTACTTCTAAATATATTTAATAAATGCTTAGACTTCCAAGGAGCACTTTTTGATAATAAAAAGTACCTATAGTAATTTCCATCCAATAGTGTAGAGCATATATCCAATGCAAAACGTACTCCTTTAAATTTTTTGTAGTTCTCTACTTCAGACATAATACGAATTAAGTCTGTCTTCATATTTTGAAGAGTAATATACAAGATGTAATAGCATGAAAATTCATCTCTATTAGAATTTTCAAATTTAATACTCAAAGAGGTGTAGAGTTCCCTGAGACGTGCTTGACATTGATTAAATTGGCCCAAATCTTCATTTTCTAATGCTAATCTTGCATTTGTCTCGTATACTTCTATAGTGAATGCATTTTTAATTCCTTGTACTGTTAAATCCTGCCTAATAGATCGGAATTGTTCTTCCAAATATTTCCAATCATACTTTTTTGTATTAACTGTATTTATATTTTTGTCTTGTTTATGAAATTGCATGATTGTAGATAAGTCTCCAGTTCTATTACATTTATAATTCATATAGTTTTTCATAATATATTTTAAAGATTTACGTAGTATATGTTCTGGTCTAACTAAATTAGGATCAGGTGAAGCTGTTAATCGAAGATAAGGTTTTTCAAGTGACATATAAGTACCAACAATCTTCTCAGTACATCTACCTAATGCTAGTATTTGTTCCCAAGAAAGTCTTCTTATTCCTTGTGCATCAATAATCATACGATCGTTCTCAGACTTAGTTCCACAATTTTTATCTTCCGGATTATGAAATTTGTTTCTAACTTTACTCTTTTTAATTACAGGTATAACAGGATAGATATCTGAATTTTGTGCATCTGTTTGACTTGTATCTCTCTTTTTAGATTCTAAAGGGTTATTCTTCATTTTTGAATCTTCAGGTGTAAACTCTTGAATAGTTTTTTTTTTGGGAATTGGTTGCACCTTCCAATCGACATATTTTACAGTCCCATTTAACAATGCTTTAGTATATTGTTTAGATATATGTTGTGCATATAAAGATATCTTCTTATTCCACTCTATATCTTTTATTGATTTACCATTTGAACAATATGTAGAGTATAAGCGTTGTATCCAATTTTGTAAGTCATTATCTTCTGTAACTTTATTAGCAATCTTGGTATTAAAATGGTTGTTATTATCTAAAGCCAGATGTTTATCTTCACTTCCTATTAGATGAGTGCTAAGTTGGTTCTTCACTACATTCACTATATAACCTGAACGTTCAAGTTCAGCAACACAACTATTTGCATACAAAGAGGCAGTTTCATCATTAACTCCACTAGACTTGTAAGATTTAAAATAATAGTCAAAATAATGAGCTTTATGCCAATCTTCTAAAGACTTTTGGGTCTTACTTACACTTTCTATATTATTAATACTTACATTATGAGATTCAGTTCCTAATGTATTAGCAAAACTTGAAATCCATCCTCTCGCATTATTTGAGTTAACACGATATCCTCCAGTAAGTAGTGATTTTGCAGATGCATCTGATTGTCGCATCTGCAATAATAAACTAAGCTCTTTTATGGGTCACAATAAAAACTAAAATAAAAGCTGCCACGCTCTTAAAAGCTATTTTCCAATTAATATTGTAGGTATTATCGCGCTTTATCCGTTGTCTTAGAAATACTGTACCACTTTGTTATACCTGAATATTGTTGCATATATTTAACATTCTTAATTAAAATTCCTCATAATCTTTAAAATAGGATTGAACGTAGTAGCAAATATAATAAATCCAGTAGTTGCTCCCATATATAATGTGTACAAAATCTTGTCTAATTCAGAGTCATATATTTTATTACTTATAAAACTTTTTGAATATCCAAATATTAAACCTGCAAATATTGTTATAATAAAAGTTCTCATAACACGTTTTTGTATAAGTAATTGAGCATATACTCTAATACATTTATATATTTTATTTTTATTTGACCACTTAATATTGGAATATTTTGTACACAACCCCTCTAGCTGTAAATATAAAAATAGAAACTCAAAATATATCTTACAAATTAACATTATACCATTAGAATATACAAATAAAATAGTTCCTCTTGAATGTAGTGTAATTATTAGACCCAAATGTATTATAAATGATGCTACAGATAATTTCTGAAAACGTACTAACCATTGTGAGTTAGCCTGTGAATAGAAATATGTCTCCATTATGCCATTTAATGATAGTAAAAATATATTATATATCTGTAATTTGAAAAGTTCCACTATTTCTTGATTTATCCAATATTCCCCATATAAAAGAAACAGTATCTCATAAGCTAGTGGACATCCTAAAGAAATAGCAACAATTCCTAGAAATAGTTCAATAAATAAAAATTGTCGAAATGGTAGAAAGGAATTATATGTTTCCCAATACTTTTCCTTTATAGTATTCTCTGTTTTATCATCTTCTTTATTTATTACTTTTATAGTATAAAATTGTGTCAAAGCCATATCTTCTATTGGAGCAAAAAGTATTCTTACAACAGTATTAGCAAGATTAAATATAACAGAATAAGTACTCCAATCTTCATTATTAAAAAAATATAAAAGAAGAAGTTTATCAATTTCTTCAGTAACAACACTTTGTAATGCCATTGTAAATAGTCGTCTAAGATAGCCTTTATGATATGGTAAAATAAATAAAAGTGATTGCTCATATTTTATTCTCCGAGGTAATAAAGTATTGAGTGGAATATAATTAATAAATAAATATCTATGAAATATATATGTCAAAGTTAGAAATACTATTGAGTAGCTAAGTTGACTGAAAGAGTATGATAAAATTATTGTTGAATTTGACCATGATAATGTACTGTATACGAGAAATAAGCTCCTTGATATATTTGATAGTGTCTCAATAATCGCCTTTATAAAAAAATGTCCATCACTAATAATAAAGTAGAGTAGAGGTTCAGCTAATATTTCAAATATCGAAGAAATACATACAACTAATACTGCCAAATTATATTCTTTCAATAAGTTTCTTTTAGTTATAATATTAGAAGGTGGCTTAGAAATCCATACAAAGTATAAGATAAGTGTAATAAAGAACGAAAATACTACAGATAACCAGCAGCAATTCACACCACTTATAAACCATAGCTCGTTATTTTGATCTTTGAGATCTTTTTTCAATATATCTACATCATCAGGCCGTTTTAAAGCAGTTCGTCGAAAACATAGTCTATTCATAGATAAAGACAAAATAGTAATAAGTCCTAAGCTCATTTGACCTATCCCAAGTAATTCTGGTCCTGAATTGCGTGTAATATATATGTTGAGTATAAATGTAAGTGTCTTGGAAATTATATTACCAGCTATAGATGCAAATGCACCATACAATCCAAATATTTGTTTATTCATTATATCACGATCATGTGCTTGATTCTATTCTATAACATTACACCTTTTTAAGTTATCAAATTTAAGAACCCACTTTTACAACTTCCTATTTTCTAAAATTTATCAGCGGGTAAAGTAACAGGACTTTGATACCATTTGGCTTGAAGTATTTTATGGACTAATATTTATTTATATATGTCCAATTATGTCACGCTTTATACTTGAAAGATGCCGTGAACTCCATGAAGAAATGGAGTGTTTGGAAAAGTCTATTGCTCTATTGTTTTCAAAGCTAAAACAGGGTTCAAAGGGTTCTCTTCTAATTGAAATAGTTATTAAATTTTTAGGTAAGTATTATAATATTATGATCTAATGTAATTTTATTAAAGTATTTTTCATTATAGCTCAGAAGATGCAAAAAAATGCATCAGATATCCTTTCAATATACTCTGATTCATCAGGAAAAAGAAGATCTGAAATATCTTTCTTAGGTGGTATATCTAACAACGGTAAGTAATAATTCATCACAATTTATGTATTTAATAATTATTGTAGTTATTCTAGATAAAAATAATGAAGATTCTACTAGTACTAGTAAAGATGATGTATGGAAAAATTATTATGAAAGGATCCGGTCAATAAAGGCTTCAGATAAAGATTTAAATAGCTTAATAGAACCCAAATTAACAAAGAAAAATATATGTCAGAAAATTATAGAGAATATGATTAATGATGTATTTACATCTGATATATTGAATTTGATGTTTACACTAGAAGAAGATTATGGTAATAGACTTGATATGCACCACTTATATATTCAATTTATTAATATTAAGAAGATTCATGATTATAAAATAAGTAATACTAAATCATATAATTTAAATAATGGTGCAGAAATATTACCTTTAAGTTCGACAAAAAAGGCAATAAATAAGACTTTTGAATCAATTGATTATGTAACATATCTTGGTTCATTTGAAAAGTTTTCAAGTATATCACGATTCTGTAAGTATCGTAATAATGAATATGAGTATTATATTAATAAACTTTTGGAATATCTTGAACAATTTTTTATTAAAACACATCCATTAGTAGATTCTATAAAAATTAGAAGTAGATTTGAAAGTGAATTTGAATCTAAATGGTTAGATAATTCAATACCAGAATGGTGTACCCCCTCTCATAAGATGAAATTTTATTCTATATTTACTGATAGCTTGTTTTCTTCAGAAGGCATCTATTCAAGTCATATTCAAGGTAAAAAGTACAAACGTGAGAAGATGAAGTATTTGTCAAGTTCTATTGAAGAGCAGAATATGCGTATTCAAAATAGTATAGCTTATGATAAATCAATGGCAAAAACAGAGTTCTTAATTGGTAAATACTGTATTTTATTAAATGTAGAACGCAATAATACAATAGATTATCTCCATAATACTCAAAGTCGAACAGTAAGGGAATTTACGGAAAAATTAGACCATTTTAATATTATTGAATTTATAAATAATATATTGTCAAATGAGAATACTCAAGATGAAGAAGATAAAGTATTAGATTCTGATGAAGATATAGATGAACTTGAAGAAAATATTCATAATCCACTTGGATTACCTGTTGGATTAGATGGGAAACCAGTACCATATTGGTTATTTAAATTACATGGCTTAGGAATTGAATTTAAATGTGAGATTTGTGGTAATTATAGTTACTGGGGACGTCGTGCATTTGAACGTCATTTTCAGGAATCTAGACACTCAAATGGTCTGCGTACATTAGGTATTCCAAATACTTCACATTTTAAAGAAATAACGAAGATAAAAGATGCACAAAAATTATATGAAAAACTTAGTAGAAATGTAGAGGCTAATACTTTTAATGAGCAGGAGATTGAAATGGAAGATACTAAAGGCAACATACTATCTTTGAAGTCTTATCAAGATTTACGTCACCAGGGCTTAATCTAAGTTAAATTATTTAATTATATAAATAATATTACTACTCTCCTTTTTTTCTGAAGATAGAGTTAAATTCTGAAATATTTCATATTACCAATATTTTGAAGCTATAATATATCTTGATAACTAATTTTATTATCCTTTTAGTTCTATGTACTAATATTACCTTCGCTTATTGACCAACTATTACCTGTCTTTTCATCTATTGATCCAATAATTTGTGGTGGAATTATAGCTGAGTTTGAATTTGTATTATTATTATTATTATTATTACTATTATTATTATTATTATTATTATTATTATTATTATTATTATTATTATTATTACTATTATTATTATTATTACTATTATTATTATTATTATTATTATTATTATTATTATTATTATTATTATTATTATTATTATTATTATTATTATTATTATTATTATTATTATTATTATTATTATTATTATTATTATTATTATTATTATTATTATTATTATTATTATTATTATTATTATTATTATTATTATTATTATTATTATTATTATTATTATTATTATTATTATTATTATTATTGATTGATCTTGGAGAAGGAGTAGGTGATGTACGATGTGATAAATCTGGTGAATAAGGATGAGATCTTTTGATCGTTGAATCTCTATATTGTCCAGATATCCAATTTGGAGATAAATAACTAGTTATTTGCCCAACTTCTTGGTTTAATTCTACTTGACCATTTCTTGGAATTCTACCAGGTAATATTGATACAAATGCATCTGGAAAATAATAAACTACTAATTGATATTTATCGGCAGTATATGCTTCCCAATATTCCCATAATGATTTCGGGATTCTAACCCTTAAATCAGCACGACCAGGTGGTTTATGAGGAACAAAACATTTAAGATATGCAAAACCTTGAGAATAAATATTTCTCATATCAGGATCAGATTCAGCTGGTTCTCCTAATTCTCTTAAAGTAAATCTTCTAGCTTGTGTCAAAACCCCATCTCCCCAATCAACCAGTAATTCACAATCTAATGCCCATAAATCACGTACTAGTCTTGCACCTGGATTATTAAATGATAACTTTATATAACACACATTTACAGGAAGAGGTCTGTGGTTAATTGATGGAAAAATATTTGGAGTTACTGATGATATTACTAAATATGGCTCTTCTTCAACAGATAAATTTGCAATATTAGTAGATTCTTTTGTCTCTATCATTACATTCTCAACTACAGGAGAATCAAATTTTAATTCACTATTTTGACTATTCTTTGAACAAGATAATTCACCTGTTAATTCACTACCTTTATAACGCATTAATTCATCATAAACTGCTTGTGTAGCAGATCTAAACAAATTAATACACCCATTTTGAATTATATATTCTACATTCGATGTTGGTCGAGTACCCTGAATATATCCTGATTGAGAATGTGATTCAACAACTCCTGAAGAATCTTGTATCTTTGGATTTCTATTCAAATTATAAGGATTATCACAAATTATATCTTTATTATTACCATAAGATGATATTGAAAGATTTACCCCTTGATTTATGTTATCGTTAGTTGTTGAAGAATGTGAACCATATGAACTTATTTCAGAATTTGGATAATATAACAAATGATTTGCAGCAGAATTACTTTGTACAGATGTACTATGAGATCCATCAAATTCAGGTATACCTATATGACGCATTACTTGACGCCAACATGTTGGAGATCGTTGATAGTGTTCTGTTGCAAATTTTTGCTTCAAAATATGTTTACCACATACACGACATAAAGTACGCTCTGTTTTATTCCATTGAAAGTCAATCCTAGAGTCACCAACAAATTGATCACCTCGTGTGACCTTTCTTTCTCTAACATTTTCACATTTTGGAAATTCCCAAATCCTACCAAATAAACCATCAACTAATGCGGTGTTCTCAACACCAGTTAATCTTTGACTAATAGGGTGAATTATAGATCTTCTAGCAGGTGATAATGATTCTAAAGGTACTACTGCCCAGTCAGTTCCGGAAAATAGTATAGGACCTTTTGAAGTAGCTTCAGCTAACAAGGTACCACCCCAATGTGACTGACTATTAGGGTATCCTTCACATTTACCCTCAGAAATATTATTATCAACTGATCGCATCCAAATATATACAGAGAACTATCAATCTATCTTTCTAAGTATCTTTGCAATTGCTACTTTCTTGCAGTAATAATACTGCACCTTAGTATTTCTGATTAATAACAATCAAACTAATTAATAGACTCTTATGGATTAAACAACTATTAATATTACGTATTAATCACCATTCAATATATAGTAACTAAAGTTTAACTATTAACTTCCGATCCACATATATCTTAATATTTATATTTTTCTTTAAAAAAATAAAAATAAAAAAGAATCATGCACCACTGGAATTGAGACATGACGGATTACGTCTAGGCCGCTGCATGTTTGAATAAGGCTAGAAATTAGACAAGTTATTAAAAATTGTATATTAGGAACTTATCTAATTATTTTATTATATATATTAATTTTATATTTTGGGTATATTATACTAAGGTTCTAATAATATTTATTATATTACTATTTATAATTATTTGTAAATAATTGAAAAAAATAATTATTAGATATATATCTAGAATTTTTAGATTTCTGTCAATTTCTATAAAATTACAAGTTTAGATAAAACTAAACTATTGTAATATATAATTTTATTATTAAGTATTTAAAATAAACTAGATTTAAGAAAGTATATACCTATTTATAAAAATATAAATATTTGATCTAATAAAAATAATAATTTAATAATATATAAGGATTAGATTTGTTTTATATAATTGCCTAATAATATTACAAGAAAAAAATATCTATACAGGTATATTACCAAATACAATAAAGTTTTAATTAAAGTCACTATATATATAATATTTGAAGTTATTAATAGACCAATAATAAACATTAAATATTCAAATTAGTCAATAATTGATGAATTATATAAAATATCAATAATAAAATCTGAATAGTTCAAATTAAAAAAATCTTGTAATAAATAAAATAAATAAGAATCATAATCAGTCAATTTAATAATCATGATTTACTTAAATATTAGAAAAATAAAAAAATATTCCAAATATAAGATAAATTATATATATTAGAATCTATATTACATTGACCAAATATTAATAAAGTATTTTTTAAAATTAGAAATATCTACTTCTATAATATAATAACATTTAATATATAAAATTATATATTTTCTATAATAAGCCATATTCAACTAGAAATATTTATTAAAATTATAATAATAATTAATAAGATTCAAAGTACATAATAAAATATTAAAATAAGTAATAAAATTAAATACTCAAGATAATGAGTGATTATAAACCCATATTAATATAATTTTTTTTTTTTTAAAAAGAAGTCTTATAAGTAGTATTCTTAATTATTTAAATATAGCACTAAATCAATATCCAATATAATTATCAAATTATATAAAGATTCCAATTTCTTTTTAAAATGATATAAATAAAGAAGAAAAAAATCACTAATATTTAATTGTTACAACAACGTAATGACTTTTGACGAATTATATCAGTTGTATTATTTTGATATTGAGAAATATCCAAATTATTTCCAACTGATATATTTAATTTATTCATATCTGAAAAAAATTTTTGTTTAATTTCTTCTGCAATACATGAAAAAGCTTCAGTTACACTACTATCTAATTTTGCAGATGTTTCAAAAAATGGAATTTTATATTCTTGAGCTAATTCTTTACCACGTTGTTCACTAACTTGTCTTTGAGAATTTAAATCACATTTATTTCCAACAAGTATTTTTTGAACATTTATATTAGCATATTCTTCTAAATTTTTCATCCAATAACTTAAATTATTGAACGTTTCAATATTAGTAATATCATAAACAAGAATAACACCCATTGCACTACGGAAATAAGCTGGAGTTATTGTACGGAAACGTTCTTGACCTGCAGTATCCCATACTTGAAGTTTCAATTTTTTACCATTTAATTCAATAATTTTAGATTTAAAATCCACACCAATAGTTAAAACAAAAGAATTTTCAAATTTGTTTTCACAGAAACGTAGAAGTAAACTAGATTTACCAACAGCACTATCTCCTAATAACAATAACTTAATTAAATAATCATATTGTTCATAATTTGACTTATACATTTTCTTTTTTTTTTAAAGTAGCTATATTAAAAATGTTGAGATACTTTATACGGCGCTATCATATTATTGATTTTGACTTTATTATTAAATATTGGAGGGTTTTAACCGAGTATATAAAGTAATTTTATATTTTTCATTTATTTATATTAGCTTAAAACTTAAAGAATTAATAATTTATTGTCTAAATAAGATCTAGGATTCTGGAAATAATTTTATTAATTAAAGATCTTATTACTTTATATTAAAGTAAATAAGATTATTATTAATGGTGAACTTTTAATAATATTAATAATAAATTAATTAAAGTTAAAGAATTAGATTAATATATTAAGTATTACACATATTATTGGAATAGAGAATAATGATAGAATATATAATAGAATAGAATATAAAAATACTGAATATGATTCTAATATATATTAAAATATATAATAAGAATATCTTTTATTCTAATATGATATTCTATAAAGAAATATTCTAAATGACTATTAAATTTATTGTTACTAATTCCACGCTTAAGTAGGTAAAAGTGTGTCACGCGCTGTAATAGTAATACCCTTAACCTAAAATAAACTTTTTAAATACGCATAAATGGCAATGTTTGAACCTGATGATAATGTTTCGGTAAGTTTTTCTTTTTTTATAATAACAATTTAGATTAGATATATTCTATAATATATTTGATATATATAATGTAAATTAATAAATAATTAGATTTCAATGAAAATATATATATTTTAATATTAATAATTTTCTTTTTTTTCAGATAAAGTTTTCAGATGAATCGAATATTAATAGTGATGATGATGTAATATCAAATTCTATATCTGAAGTATCCGATTCCAACGAAATAGTAAAAAAAAAACAAAGAATAACAATTGACAATTATAAAGAAAAAAAATCAAGATCTAAATTAAAACATAAGAAGAAAACAGGTTCTAAATATATTACTGGGGTAAATGCATTTTTAGATGTTGAGGCATTAGTTGGAGAAGATGAAGATGAAGAAGAAGATGATTATGATGATGATATTTATCATGATGAATCAGAACTTGCATTAAGTACAGCAGAATTAGATTCACGCCGTCTTGCAGATCAGGATCTTGGTAATGGTAGATTAAGAAGACATTTAGGTGGTGCTGGTCATTTAGAACATACTATTGCACAGCTAGAACGTCGATATGAACAAATGGAAACTGAGACTACAGGTGATGTAATACATGATAATTATGAACAAGTAGAGGATATAATAAATATTGATGAACCAACAAATATATTACCTTCTATAAAAGATCCAAAATTATGGTTAGTTAAAGTTGATAAAGTAGGGATTGAAAGAGAGATATGTATTGCTTTAGTTCAAAAAGCAGCAGAAAGTTATATTAATAATAAAAAGTTGCCTATTTTATCTGCATATGCAGCATCTAATTTTCGTGGATGCCTTTATATAGAAGCAGAAGCTCCAAGTGATGTTCGTGATGCCCTTGAAGGACTTTCTGGAGTTCGTTTATCATCAATAAAATTAATTCCTGTAAAAGAGATGACTCAAGTATTTTCTGTAGATATGCAAGAAAAAGAATTACTTACACGTGATAGTTGGGTACGTATCCGTAGTGGATTATATGCTGGTGATTTAGCACAAATTTATGAAGTAGATGAGCATGAATCAAATGTAATTGTAAGATTAGTACCTAGATTAGATATTCCTGCATTAATAAGAAAATCACAGGGTATTATTGACAAAAATTTTGGTAATAAAAGGATTAGACCTCAAGCAAAATTATTTGATAGAGATAAAGTAGAAAATCTTGGAGGAATTGTGGAATTAACGCATTTAAGAGGAACAGCAAAATTTGCAAATCAATTATTTGAATTAGATAAAGGATATTTATTAAAAAAGATGAGATCAAATCGTTTGATTACAGGTACACTTGTTAATCCAAGTATTGAAGAAATTCAAACTTTTTATGAAGGTATTGATATTTCTGATATTCCAATACATACTCAAGCAATTTTATCATCAAAAAAATCAGCAAATTTTTTTGTTGGAGATATTATTACAATTCTTCGTGGTGAACTTACAAATACTAAAGCTAGGATTACATCTATAAATAATTTAAATAAAGGGATTTTAGAAGTATTACCTATTGATAAATCACTTGGTATAACAAAACCTATTTTAATTCAACAAGATTTAGTCTCAAAATATTTTGAAATAGGTGATTCTGTATTAATTATTGAGGGTACACATGAATCTGAATCAGGATTAGTTACAGGACTTGAAATGAATAATACTATTGCAGTTATATACCCTTTAAGTGGAACAATACCAATTAGATGTCCCACTAATTTTCTTAAACGAGTTTCACAAAATATTGTTGCTTCAAGTAGTTTATCAACTATTGATGGTTTTTCATTAGATGATTTAGTACAATTGTCAGATGGTACTGTAGGTGTTATTACTTTTGTTGGACGTAATAGAAATTTAAAAGTACTTAATAGTAATGGTGAGATATCTACAATTAAATCATCAGAAATTTCATCTAAACGACATACATCTTTAGTAACACGTGTAACAGATCACAATGGAACTATATTTGGAGCAAAATCAATGGTTTCAGTATTAGATGGCCCTGATGAAGGGAAAAGTGGTCGTGTAGAACATATATGGAAGTCTATATGCTTTGTTAAAATTCCTATTAAACTTGATGATGGAGGATATATAGTTTGTGATAGTAGATCTTTAACTGTTATTAGGTCAAATGATGACAATTTAAATAATTCAAATACTCATACAAAACTTACAAAAGTACAATCATTTGGTCATGGTGGATTTGGAAGAATACGTGGAATGGGATTAATTTCAAATTCACGTAAGCAGGGACCTGATGATATGTTTGTTAATCAAAAAGTACGTATATTACGTGGTCGTCATAAAGCATTATTAGGATCAATTAGAGGATTTAAAGGTAATAATATTGAAATTTTACTTGATATTGGGCCACATACTGTTGTACTTCGTAGAGAAGATGTTGTAATGATTGGTACTCCAATAAATAATGGTTCTAATATTGCTCCTTTTAGTGGTATTACTACATCTAAATCATTTGAAAATAAAGTAAGTACTCATAATTGGTCAGGAGAAAATAATTTATTAGATATTAATAAAGAATCACTTCAAGAAGTTCCAATTTTTTGTAAACGTGGAGTTGAAGTTACAGTTATATCTCAAGGAGAATTCTTCAAATGTAAAGGAGTTGTTTCTGCAGTTCTTTTACCTCCTGAAGTTCCACAAGTTACATGCCATGTTGTACTTATAGTTAATGGTCAAATTTCACCGGATGATATTATTGCTATTGCTCCTCAAAGTTTAATTCCAAATCCTCCTTCTATAGGTCAGATTGCGGTTGCAATAACAAATGATAGAGAAATGTTTGTAGGTAATGTAGACAAGATTGAGGGCAATACTGTCTATATGGTTTCTATAAATAATAAATCAATTAATAACTTTCCTATTCAATCTGTATTCCAATATCATATTCCACCTTCATAGGTTATTAGCAATAAAAATTTTAAAATTCTCTTTTAGTTATTAAAGTTTATATTTATAATGCTTATTATTGATTTTTTTAAAATATTTTGTCTAGTACTATTTAAATAATCGATTATAGGTTAATATAAAATTTTTTTTTACTTTTGGGATTATACTCCTGATTAACAGGTGCATGTAAAATCCAATAGTGGGGGGGTCTGAAGTGTTTTAGTGTGACATATTGCATTCTAAAATTCCTTTTTAAAATTTATTAATATCAGAAAAATTTTAATATATATTGGAGAACTATAAATAATATAATTAATTATATTATATATTATAATATGAACACTTTAAAAAATAAAAGAACATGTCGGTATTGTGGTTTCGTGGCTAATAGGAAACAAAAGATACAGAAAAATACAATAAAATACAGAAATACTGCTTTTATAATTTATTTATTAACTGGAGAAAGATTATTACTTAAGAAAAGTTCATTATATCTTTATAAATGGAAAAAAAAATATAAATTAGGTTCATTTAGCAAGTTGGTTGATGATGATACTATAGAGAAATATAGGAAAATAGAAATATCTACAGATAAACCAGAGAATACAAATTATATATTGAAAAACTTAAAAACCGTTGCCATCAATAATAAGTGTAGATATAAGTTTTCGATTTTTATATTATTATCTGCACTTTTCATATTCCAGTTGATATTATATATAGCATCTAAGAATTCCATAAAGTTCCCAGTTTTATTATTTAGTGAGGACTTATTACCAACTTTTAATAAAATAAAAAATAAAAATTTGGATCAAGTTTTATCATTTACTGGATTGGAATCTTGGTTACCAAGTTGGATTAGAAAAAAATCTATATATTTTTTTCAAGACATTTATATCCCATTAAATATTCCAAGATTTGATTTTAATAAATACTTAAACTTACGAATAATAGATAGTAAAGAATTTGGAAATGAAATAAATAAAAATTTTGAGGAAATAATTGAATGTAATATAATTATTTTAACAGCAGGTGATACATCATTTAATACCTTACCTGAACTAGTGGAGAATCGTATTGAATATGCACGAAGAAATGGATATTGTTATTTACATTTTAGTTGTAGAAAAAATAGGTAAGTTATGTAAGATTATTCAAGTATAAATTAAATAATAAATTATTATTATTTCCAAAATTTCTAATAGTTTTTCACCAGATGAAAACCAACAAAATATTGGTAAGTTGTATTTAAGATTTAAAGATGTATTTATTTTAAAATATATTTTTTTTTAGATAATTGCAAATATCCACACTATTGGAGATATTTAGCATTATGGGAGTTATTTACTAAACCTTATTTATTATTATCAGAGAAAAGGAAAATAGTACAACCCCAGTGGGTATTATATATGGATATGGATGCTATGTTTACAAATTTTTCATATAAAATTGAGGAATTTGCTAAAAATTTTTCATTTTCTAAAACAGGTTTAATTATTAGTGCGGATACAAAGTGCTATGATCCTCGATATCCTCTAAATAATGGTGTAATGCTTTTCCGTAATAACGAATTTTCTCAGCATTTAGTTTATCAAGTTCTATTGAAGCAGGTATGTGAAATTTTGATTAAAATTTTATTTTAATTATATAATGTAATATTATATTATTTTTTTTAGAGTTATAGAAGTAGTTTACTTTATAATAGCATAAATAATTGGAATGCTAAAGGTATGTAAATATATAAAAGGGATTTGTGAATTTTAACGATTTTTTTGTTTTTTTTATAAGGTTTACAAGATCAACCACTTTTAACAAATATACTTGTAAATGATACGAATGAAATAGATGCTGAACAT